CCATATGTGGGTTGAGTATGTTGTTGGTTCTCTCCTTTGCTCCGAGAGGTTTTCTCCGGGTACTACAGTTTTCCCCTTTCCTCAAAAACCAACATTTTCAAATTCCAATTCGATCTGGAACGCACGAACACGTTTAACGAGTTCATATGAACCAAATAGTAGTTACAATCTGAGGCAAGCAGATTTCTCTATACCTAGGTATGAGACAGTCACCTACTGCAAGCACTCTATTGGACTATCTAGGGCCTAGGCTATGGTCAAAACTACCCAAGAGTATTAGGGACGTCACAACCCTAATGTCGTTTAAAAGCAAGATACGCCAACTCAATATAAGTGAACTTTTAGATGATGGCTGCGCAGGCAGTAGCCTTTGTTCATTTTGACTTCTGTATGTTTTTACTATAAATCTCGTAATTAGATAACTATAGATATTTTACCTACTACTGTATATAGTTTTTAGTTTGTATATTCTCCCCTAATTGGTGTCCCCAAATTAGTAATAAGGGATTCTTTTTCCCCTGGCTAGACGGCTTTTGACACTTTAATAAAGTTTCTATCTATCTTTCTATCTATCTATCTATCTATCTATCTATCTATCTATCTATCTATCTATCTATCTATCTATCTATCTATCTATCTATCTATCTATCTATCTATCTATCTAAAGTGCCACTTTTCAAACAGAAACGTCAAGTTCATATAAGAATGAGAAAGTCCGGGGGGGTACTCCTTGGAATTCTTGGTGGGGGTGAGCCGCCCGGTTCTCCAAATCCTGACCCTATTTCTGACAAAAAAATGCCATTCCCGATCCGTTTTCAGACCAGACCGTAAAATCCATACCCGCTTTCAGACCTGGGGTCCGTTTCTCCAAAGCCCCGGTGACTTTTCGGGCCCGAAATCAAATATTCTAAACGAAATATAAAGAATAAGAGCGCGGTTCCTGGCTAGGCTTTCAAAAAAGTCCCAAAAAAGGCTCGCTCCACTCGCCAAGATGTCGACTTGTAGCAAGTCTAGGTTCCTGGCTAGCAAACTACTCCATTTTATTTCATTAACTGATAGTTTCACCCGGACGATCAAACTCAACTTACTTTTGAAATGACTCCTGGGTTCAAACCTTTCACAGTTTCATCACGTCAGATGCAAAACTACTGAAACCTCTCTCGTAAACCAAAACAGCTTTAAGGGCCCGTTAATTATCGGGACTTTCGAGAAACGAGCCCCAGGCCTTCATTCAGGCAGAAATTATGTCATCATTACTTAGATTAGAGCGCAAGCAAAAAAATTCTTGAAAGCCATTTCGAATTCACATATTTCTATTTAGTTCTTGTAGACATATTAAATTCTGCAGGCAGAATACTGCAATGCGGATCGTACTACGTGAAAATTAACTCTGCAAGACATCAACACGACACCGAAAGAACCCAAGACAGAGCGGGATTGTAGCCATAGACAGCTGTTTCGCCCTCCTTGAGGCTCGTCAGGATGGCGTAACAACCAGGGATCTAGTCTGCTACACAGCCGTTTAAGTGTCGTCACGCAAGAGTCCTGTTAGTGGGGAGGAGCGTTGCGTGACGACACTAAAAACGGCTGGTAGCAGACTACCACGGATCAGGCTCTGATGAAAAAATATCCGCACACTCTGATTTTAGCCCTGACTCAGAACTCCTAACACCCACAGAATCACGTCATACCACGTGTCTTCTGGGGGGCAAGAGTCCAAGTGTCACTTTGATGTCTCCCAGAGAAAATAAAGAATTGGCCAAAACCAACATAAAAAACATGGACAAAACCATGCAAAATTACAGCATATCGGATCTATAAAAGATCTACGGCCCAAAAATTCATAAAGTACAAACATTAACCACAAGGGACTGCAAAGGACCGCAAACGAATATGTTCTTATTCATATGGAAATGAAAAGAGAACTACGTTCATACGCTCCTGTAGTTCCCACGAAAACCATACCCGGACTCCAGTCCAAAATGGGGCAAAGTCTATACCCTTTTTCAGACCAAAAAGGCCCAAAAGTCCTACCCTTTGGGGTGGCACATACCTATATGGCTAATATAAGGGAATACCCCCTCCCCCCCCCCCCCCGAGGGAGAAAGTTCACATTATTTACCCAGTAAGAAAAAGTTTTTATTCAATCTGATTAACGAGTTGGCTCAAAGAGACCTTAGTTTCTTTTGAAGTTAATGACTAAAACTTAACACATTTTAATCGATTTTGCCATCTGCCTGCGTAGTTTTTACACGCACCAAAATAATACTTAAAGTTGGAGCGGCTCACCCATGCGAGACACCAGACGAGAGAAGGAGCCGACGACACACAAGGACCGCAAACTCCACGAGCGTTGTCTACATTCTTTAGGAACCGATTACCAATTAATCGTCTCCTGTATTCGTTACATGTCACAAGTTTTGTAAAAGTAGACAGAGTTTGTGTATACAGCTCGCGTTTTTTGTTTTCTCATCCAACCAACGAAATGTATAGTAACCACAGAAAAGAAAACAACATATTTTTTTAATAATACAACGCATCAATATAGGGTGTAATATCCTAATCCCGGAGGCACAGATGTGTAAATAGTATATTAACAGTATATATATAAAAGCAAATAAAAGCGATTGTAATCAGCGTCGTTAACTACAGATAGCTCTGAGTTAATCCGTCTAACTTGATTAGCTTGGATCTAAACGAAATCATATTTAAGGAACATTCTTGTTTAATTTACACCTTTACACCGTAGAGCACCAAATTAAAAAAGCTATTTATAGTCACAGGAAATGGTGCTACAAGGCGTCAATCCTTCCAGATCACCTTTCTCACTCTCAATATTTGTCTTCCAGCCACAGTTCGACTGACGTGACTGAAGCGTGTCTTCGCTTTCGTGATTCTTGCCTAATTGTGGCTGATTCATCATTCTGTTTATTTTAATTTAAAAAAAAAATAGATTTTAACAATAGGAAGGTAGCAAGTGCTTGAAGGGTCATGAATTAGCAGTATGACTGTGATTACTGATTCAAAAACTATTAAAGATCTCAGCTGAGATCTGCGTCTTATGGTTCCAGCAACAGCAAGATGCCTCCAATGACTTCCAATACACTCATCGCCCCATGTAAGGCAATCCGGATTCCTGAATCCAGGAAATTTTTAACTTGTGGAATCCGGAATCCTTATTGCGAGGGAACTACCCGTAATAAACTCTGTAAAAGACCAGTAAGTGTGATCCTTCACAAAAGACTACGCCCTACAGGGGCACCCAACGACGGTTTCCTCCAGAGTGCTTTTAGATATCGAGAAATGCATTTCAAGGGGGGCTATCTTGAAATTTGTATCTCTTATATCATCCTAGGGGAACTTGAGTCTTTTCGAAATTACGAGGGATTCAGTATTTTTTTCCCGAAAATGTTAGATGCAATTTAACGTATCACGAAGGGGAGAACCTGATTTTTCTGATTCCTCTCTCCATCACATTTCTGAATCCGAGAATTTTAGGTTTCCTTTTTTGAACGAAAAATAGTCTAACCTGGACAGTCAAATGTGAAAAATTCAACTTCAGAAAGTCTTGAGGAATTTACTACATAATCTTCAAAAATTGTACCCAGGGTCTCTTCGAGTCTTCTTCGATCTTTCTTAGATGAGTCGGGAAAGAGAAGATCAAAGGCGACATCTGTTCGCAGGGTACAGAAATTGTAAATGATTGTCATCTACAAATTTTTTGTTGTTCTTAAGTAATAGGAAATTCTAGCCAATATTTGTTTCCCGAACAGATACTTTACAGAAAAGAGTTGTTGGGTGCTCCTCTTTAAAGTGATACAGTGACTTCCACTCATAATCTCCACTAAAAGTCCTTTTACTAGAAAATTTGTGACATCTGATGACTTTTTGCCCATTTCTCACTTCTTTTCCCAGTTCTAGGTTGGAATCTATGTAAGTTTAATTGTGAAATGAAATCATGGCCTTTTTAATACAGTTCTCAGTACATCTAATGAACCCTTAAAGTGCCAACTTAAGTGCATATGAAGTCAATAATGGCCGACAAATGGGATTGAAGATTGCACGTTCTTAAACGTATCTTAAAGGTCCGTATCATTTTAAGTTAGGAAATTTAAGAGGTTTAAATTAGGTAAGAGGCGCTTATTTATACCATGAACAGCCTCAAATAGAAAAGAGAAAAGTGACGTCACAAAAATTAAAATTTGTCAAATTATGGGATTGGCCACCACATTCAGGAAAAACAAGATGAAAAAAGCTCGCTTGCCAAAAATCAGGATTTAGTGCACATTTTTTTTTCTTTTGGGGGTTGGCGAGTCTACAAGAGTGCACATCAACAGGAACCACGTCATTGACAACGACAGGCAATTGGCTTTGTAATTAGTTTCAGTTCTTTTAGCCCTTTTATTTATTTGTATTAAGTCTTGAGTAGTAAGTTGAGTTGACGCATTGAGATACAGCAAAGATTATTCTCTGTTATTTGAAAATTGTAAAATCAACCGGCGCTGTTCGAAGGGTCTTTGTCACAAAAGATTATTCTCTCCTGGATACGGTAGTTGATAGTTCGATATACTGTAGTTGTTGGCTGTAGTCACGGCTGTAACCCATAATAATTGGTATATATTGATATCTTTAAATGGATTGTAAATTAAGTATTAAGATCTAGTCAGTATCTTCTTGGAAAACCTAATAAACTGTAGTTTTTTTTTGGTATTGGGTTGTATTACATAACTACTTCGCCTCGCCGATTTGCGGCGGCGCTCTTTAAACTACTTATTAGCCAATGTCACAGCGGAAACTCAGCAGGAATTTCAAAACAAAGTGTCAGTCATCGATGGCCTGCGATTAGTCTTTTACAAGTGAATGACCAATAATCTGCGTACTAAAAGCACTAATGGCAACACGTGATTACATCTGTCAATCAAAAACCACAAGAGCATACGGGGTTTTTCGTTTCTCCACGCTAAAGGATACTTTCGCCAAGGGAAGAGTAATGTGGAGAAATGAGTGAAGGCCACTTCATAGCGTTTTTGCTGTTATTTCTTGCTGTTTGCTGCTTAGGTAGGTAAAAGGAGCTTGTAAAGGGATTGCGTTAAGACGTATGATGTCAGATTAAATCTGATTTGGAATGCTAAGTTCGCCAAATGCCCCTGATACGTTGGCGCCCAAAACCGATCGTTTTTTCTCCACAACAACACATTTTCTAAGTTTGTATCTAGTATTTCTCAAATCAAGACATTTACACCAACACTTTGATGATTTTAGGTAAACATAAATGCCACATGGAGTTCTGTTTGCCTTTTCTGGTTACTGAAATGGGAAATTTAGTCTTCAGCAGTGGTCTGTTTGGGTTCGAGTAGGAGAGTCAACTGTCCGTGACACCCCTTGGAAATGACCTAGAACGCATTTGTTTATATGTATTACGATCGATAGCATCTTCTTATTCAATTCTGACGTTCCTCCTTCATGCAAAATAAAGATAGCCTTTAATTAAAGAATCACTAAGAAGAGTTTTGTATCGTTCTAAGCAGTTAGAGGCATGTGTTTTCTTGCAAAGTGTTCACAGGGATTCCGAGGTTCTGGTACAAGTGTTGTGACGAACTCCGTCGACGTGTATTTATTCACTTACCGAAAATCGATCTTGTAAATTGCGGCTTTTTTGATGTATTGATGTATCACATTCATTTCCGATGAAAAAACACATTCTAGCTTTTCTCCTTTTGGTTTTTTAAAACAGTATGAAAATATTCTTCTATGGGAAGAACTTGACTAGTTTTCGTGCTGTTCAGATAAAACCGTTTAAATTCTCCTATGGTTTTAGGGTTATTGGTAATGTATTCTGTAAAGTCTATAATATTTACATCACGTACGATTCTTTATTACGATTTTAATGAAACTACAACCTTCAGCTTTTTTTTCCGCTAGAGTGTTCATTGAAACGGCATTTCGAGATTTGTTTGTTCGTCCTTAATGATTTCTGGGGTTCGATCCGTATTAAAACAAAGCTTTTGTGATTTTTTGTGTACATTATCCCGTACAATTTTCTGCCATATAGCCACGCAACCAGTTGTTTTGAATAAAGTCATGTAGAAGCTCTCTCATTCCATGTCGAGTGTCGCTGAAGTAAAGTCACGTATCATTTGTTAATCAGAGTGGTTTGTCGAGAAACTATCCCGTCTACCGCAACGCAATTGTCTGTAAAACTATATTGATTTTTTGCACTATTGAGAGATCACAATTTATATAGAAGTTGATTTGCTGTACATGTGTACTGCTGACAATGCCTTTGATCCGAAAAGATAATACTAGTCGTTGCGGCTCTGAGCACTTTAAAATGAAGGTATCTCGTGTCAAATCCTGATCTCGTGTGTCGCTCTTTTGAAAACAATATCAAGTAAATGAATTAAATGGGAAAACAAAAATTGCCTTTCTTGTTTTGCTTGTGTCTGAAGCTCTCCAAAAGCTTTACTAAATGCTTTATTGCAGTTAACAGCAAACATAGGGTTAAGTTATTCATAGGTGCTGTTTGGGAGATTACTGGGTCACATTTCTTGACCTCTTCTTGTGTTTTGTCTTGTTCTTAGCTAAGATATAAAGTATACTTTTTATTTATGTACACCTTTACAACTGGGAAAGGCATAAACAAATTATAGGACAATATAGAGTCAGTGAGTGACAGTTGCAATAGTATATTATGTTAGCAGAGGCAATCTCTCTTCCCTGACAACCGAACAAGCTAGAGTGGAAGGCCTGCAGTGTGTCCAAGTCCTGTACTTTTGTATCACCCAAAATACTTGTTATTCATTCAGCAGAAAAAGCAAGTCATGTTCAGGCAACCACGTGAGAGACACGAGGGGAAACATAAGCTTGAGAGTTGCTTGAGAGTTTTAGGTCACCCTCATCAAAATCAACCTTGTTTGTGAACTCAATCTGACCAAATGCTGCATTATAGCTTAGTGGGTTCACCAGTGGTCACCCTACCCTTATGTTGCTCCAATTAGATGTTCTTGAAACTGTAACTAATATCATGGGTGCATGTCACAATTCTGTTGTATTGATTGGTATTTGTTTGATAAATTGAAGTCCGGCAGCTAATGTTAAAAGACTTCACAACTAAAAAACTGGCCTTGTTATGTTAAAGGAAGTTGAATACCAGAGGTTTGTATTCTGCTCTGCTCTTCACATCTTAGAGTTCAATGTTTTTTGTATGCCATTTGAGAGTCTAGGTCTGCATTCAGTAGTTAAACCTTTTCATTTCAAGAGCAAGTAATATTGTGCTATTCTTACTCATGAGTAGAGAAATAATAATAATATTGTTATTGTGCCGTGATGTGGCAGAACCTGCGTGTTAAAAAAATTAATATTATGGTATTTTTCAATTCCCAGAAGTAGCAAACTCAAAGCTCATCAAAACAAATTTCATTTTATAAAAGATGAAAAATAAATAGTGCTATGTGAAAGTAATGCCAAGAGGGTTTGGTTGAATGGTCACTAGGGGATTTTATACTCAGTAAATATCGACCTTACAAGATTCTTATCATTCACTCTGGCATTGAAAGGGTTAGAATAATTTTTACTGTAGGGGATATAAATTTGTTTTTGGCAATTCATTTTGAAAAAATCAGAATCGGAGAACCCCACAACAATTCATTGCCTTACATTTAACTCCTGGGCCCAGTTGTTCAAAAGCTGATTAGCGCTAACCCAGGGTTAAATTTTAATCCGGGTGTCTTTTTCTTTTGTTCAAAAGTATTTTCTCAAATCATTTTCTCTATTCTTTTTAGAGTATCCAGTCATCAAATTGTAGACGAAAAGAATGAAACTGAATTTGCTTTTTATGCTTTGATATCTGAATTCAAATTTCACATCAACACTGAGTTCTCTAAACACAGCTTTGAACAACGCGGCCCTGATGGCTAGGCTTTAACTTCTTATATGTCATTCAGTTGTAAACAAAACGTAACATTTTTGTTATCACCTCTTGAATACAGCTCAGAAACCAACACAGTATCTTAAGGACTGGTTTGAGATTGACTTGAGATATGGGGTGAAACAATGGGTTGAGTTTGTGTAGCTTCTCAAATGAACCAGAACTGTTCAAGAAATTCAAAAGTAAAGTATGGATAAGATCTAAAATTCTAACCTCCTTTTTGGTAGTGAGTTATTTATACTTCATTCTTGTAAACTTAAGTTGATCTACCAATGATTTTGAAAAGTAAAACAGAATGATGGAGTTTTGAGCTTTTTAAAAAGTACTGTTTTTAAAGAACCTATCGCAGCTTTTGTTTCCCCTCCTACTCTGTGACCTACAATGCTTGTTGAGTGTGACTGCATCCCCAGAAAACAGCTGTTCTGACCACAAACTCTACCATTTTGATAAAAAAAGATAAAACTTTACTTTTGTCTTCATTTACGAGAACCCTTTAGACAGAATATTTGAATTTAAGCAAACTTAAATTCCTCATCTCAAAAATAGAGCATGATCTTTATGGTGGATTGCTTTCTACCACTGCATTACATGTACCTCTTTATTTAATGGCGGCCTTGGCTTTCTCTTGTATTTTCTGTGGTTGTTGTGATAATAATATTTTACGCATGCTTAAGTGCAAAACGTTTTGAGTGGCTTAGTTACTGTTTTTTTTGAGGTGAAAAACTTTAGTTATCAGTGGTTTGATGCAATGGTGCATTTTTATGCTCAAGTTTTCTAATTTTTACTTCCTCGACACATAGTTTTGTTACAGAGAAGAAATAGTACTGCCAAAGCTTTTGTCTGAATGCAAAAAAAAGACAACAATCCCAGATACAAATACTTGAGCATGTGGACCCATAAAAAAATAAACTCTCCATTAGCAATAGTTCAACTTCCCGTAAGCTTTACATTAAATATATTTGTGCTATTGTTGGTAGCTTACTACCGTCACGCAGTCTTCTGTCTTTTAAATGCCTTGAGAGTGAAACTACTGCAATTATGGAGAGTCTAAATGAACAACTGGTCAAGGTTTTCAAATCACTAATTTCAGGGATGGTTCTTCTCTAGCTTTACCTCTATGGGTAGATAAATTAAACTGTATTCATGGTTAGGAGTTTGTATTAAACAGAACCTTGCCCCGGCTGTTGGCCATTTAGCAAGAGTGTAGTAATTAACCTAAAATGTTCCTAATTCATACATCATTAAATTCACGCTAGCCACTAGTAACATTGTATCTACAGTACAATCTTACGAATGTCATAATTTTCAACAAGGGGAGTTAAATGGCATTACCAATTTTGTCTGTATATATATGGCAAACCTTTGACTCCAAACTCATAGAATCATAAAGCCAATTTTGTTAAATGCCATGAATCTATTTTTTGAAGTATTTTGATAGTTTCATGGTGGGCCATCCTTACCAAACAGCTCATCAAACAGGGTTTGCACAGTCTTGGAAAGTCTTTGAATGTTAGGGGAAGTCATTGAATAGTCCTTAAATTCCATTTTCCTTGAAAAGTCCTTAAATTGTCTGTGCGAGTCCTTGAAAAGTCCTTAAATTTTCTTCAACTTTAAATGTAGCGGCCTGGAAAGTTTTTTTTAATGCTTTTTGGTTGTCAAAGACAGAAGTTAATGGTGATTTGCATTAAGTGTTTTTTTGTTTTATGCAATAGTTAACTATCAATATTATTTGAGACAAGTGAACTGAAAAATGTAGGGAAGTTGGTGGAGCTAACAGTTCAAGCCTTAAAAAGTCCTGTTAGAATGAACTGGGAATGTGCATTTTTGTACAATCTGTGAAATTACATTCCTGGTAGGTGGTCCTTGAAAATCAAATGTGGTCTTTGGAAAGTCCTTAAAAAGTCCCAAAAAAATGGGTACAATTTTTTGTATGAACCCTGTTAAAGCAATAGTATCATTGGAAACCACGGCTCCCTTTTTAAGTTTCTTGTTAGTTTCCATGTATTGGCAAATCTATCAGCTTTGTTCCAGCTTTAAGTTAATCCCGATAGCATCGCCATCTTGGATATCAGTTCAAAACATACATTTCTTAATAAGGGACGGTTCATTATTTATGGGAGTGACCGGGTCGGGAAAAAACCGAACGGGCTTTGAAAATTTTTCTTGCCGTGGCGACGGGCTTTGTGTTTTTTTCTTGAACAAAGAGACCGGGCTTTAAAAAAAAATGAACATAAACTAAAACTGTGGTAAAATGCGGCAGTCGTTTGATGAGAACAACATATGGAAACTGTATTCGTCGTTGAAAATTCACCCGGTAAATTGTCATACTTTCATATCAAATAAATATTGCTACAATATTTTTGGTAATGCAGAGATATACCCGCAAGAAAAAGCTCGCGCTTTGCGATCAAACCCTCTAGAATTTTAATTTGACAGGCCACGGAATGACACAAATGTACTTTGTGAGCTGCTGTTTTATAGTTGTTTATATTCCTTGACATTTCAGAGCTTGTAATCAAATTAGAATTTCAAATGATGCATGGACAAGGATTTTAATCAAAGTGAACTCCAACGGTTGGAATATTAAATCTTTGGACTCCGCCAGACTGTACACAAGAAAACAAGATGTTTTGATCGAGGATCTCAAGTTGCAACTCCTAGTGAATTGAAAATACTTTTTCTGCACGCACCACAGTGCCGTGGAGTCTGCCAGCCAAGTTCCGTTGATTTCATGCAAAAATAGGTTTACATTCTTATCTGTCTCGGAAATAAACTTTTATTATTTAAAAATTTTTGTATCTTGTAAATGTGACAAGCTGTGACATTATAAAGCTGTTCCTTTCATACTTAAAAAACAACTGAGCAGTCCGCATAGTCTTTGATGCCTAGCGTCTTGTGTTAATTTTCACTGATCGAACAATGATAAAGCTAATCAGAATCTTCGTCTGAAGCATGGGAAGCGGAAGTATATCCTTTAAAAGTTTTTACTTTCTCACGAATGATTTCGAGTCGTTCATCGATCTTGACCGCGTCTTCGGCAAAAAAACCTTCCTTCCTTAAAAAAAGGAGGGAGTTATAATGCGAACGCGGTTGCAAGTCATTTAATACGAACGGTTATATATCCGTGTTCAAAGATATATTTAGGACTTTTTCACTTATTTGGCAAACAATGAAATGCCTCAAGCTGGATGTCATTTGTTAACGTGCACTTTTCACAGATGTTAATAAATTATTGTTTGTAATCGCTGAACTCGTTTGATAGCCGTTTGCTGACTCGAACGGCGAACAGTTGTGTATTTGATCCGAACATGCACTAGTTGCTCTAGTCATAAATAAACATTGAATGATTTTCACAAGGTACTCACTTCAATTTGAACGGATTTTGAGAAATTTGACCCCAAATACTGAACGGGCTACGAAAAAACAAAATGCCTTTTGGGCGGGCTTTAGAAAAAAAGAGGAAAGCTGTTATTTTTTTCCCGACCCGGTCATCCTCATAAATAATGAACCATCCCTAATTAGCAGTCAAGGTTTTGGCCTGTTCTCAAGTATCAGTTGACCCCTCTTGTCTAGACCACTGGGATTACATGTATGTGTCAGTCTTATTTTTACATTTACATTGTAAATCTATGGACAAAAATCTCCGGTGTTACCATTCAGATGAAGCCTCTTCAACAGGACTTTTACGTAGTCAAGGCTGCTGCCTGACAGGAGCCCGGTCACCAGAGGTGCCTATGATTTACCCTCGGGCAACCAAAATTTCAAACAGGGAGCCCGAATGGGTGCCTTAAACTTATGATTTTCAGTATAACTTCCAGTGAACAAACAACAAAATTCCCTGCTCATTTGGCACTTTTGAAACGATAATGGAAAACGTTTGATCGTCAGCCAGAGGCAAAAAAATATTTTCGCTGATAAAAGGTAAACAAACAAGCGCTATGTCTTGAAATTCACTTCTGTGACTTCCGCTGCTGAGCAGTTGAAGTTTCTCATCTGAAAATGGCGTCAAAGGAATGTAATAGTCTTCGAAAAACCTTTGATAATAAAATCATGTTTTTCCCTTCAACATTACAAACATTAGGTCACTACCACATGAAGTAAAATCAGATAAAATGTCACAATCGTTATAATGGGAAATTAACCCCAATCAGGGTTGTCACTAAGATTTCAAGTTGCCGGGTAAACACAACAAGTAGGCGGGGAATCAAACGGCTAGGGATTTCTTTTGGTTCTATTTTTCTTCTATTTTCCAAAAAAAGTAGCCAGGGGCCACTCTCTTAGTAGCCGGGGAAAATCCCCGGCCCCCGGCTCTTAATGACAACCCTGCCCAATAAAATGGAGAGTCTTTAATAGCAAATTCTCTGGCAGTGTTTTTCTTCTTTTATCTGTTTCCTAGAGTGCTTGCCATTTACACAAACCACCCAGGCACAAATCTTGTATTTGAACATAAAACTATAAAATTTGGCTTGGTGGGGAAACAACCCACTGCATTGTATATGCAGATCAGCTGAACAGGCTTAAAGGGGTGGAAATATTGATTCTTCTCAAATTGCAGCCCATATTATTTTTCCAAAGCTTCCCAAGCGGAATGGCATGAACCCTTTGATTTTCCTTCCAGAATTTCCCTGTTAATGGTAAATACCCCTAATCTCACATTTGTTTCTGCATTTACTTTTTCTATTTCTTTCAGGAGAATCCCCTCCTAATGGCCATCCTACTCCTCTGTCCTGTCAAGTGTATGAACTGATTGATGGACTACCCTGTACTTCGCCTGGATCCTGTGTTAATAATGATACTAGTTGTACAAACCAAGGTCAATTCTGTTATTCCATATGGATGAATATGAGTGGTGTTGTCTCTGTTTTATCACAGGGTTGCCAGGAACAAAATGATAATTGTCTAAACCAAACTTGTACACATCATGGAGCACCTAAGATACGACATAGAAAAGGCAAGGACGTAAAATATTATAAATGTTGCTGCAAAACAGACTTCTGTAATCGGCAGTTCAGTCTTTCAACCATTGTGCCTCGAAATGCAACGCCTTCTCCTGAAACAAGTAAGTTGGAATCTAGTAGATTTCAGAATTCTATATACCATAAAATTCTGTAAATAAGGCTTATATTTTTCAAAAGCTCTTTTTGAGGGGCTTATTTTTGGAAGGGCTTATATTCGGAGGGGCTTATCTATGGAGGGAAATTTGCGTTTCAAACTCGATTGGGCTAGCCTTATAGTTGGAAGTAAATTTACCGTTTTCACATTGTTTTACTTTGTATTTGAGGGCAATTTTCGAAGTACAAGCCCCCGGGGGACTTATATTTGGAGGGGCGATTTAATAGAGGGTTTTTTGCGTTACCTGTTTGGGGGGCTTATTTATGGAGGGGCCTAATTTCAGAATTTTACAGTATTCTCTCAGCTAACAAATTACAATGTGGATAAAAGTTACAGTGGAGGAAGTCTGGAGGATATCAACTAAAAACCCAACTGGATGGAAATAGCCTCTGTTGCAAAAATCAATGGCAGAGCTATATGAAAAATCATCATATATGAGATAACCATTTTACTGTGAAACTCACAAAACCGTGAACACCAGAAATATTCATGGAGTGTTATTGTGTTGAGAAGAGCAAGCCAATAAGTTGTGAGAAACCTAAACCACAAACAGCAACAGTAGTTACCGGTAGTTTGTGGTTTGCTCGCATGTCCTGAACTTCATTGTGATTGGTCACTACACAATCAACATTCCTGAAATTTTTCAGCCTCTCACGGTTTTCTGAGTTTGACAGTAATCATAGTCAGGCTAAAAAAGTGAAACAAAAAATTAAAAGCAGCGGTAAAGAAAAAAATAAATGAATATTTATGATAAGATGAATCCTTTCAGCTTATAGGAAAAGGAGGTGATACTTGTTGGCTTGCATTATGAATTTCTAAACATAAGAGAGTTAAAGAATTTATAACCTTGGAAACTGGTAGAGAGCTTTCTTATGTTAGTCCAGCGATGGGGTAAATAAAGGAGCTCCGATCTACCAGTGACACAAGAATGCACCTGTTGTGTCACTAAAAGCATATTATTGAAGTAATCAGGAAGGAAGCTGGATTTCTATTGATAAATTAATTTTACTATTTCAAGTTGGTATAGATATTGTCAAGTGTCAGAATTCCTATTATATATTATGGTTCTCACATGGGGTTCTTTTTTTGTTCCTCGTTCCAAAGCAACAAGAGGTGGTACCACCTTGACAACGAGTCCTCCACCACCAGGCACCAAAGACAAGACTATACAGACTTTCTTGTACTTGCTTCCAGTATTTGCATTCGCAGTGGTCTTGGTAGTTGGATTTTTCATTTATCGCAGGCATAAGACAACGTTTCCATCTCGAATTTTTGAAGAGGAGCCTCTCAACTCTATTCCACCACCTTCTCCAGATCTTGGTGCTAGGCCGATTCAGTTACGCGAGGTTATTTCTCAAGGCCAGTTTGGCAGAGTATGGAAAGCAGACTATTTACAAGATACTGTCGCGGTAAAAGTTTTCTCATCGTCCCACAAAGCAGCGTGGGCCTGTGAAAAGGAGTTTTACAGTTCTTGCAACATGAAACATGAAAATATTCTCAACTACATCGCAGCTGAGAAACACTCAGATGGGCAGTTTGTGGAATATTGGTTAATAACAGAGTACCATGAGAGTGGTTCACTTGCTGATTATCTGAAGGGCCATGTTATTAGCTGGGCTGAGCTATGCAGCATGGCAGGGAGCATGGCCAGTGGTCTTGCCTACCTTCATGGTGAGATACCTGGAGCTTTTTTTAAGCCCTGCATTGCTCATAGAGATTTTAAAAGTAAAAATGTACTTGTCAAAAAGGACCTTACCTGTTGTCTCTCTGATTTTGGACTGGCAATCAAGTTTGAGATGGGAGAGGACCCTGGGGAGACACATGGTCAGGTGAGTAAACTCTGCAGAACATAGAGTAGCCTGCATGGTAGGCATTCAAAAGGGAAGGGGAAGAGAATTGAGGGCGCGAGACCGCGCAGGAGGGAGGAGGGGAATGCCTGCAAGCAAGCCATTGTTTTTGCCATCCAGCCTACTTATTAAGAAATAACAAAAATAACACAACTGTGAATGACTAACTGTCAAATAAGTCTGGCAACGATGCACATATTCTGGTCGTATTTCTCGCACTGTTTTTCTTTTGTTTTCCTAAAACAAGAAATCTAAAGTGTAGGTACTATAAAAGAAAGTTCAAATGTGGTTGTCTATTGAAGGAATCTTCTTTGAAAGTTGCAACGACTCATGCCGAGTTACATAAAATCCAGCATAATTGTATTCAGGCCCGTAACCAGGATTTTATGTGGGGGGGGGGTGCTAACGAGGCCAAAGTGGACCAAACTACCGAAATGTATTTTTTATTTTCTGATTCGTTTATTTAGGAAAGTAGCAATACATGAGAAATTGTAACGGCAAAGTATACACGGTAGGAACTGAATATTACATTTGTCGAATATTGTCATGGCATCAGGAAATGACGATAAGAGACCAAGAGAAACATAAAATGTATTTTCCCTCTTTGTGTCTCGAAAACTTTTATTTTGATTGTTTGGGATGCCTGTGGATTGCTGCTTTAGATTAACCCTCCCAGTCCCTCTCCGAATTGGCACTGGCTTTTTATTAAGCGAGTTTGTTTCATATCGAGGAACAGCCACTAAACCTCAGAGCATAATAATGGGATCAAGACTGGTGGACATTGCGAAAAGTATGATTTACCCTCATCTCGCTGTAAAACTGTAGTCAACTGAGAAAGATCTGCAGTTGTGGTTTCAGCTGGGCTATCGTCGCCGACTGCACTGTTATTGTCAGCGTCTGATGGCTCTTGACGGGGTACTTTACTGACCCATGTATTGAGAGACTGGGAAGATTTAGCTGCAGCCTTCCTCTTTCTATTTTCCTATTCTCTCCTACCCGTAACGTTTTACACAAAAAAACTAATTTTGCATCTTCGGGCGTTCATGCGCTCGTACAAATAGAGAATACTACCCGACGCGTTATCTGGTTAGCGGACGTGTCTGACAAAAACGTGAGATCGCTTCCGCTTTTGTCACTGGCTCGCTCGTCGTAAACTCCCGTGAAAAGCGTCGCCACGTTAATTTCATTATTCATTTAGATAAGCTCGGACATCTGTGCGCTCATTGAAATATTCTGAATAGCTCGGGCTACTAAAGTGGAGCTGGTTTTATTTTCCCAGTGAATACACTACTGCTTTTTCCAGTCTTTGATTTTGTGTAAATATCACTGTTAAGTTTGAAACTTCAGTTTAACCGACTGCACTCCTGAACTTGGATATTGAGTATCAAAATGCGGACCTTTGGGGCCTGTTGGGGGGGGGGGTGCGAACGCACCCTGTGCACCCCCCCTGGTTACGGGCCTGGTATTCAAGTTGTTGCGGAAGGAATCGGGCTGGAAGACTATTTAATAAGAAAGGTAGCGGCTCTTTGCAACTTTCAATGCAATGGTTGTCTAAGAAAAATTAAAACAATTTGCCGTCAGTCTTTGAATTTCTATCAGGACGAATTCGATCCTGCAGAGCACACAAAAGAACGCTGGTAGCAGGGAAAGAAGAGCTGAACTTCGAAGATCTGCAAGAAGACAGCAATTAATTATTACAGTAAGTTCGTGGCGGTTTTATAACCAGCAAGAAGAAGTCCTCAACCAAAAATCGCTAAGAGTTATAGATCGCTTCATCTTCAACAATCTTGCCGTTGATAACGCAGGTCAAATAGCAGATAACAAGCACACAGGCAGCATGATTTTTCCTTTCTTTCTTCTAGTGAGTAAAACCGACAAGCCGTTGGGAGATGATACTTTTCAAAACCAGTCAGTAAAACTCATCTGCTGACGGGCCTTTTCCTTCATATGGTTCTTTAACTGCTTTTTTCTATTCTCCTTTCAAGCTGAAATTGATGCCTTCTAACGATGAATTCCCGTAGGGAAATGTCATCACGCTTCACTATTAAGCTAGGGTATCTAAAAGATAGTAATGCTGCGGCACATTCTGTTGATACTGGCATTAGTTAGGCAGTGGGACTTGAAAGAATCAAAAATGACATTGAATGTCCTATTTACATGTTGGAAAGTACTAGAATGATTACTATCAGTCTATATAAAGAACTCATGGAAACGTTGTTTAAAAAATGATCAAGTGGTTATTATAATAACTCTGGTTTTCCCACAGTAAGTTGTAGGAAATGATAGAAATTCAGATTGTTTATCCATATATTTATATAGGATGTACTATCTTTTCTCTGGAAACATGATACTTTTCTTGCTGTTTATTGCACTTTATTAAGTAACAGTTATTTAGCTATATATTTATAGAAAACAACAACACAAAAAACAGAAAAAAAAGAAAGGAGGAAAAAAAGAGTTCAGTAGGATTCGAACCCGGCACCATCGGCTCGACGCAACTACACCTCACCACTACACCACAGAGACTGATTACGTAATTAGGGGAAACTTCCGCCGGCAAGATGATCGCCAGCCACATTAATCAAGCTATTAACAGCAAAAAACAATGTAAACGCATATTCCATAGCAATGAATGAATGAAAGAACATAATTATGCTTTTCAAAACGCCGATACACGTCCTCATCTGCAACGTAGGACACAAAACATTTCCACTGTTATTTTGAAGCGAATGGTCAAAATCACATCCATTTTCGGCTCATACACGTTCTTAAGAATAGCATGGCACGACATTTTCTCACTTTCACATCACCTTCTAGCAAGCTGGAATTTGCGCCCAAATCCCCCTTCCCCTTCTCCTTTCAATGCCTGCCACACAGGCTAATCATAGAGCACTTACTGTTGAAATTAAGTTGACACTCAATTCTTCATCCTCGCAAGAATCAGATTTCCAGGGTTTTTTATTTTTTTGCACTATTACGAGAGGTTACTATGTAGGTTACAATATATCACAAAAGCAAGTAAGTGGCTCTCTGTTTTTGAGAATTGCTACGAGAAGGTACAGTCTTTGTTCAAGTTTTAAGTATCATCTTGCATGTACCTCTCTCATATTAGAAAAAAAACATTCACTCTTTAAAAAACTTTTCGCAAACACCTGAACAGATTATACATACTCAAGATGTAGTTGAAGCTCTGGTAAGCCACCAGGTTGGAAATTCAAGCTGGTCACTTAAGACAATGAGCTCTCATAAGTGACTGCTTGGTAAAACAATAGAGGGTGGTCGATTATGAAAGCTTCAAAAATCTATTAATAATTCAGATTAATGTTTAATGAGTGTCTTTCTATCTGAAACCGACATGGCTAATCTTTACGTCTGAGTAGTCGCTACAGAAATTACCTTGAACTTTTACAAGTACCAAACTGCTTTGTACAAGTTCTTTTATCAAGGAACCATTAGTGCAGGGTCAAGTTTCATTAAAGTGGTAATTAACATCAACAAGACTCTGAGACTCTGGTCACCTATGAGACTTTAAAAGCAAAGGAAAATTCATGTTGGGTAATATATCCAAAAAGTGTTTGCTGTTACTTTTGGAAGCCCTCACTTCTGAGAGCTTTTCATTACAAAGTTTAAGTTACAGTTCAAACGGGGTTTCACAAAGGTGACCATAACTAGAGCTGGTTGCTTACAAGAGTGGTCGAAAGGAGATCTTCTACTGTAGTAGTTGACAGTTCTTCAGGAAAATTTGCATTCATTCAAATGGCTCGACTGATATGTTATGCATTTTGCATCCTGAAAATAGCAGGAGTTGTCAGTTTCACTAGTTGAACTTGAACTGTAATCCATTTAATTCTTGACTCGCAACAGACCATCAGCTTGCTTTTGAATGGTACTTTATATTTTATAAGATAATCAATATTCATTTATCAAGTTACAGAAAATCTGATAGGTTTACCTCCTTTTTAGGCTCAGCCTCGCCCTCCCCTTAAAAGCCATTATAGGGAGTACCCCCCTGCCCCCCCCCCCCCTTACTGTGAATTTGCTATAGGTACCGTAAACACCCGCTAATAAGAACCTGTGGATTAAGAACCCTCTGGCAGAATTTTGCCACTAAAATACCCCAAAATAAAAGAACCTGTTTAGCCAAGCAAGATCAAGCAGGTTCTTTTATCGGGTTATTATGATAAACAATATACATTGCAACCAAGGAGTGCAACTTTGAGCTGTACAAGTGAATTTAAGTTTAACAAGAACATACTGTACAAAACTGTATGTAAATTCAGTAATCAGTTTTGTTAGGATCATAATAATAAAATTGTGAATAAATAAAAAGTTTACTTATTTTTCTGGTAATCACCAATCTGTTATCTCCTTCATAGAGATTAAGAACCAACTATGATGTAATGTTTATTGTAATGTAGGTTGGTACGAGACGTTACATGGCTCCTGAAGTTCTTGAAGGGGCCATTAATTTTACAAGAGAAGCCTTTTTGCATATTGATATGTATGCGCTTGCCCTTGTTCTTTGGGAGTTAGCGTCGAGATGCACTGCTGTTGATGGTAAGCTTGAACACCCGTAAGAGTAAAATCATGATCTTAGCATGACTCAAAAAGTATTGAAAGATTTTTAAAAAAATAAGTCATAATAAAGCTAAAATTATTCTGAAAAAAGTGATGGTGGCTGAAGAGGGAAGGAGTTATTATAATAATAACCCTTTAAGACCAAAAATCCACACTCAAATTCTCCAGTCTGGTGTGCATACATTTCCTTAAACAGGGCTGTCATCAAAGGTGGGGGAGGGGGCAAGGATTTCCTGTGGCTTCTTTGAATAAAAACCCCAGCTACTTCAATAGCAAAAATAGAACCGAAGGAAATCCCTAGCTACCAACTTGTTGTATTTACCCGGCCACCTGAGAACTTAGTGACAGCCCTGCTTAATGATGTGTGGAGAGAATTTGATAATTTCTCCAAGGAGGTCAGTTTATCAACTCTCATAACCGTTACTCTTGATATGTATTGGGTATTTTTAAGAGAAAATTGATGTTGATCACTGTTGGGATTTACTGGGTTAACACATAAGAATCATGGATTATACATGTAGGTGCTTAGCAGCTAAAGAGTTTTCCAAATTTCGGTCAGGACACAAAGTTTGATTATCAAATGTGTGATAAATTAGGGAAAAAAATTACTGCAGGGGTAAAATTGAATTGACCAGTCTGGAAAATACCATAACATACTATAATTCTCTTTTTGTCACCCCAAAATTTTGCCTAAGCATTGTTTTCCATTTCTCTTTGGGCCATTTTAACTCCCAAGAGAAACTGAAGACAATGCTTAAGCAAAATTTTGGGGTGACAAACAAAGAGCATTATGGTATGTTACAGTATTTTCTGAAGTGGTCAGTTATGTTTGTAGAACTTCTTGAACCTACTCTTGTACATCTTTTAAAAAGGTTAAGATGGAATCCATCAGGAAATTGAGTAATTTTAATTTTCAGTGGACAAAAACCTTATACCAGAATAATTTAAAGCATATTGCATTCTTTTTCACTGTTTTCAAGGGTTATGGATGTAATAAGTAAGTTATCTGTAATAACATGGCAGAAAATTTTTTATGGGAGCCCAAGAAAAAAAAAATTCAAATTTCATTAAAAGAACTCTTATGTATGAAGTTTTACCTGTGTTTTCACAGTCCCTGTGAAATTTGAATTTTATTTTCTCTGGCTCCCATGGGAAATTGCCTTTAATATTATTACGGACAACTTATTATATCTATTAGTATAGCTCTTGAAAAGTGTATAAAAGAATGCGATATGGTTTAAATTATTCTGGTACAAGCTTTTTGTCCACTGAAAACTAAAATTGCTCTATTTCCTGATGTATGTTGTCTTAAATCAAGACTGTTTCTCCCAGGTCCTGTAGGTGATTATAGAATGCCATTTGAAGAAGAAGTAGGATCCCATCTGTCTTTAGAGGATATGCAACAAGCTGTTGTCCACAAGAAAATGCGCCCCAAGTTTAGAGCTGACTGGTTTCATCACAATGTAAGATAATATTAATTATTGTCACCCTCTATGAATCAGGGTTGTCACTAAGATTTCAAGTTGCCGGGTAAATACAACAAGAAGGCGGGGGATCAAACAGCTAGGGATTTCGTTTGGTTCTATTTTTCTTCTATTTTCTAATAAAAGTAGCCGGGGGCCACTCTCTTAGTAGCCGGGGAAAATCCCCGGCCCCCGGCTCTTAATGACAACCCTGATGAATACAGGAATACACCAGCTTGCCTGAATTGCAGGATATTGCATCTGTTGTCTGTTGTCCAAAGCACACTGAGGGGTTAGCTAAAAATTTGGTTGATAGTCAATTCCTTTTTTTGTTTTTTTAACTCCATCATTCCCAAAACTAGGCAAGTCAAAATCAAGACAAAAATTCCAAGTTTTATTTTATTATAAGAATCTGAATAAAATAATATCAGAGGGTACTGCTCGGGAGCTTTCATTTGAAGAGTGGCACCACTGGATTTCGTGGACAGAAGCAAGAGATCAAGACTCCTACCATTCACGAGCTGGGAATGATAGGAGTACAGCTGTGGTAGTCCAAAGCTCTGGTTCAGCCAAAACTCTAGTTAAGAATCAATTTTCTCTTTTCTTTTTTTAACTGTTTCCATCTTCAAGAAGTGGCAAAAGTCAGACAAAAATTCCAAGTTTTATTTTGTAAGGTTACACCACTTGGTTTCATGCACAGATGAAACAGATAGAGACACCTTTCAACAAGACCCCTATCGTTCACTCTGGGGATGTTAGATTTAGAGGAGCTGTGTCACGAAATTCAGCCCCATTAGGAAATTACAAAATGCCCGTTAAATTAAGAGGAACATAAAAATAAATGCTTAAAACTTTAAAGGAAGGTTAAAATAACATAACAGAAACAACAGATGCCACGGATGGGCAAAACTGAAGAAGATTGAAATGGATTGAAATGAGGGTTTTTGAAAACTGTTCAGTCTAACAGTTTTTTTTTTATCCCTGCTGCTTGCGACTTCAAAAATAATGCTCAGGAGACATATTTGTTTGTCTTGAATCTCTGATTTTGTCATTTACATGTAGTCTCTTTGCTTACTTGAAGTTCCATACCGATTGAGGGCGAGTAATTAGCAAAATTAAACAAAATGAACTGGACTGCTGTGATACAGCCCCTTTAAGGGTAACAAGGCTCTTATGGCCAACTTGTAATGATAACTTACATGTACTGAGTTGTTGTGTCAACCCCAGGGGTTCTTACCATTTACGTAGGAAAACTGAAAAATCTAGTTGGAAAATGGTTCATGCCATTCCTTTTGCTAAGTATCAGAAAATATGGCCTGTGATTTACGACAATGCAATATTAATTTTCTGTTTTTTTGAGTCTGTTTAGCTAGTTTGAATTGGATATACTTTGTGGTGGATCGTTCTTCCGCTACATCAAATTCTATAGTTTTATGTTTATACACAAGATTTCCACTCAGGTGCATGGTTTGTGTAAATGGTAAGCTCCCCAAGCTACCAAAGAGCACTTTGGTTGACCCACCCTCTTCCTTTGGCACCGCTTGGAGTAATAATATTACGTGCATGAGCAAGTTCAAAGTAACAAAACTTGCTCTAATCAAAGATCATTCTGAACACAGGGAATGGCTAGTTTTCTTCAAACTATTGAAGAGTGTTGGGATCAAGATGCAGAGGCAAGGCTGTCAGCGCCGTGTGTTGCAGAACGAGTGTCTCAGTTCCAAACAATGACAACTTCTGGACTGGAACACCCTCCAGCTGTGACCACAGTAGTGAATTACACCAACGATGTTTCTGTTAAGACATCGTCAAAGGAGTCAACCATATAAGATATCTGATTGCTAAAGGATGAAACTGTTGGTAATGTACAGTCGGTATCTGGTAGTCAAACTTTCATGCGATGACCCTGCAGGATATGCTGCCGTGTAAGGGCTCTGGGATGAGCCAGCGAAGGACATTACAGTCATCTTATTGAACACTGTGAGACAGGAAGTGAGAAATGATTCCCTTAAGTGCACTCGGTTCCTCCTGTACTATGGCCAGTTAGTCACCAACTTCATTCTCATGCTCTCACTTTCGCTCTGGGCAAGAAGAAGGGAGTCCCCAGAAATGAGCTTGGTAGATCCCAGCATCATCGTGGACTCTGTTAAGTCAGTTTTATAAGCAGGGAATTTCCAGAATTATCCAACACAAGCTTGATGCATTCACAATGTTGGGTCAATGTTGTCATTATCATTTTGCTATCATGGCTACAAGCACAACCTGCATTTTAAAACTTTTCTCATCATTATCATGGTGAACATCTGCACAACTTCATATGATTTCAACCTTCACCAACAAAGGGTTTATCTCTCACTGTAACCATGGTCCTCATCACTTTCACCTTCATTCTTATCATAGTTGTTGTCACCATGTCATAAAGTACTATGACAGTTATTGCCATCATACAGCCAAAGCCACTGAGTGTCATAATCCATGTATTGGTAATAAGTAACAATAATTATCATGTGAATCTCTAAAATATATTATCAATACACTATTTAGACTTATCACTATGCTTAAAGCCCAATGGGCCAAGCTCAGTTATTTGTATCTATGAATTGCAAATTTTATTCTTTGTTATAATATTTCATAATCAGCTCCTGAACGTCAAAGTATGGAGATAAGTGAAAGGCTTTCTAAGCATTATTTTATTGTCATACTCACATTTAACTCATAGTGGCACACTTATTAGCGTCAGTATTGACACAATATCTTTAATAAGTGTGATGACTCAGTGCTTTATAATAATTAAAGCACAGTGTTCATTGGGTGGGATTGCATGCTACATTTTTTCCCAAATAAGGTGTAACCGATCTTGTTAATATTAAGGCAGCAAAATGTTTTAATTATGACCTACATGTAATTTCCAGGTCAAATAATCGGGAGGTGAGGTGTGGTGTCACATAACCATGGTAGCAAAATTTCTGGATCACGACGACAGCGTTGGCAACGAGCAAGGGCAAAAAAGTAATAGGTTTACATGTATATTAGCAAAACAGCAACTTTGCACGTGCGTCACGCTTTTTTGTACATTTCTTAGCTCTCGTTGCACGACTGCAACATGAAACTTGCTAATTTCACACGCCCGCTTTATGGAGTTGGTGAACGGAACATAAAAGTTTTCGTTTAATTTTCTTTTTCTGAACTTAGATACGGTCCTTAAGGATTCAATCCCGGAAAATTTCGCCTTTATTCAGAAATTAAATGAAGTTGATCAATGAAGTTTGAAACAGTGGGAATTCACTTTTTAAGTGACGTTTTCAGTTTTGTTGTCATCCTGAAATTTTGCTACTATGGCAACGTGACGTAACGACTTCTCTCTATATTCTTCAAAGCCTCTCTCTTTCTGCAGATATGCAAAACAGAAAGTATCACATCCACGACAATGAAGAGTTGGGTGCTTAACAATATAAGGAGGTGTAAGAATGTCGCTTTGAGACTGAGGTGGAATGAAATGGAGTGTGTGTAATTTCATTTTTCTGGGTAACGGACTTATTCTGTTGGACGAAAAGTAGCCAAAGCCAGGAAAGACGGTGTTGTGAATGGTATGATCACCAAATGACTTACATGTATACAAAGCATTTCACAGCAAGCATTCGAAAGGGAAGGGAAAGGGAATTTGGGCGCAAAACCGCTCGTGAGGGCGAAGGGAGGAAGAGATGAAGCGCCTTTCGTGATTCTCACGCGCGCGGAAGGCGGAATCCCCTTTCCAAGTTAAACACCTGTCATGCAGGCTACTTAGCCATAACTACAACACAAGGTTGGGTAGCTAACCAACAGTGGCTTCTACGGCACCAAGAAACACATTGAAATAATCCTTTGGTACTCAGCTTGTTTTCCTATTAAGAATGCCACCGGTAGTGAATTAGGAATTAAGAAAAACCATGGGCGCAAATTATCTTCTTGTACGCTGACACTCTTTTGTCTATTGGTTCACGTACTTTGTTACAGCGGTTTTCACTTGACTGTCGAAAGGGATTGGTTTTGGTTTTGGTTTTACTACGCCCTTTGGTTGGCTAGTGTATTTACTTTGGTTTTGGTTTTACGACAGTCAAGTGAAAACCGCTCTATCTTGCACTGAAATTCAAGTATTGATGTCTTCACTAATGCACTTGTTTGAATCAAACATGCCCCAGTAAGTAAATGAAACTCAGCTATTAGTATATAATGAATGTCAGAGCGACATGCAATATTCTTCAAGGTATATTTATATGCTTGATTATGTTAAGATGCTCTAACTGGTAACACAGGGAGATCATCTTTAGGACACCTGTTCTTCAAAGGGTTAACTGCAAATCAAATGCTTTGTAATAACACCCATCCAACAAATTTTCCGCCGAAAAATAACCAAGGATATTTAAATTCTCTGTCCACTTGTTGTCATTATCAGGACAAACTCTGCTGCTGTAATGTATTTTTTGTGATAACCATGATATACTGTCGTAAAAAATAATTTTATCTAGAAGGAAGGTATTTCCTTTTTTTAAGATGTACTCGAATCAATAATCATTGTACTGGAGCACTAACAAGGGCAATCTCTTATATCTGTAAATAGTTCCATTATTTTTACGACACATTTATCACTGCTGTCATATCTTTATTTACGAACGTAAAGTTCATTCGTACTCCAGTAAACTCTTTTATCTGTAAATAGAGTTGTTTGTCGCTCGCGTGTAGCGTAAGAATTACCTTCTCATATCATTATAAAAATGTCAATAATAAAGTTTGAAAAGAACTAAGTCTGAAAATTTGATGTGAGGTATTCAAACTCGTCACTCGAAGAGTTCTGGTGACCACCCTTTCAAGGCTTTTAACAGGGCTAAACAGCTAACTAACAGGTTTGCCACCAAAAAACTTTTGGTGGCCCCTTGAACTGGGTCTCGTTTTTCATGTTTAGGCCTTAGGGAGGGAGGTTAGGGTCGTCAAGGTTTTTAAAAGACCCTGGGCGACACAAACGTAACCTATCCAAAATTTATGGGAGTACCTCCCGGTGGGTGGGGGGGTGCGATGCGTTGCCTTTGATACGTTCGAATATCAAGAACCTTTATCCGTTTAAGATACGGGTAAAAGCAAAAGGAGAAGAAAGTAACTCCCGCGAGGAAGGGACCCGCAAGCTGGTGAGTTATCCGTCGTGAGTTACTGCAGCGAGGTAGTGAGTGGTGAGTTGCAAGATATTGAATTTTCCAAATCTTGCCGACAAGATATCGAATTTTCCAAATCCTGCCAGCAAGATCTTGAATTTTCCAATCTTGCCGGCAAGATCTTGAATTTTCCAAATCCTGCCGGTTAGATCTTCAATTTTCCAAATCTTGCCGACAAGATATTGAATTTTCCAAATCTTGCCGGCAAGATCTTGAATTTTCCAAATCCTGTCGGCTAGCCTACCTATGGGATAAATTAAGTAAACCAGACATCGAAGCCTTCATCGAACAAGCAAACTTACATCACCCAACTATCAAAATTCACGGCCGAAATATCGGACATTGAGACTGTGTTTTTAGGACGTTTACAGCAAATGAGAAAATTGCAAGATTTGGAAAATTCCATATCTTGCCGGCGGGCAACGTTTGGAAAATTCCAAATTTTGCCGGCAAGATTTGGAAAATTCAAGATCTTGCTGGCAAGACTTGGAAAATTCCAGATCTAACCGGCAAGATTTGGAAATTTCCAGACCTTGACGGCAAGATTTGGAAAGTTCAAATTCTTGCCGGCAAGATTTCGAAAATCTAGATCTTGCGGCAAAATTTGGAAAATTCAAGATCTTGCAACTCACACGAGTTAAATCACCACTACTAACTTACCACCTTGTTAAACTTCGATAAACTCCACGAGAAATAATCAGCGTGGAATTATTATTCTACGGTCCTGACCCATTATAAGACGTCAGTTATACTTTTCAGTAATCCACGCAAAACTCTTTATAAACCGCCACTTAACAGGCCCGGCCAGGGGTTTTGGGTATACGGTATCCCGGGCCATTTTAATTCAGGTATATGGTATTTTTTGGTCAAAATTCGGGTATAAAGTATTCAGTTTTTCCTGAATTTTAGGTATTCGGTATATGGTACAGAAATCACTAAGAAATGTATTGTTCATTTCTCAGTTTTATTATCGCTCTAATGCTGACTAGAAATAGTGCGGATGCTCGAAATTGTGTTCAAGCCCTAATCAAATACTTACAAAACCTGTGGCTCTTTCTGTCAGCCGTTAATCTGACTGGGTCAACCACAAGGTTAAGTTTTGATGAGACAATTACCCGCGTCCAGCATTATTACGCTTTTCACGAAGAAGCCTCGTTGAAAGTTCACGGTATCAAGGGCTCAACTTCCCAGACCCAAGGACCAGACTGAACACTATCTGCTACTACACTGAACTCCGTGAAGATGATACTGGAAGGCCTCACTAGACTGAGGACAAAGGTGATGGGACTCAATCCAAACTTCATTCAACACTTAGACGTTGTAAGCCTTTTAACTCTCTTTGTTGAAAACTTCTTTTCCATTATGAGAGGAGGTATTTAAACACGGACACTCCCATGATGCTCGACATTTGCTTGCGTTTTCCCCGATGTATTAACGAATTATTAAAACGTGTCACAGGTACGAGCTAGAGGTACTTTACAAATCCAGTGGCCTCGTACTACCTTCAGCCTACTTGAGGTGATGTTGATATTAACTTGTGCGACCTTGCGAAATTACCGAAGCCTTTGTCTGGTTGCTTATCCAAGAAGCAATTGGATGAGATCCGTCAGTGGGTACAGCAGTACGGTAAGAGTGTCGGACAGAATACCACGAGGAACTTTTCAACAAAAGACAAGCCAGGCACCTTGCCATTGAACCTGTACGAGTCTGCACCCCCGGAGCAACCTTCAGTTGACTTTGACGTGCTTCACAATGAAGACATCCCCGTTCATCACCAAGATACCAACACAGCTCGTAACATTGTCATCGCCCAGTCTACGTATGTTGTAGTTTCCCGAATATACAAACCTAGTTCCGCTCTAAACAGCCCACTGTATCTTACAAAACTATTAAAGGATACTATGACAGTGCTCGTTATGAAACAACTCTCTTTTACACCCAAGATGTTGTCGATCCTCTCCCATTTACTACTTCGGGAGAAGAGCATGTCATCCCAAAAGAGGGCATAAAGGGGGTTGTAAGCAGCATTACAGTTGTTGACAATGAAACTGTTGAAATAGATGAGGAGGAGTATTATCTGCTCCTGGCCTTGGTGAACGGATCCACTGACGCCACCTATCTCAATCAAGCTGATGAAGAACCCTTTGCAGAGAGCGTTGACGTTCAAGGTGACGAGGATCCGATCACCATGGACGCTGGCCGACCGCAAAGGAAGCGGAAGAGGACAGTGAACCAGGAGTTTCTCTTTTATTAAGATCTAATTTGTTCATTTTCAGGTATTTAGTATTCTGTTTCAAAATAATTTTAGGTATTTAGTATCAAACATTTTACGATTTTCAGGTATATTGGTATCTTGGGGGCAAAATAGCGGGTATATTGGTATCCCACTACCCCCCCTGGCCGGGCCTGACTTAAGTATACCGTCAGCAGCCAACTATCGGCTACTGACCAACTTTGTTTAAAAAGCTGTTCAAACTTTGTACGCATTAGGTCTTAAATTTGTATTAATAAAAGGATTATCTCCGAAGAGATTAAAGCACTTGAGAGTCAAACGCCATGAAAACGGTTATGACAATGTGATAGCACGTTTACCTTGAAGACAAAAGAGAACAGATAAGTGATTCAATAGTCTGTTCCAGGCATTCGGATAATGCAGAGTGGCGTGAAATGTAGATTCTCACTTTTCTGTGCCATGGAAGAGACTAGTGATTGAAAGAAACCACATTTTTCAGCAATTCCTTCCTTTTGGACTGGTTTTCGGCCAGTTAGCGTGGGAATGGCTAAAACTAAGTTTTGCAACATTGAAGGCATATTTTCTGGCTAATTACGAAGGAAAGACTAATGAGTAAGCAACAAAACTGGCTATAAAAAATTAAATGTAAAGGGGAACAAAAGAACAAGAAAGAAAGATCGAAACAGATTCGCAAAAATTTGCGCGTTCACGGTTTTTTTCTTTGGAATTGTGGCGGGCTAACATTTAGAAAAGGGACAAATGTAATCTGCAAAGAGTAGTAGGTGAATAGCGAATTAGCAGTGTTTTCAAAGGCTCCAGCCAAAACGCAGATCTCTCTAGCGCGCGCGCGAAACGTTCCAGGGGCGGAAAGCGATGGGAGTTTGATGGGAGATGGCTGTATTGGTAGCATACACCTGTCCACTGCATGGTTATGCCGCCTTCGACGAGACGGTTGGAAATCTGGAACCTTCATTTGCATAAGATACAGTTAAAGACAAAAGAAGAAGAAAGTAGCTCCCGCGGGAAATAATTTCATTTCTCCTAGCCAATTGAGAGCCGTCATTTTAATTCAAATTTGTATAATCCAACGTGAGCAACTGATCATTTAGCTTGTGAGTTCCACGGGAGAAAATGTCTCAGTTGTATTTTTTGCCGGCATTATGTCTCGTGGTTTTCGGTATGCACTTAGTCTCTAGGTAAGTCGACTAAACTGTTTATGCGTGACTTTTCAAACCGTTAACCTGCGAATACGTGCGTAGCAAGCGCGGTTTCAGCACTAGTCAGAGAGATTGCCTTCGCTACAGGTTTCGATCAATAAATCGCTCGAAAACGTTTGCTTTGGAGGCTGCGTGAGCTCGCTCTAGATTATAATTTGAGAACGGGCCCCTGAATCGAGATTAGTTAGGAGTTCGAGGCATTCCACTTAAGCCAATTTTTTTTTATTGATCGTTGTTTTTTAACCCTTCACCAAGTTTACATCGGCTGAGCAAGAACTGCCTGATATTAAACTCTAATGAAACGTGCGGCCCCGTATAAGTCACCTATGCAACTGGGAACTGAATTTCGGATGAATTGTCCACGATTGTAAGTACCTTAATAATTTTGCACGCTTTGCATTTCTACGGTCTTATCAACAAGTACATAAAGTTGTTAGAAGTCAACCGTCATATGAAAATGAGAACGGTTATAAAATGAGATTCGCTTTTTAGCCGGTCAGATTCCCTGATCGATAATCAAAGATCTTTCCTCTAAAATTCTTAACTATAAATAGAAAGAAAAAAATAGAAATTTACTCACAATATAATTGAATAAAGGCAAATGTGGAAATGCACTGTTTCACTAAGGCAGTTTCGTTGCTTTGATCACAGTAAAACAGTTCCCCATGGACATGACCCCAACATGATTGAAGGAGCAGCTTTGAAGATAGCCTCTTTCAATGTTAGAGTGTTTGGAACAAAGAAAATGGCAGATCCACTTGTTAAAGATGTCCTGATAAAGGTGAATTTTATGTTAACTGCCATTATCATCTTTTAAATCGTCACGGTTTATTGCTGTTACGACCATTTCGAAACCTCGTGTGCATCCTTTCTTTTTCAGTTACAAGCACCCTTTTGATAGTTCTTGCTGAACTCAATTCAAGCCGGGAGGTCGGGCGAAATTTAAGGGTCTTACGGGTCATTTGATAGGTTATTAGGTGAGAGTGAACGCAAGAAATTAAACGGGCGAGGACGGGCTGGAGACAGGGCAGCGTCCCTTTTTCCGCCCTTCTTTTGAAAATTTTTCCGCGCTCTCTTTTCTTGCTTTTTAATTTAATCTAGCTCGCGATCGCTTTTCCACGAAATGAGAGCCTAGAAAAGGCTAAAAAACTTGTCTCATTTTTATGCTTTTGTCTGTTCGGGTTTTATCAAGAGAGTTAAAAGGTCAACACATGATTGATTCACAGTTCGACTTTCGTACCATCGATGGAAACCGATACAAAGTCGTTTCGATGCAAACTCAAGCAGTGAAATTGCAAAAATCTTTCGTTCACTTCAAGTATATTTTTGCGCGTGAACAAGAAAAACATTTTGGGTTAATAATACTCTTCGTTCTTTAGTCAAGGACGTGAAACTATTTACCGTAAAATTCCGAAAATAAGCCCCTCCATGTATAAGTCCCCCAAACTCGTAACGCATAAAAAACCCTCCGTTAAATCATTTCCAAATAAATTGGGGCTTGTACTTGGAAATTGCCCTCAAATACAAAGTAAAACAAAGCAAAAACGGTAAATTGCCTTTTAACTATATATATAAGGCTAGCCCAATTGATTTCCCTCCATAGATAAGCCCCTCCGAATAAAAGCCCCTCAAAAATAAGCCCCTCAAAAAAAGGCCTTTGAAAAATATAAGCCCTGGGCCTTATTTTCTTAATTTTACGGTACTCCGCGACTTTTATCGAAACAACCCACCACCATACTATCAATTCGTCTGAACCATTCAGTATACGGATGTCTCATTTTTCAGATCATTCTGAGATATGATATTATACTCATTCAAGAAATTCGTTCCACTAATGACGATGCAATTGACGAACTGCTGGAGGGTGTCAACAGGTAATAAATGGTTCCTTGAGTAGCGTGGTTTATAACTTTGTCGAATTCAGTATGCGTCGCACCTACAAAAGTAGATCGCCCGTATGTCGCTTTCATAGCGCGATACCAGCCTGCGTAGATAGGCGTTCCCCGTCCCCCGTCCCCCCTCTTCCCTTTTTTATTTCGAAATAGTTTACAGTCGAACGGTTTAATCCCGGTGGAAACCTGTTCCGTGGGGGAGAAATGAATGCGTGACGAATGAACCCCAAAGGATGTTTGCGGGGAGGCTAGTTTATTAGGGACAGTTTTCGTTTTTTTCCAACGAAAAGCTCAATGTATAAATTATTTTCATATGAATCTTTCGCGGTATCTTTACACTGTACGTCTATCCTTCTGAAGCGGACGTCCGATAGAACGTTTAAAATGAAATAAAATAAAATAGATAACGATTCGGAGGTAGCACATTCACAAAATGGTTCTTCGTCTACCTGATTCCTGGTCGAATTAGAATTTGGAAATGTTGTTTTTGAGGAGAGGAGAAAAACGGAGTACCCGGAGAAAAAACCTCTCGGAGCAAAGGAGATAACCAACAACAAACTCAACCCACATGTGGCGTAGACGCCGTGAATTGAACCCGGGCCACATTAAGGGGAGGCGAGTGCTCTCACCACTGCGCCACCCTTACACCCTTTTTTTCGGTCAAACTCCGTCAATTTTATCGAACTTGGAATACTGTGAACTTAACTCACTCGGCGCATGAAAAATTCGAGATTTGGTCTTAGCCTAAAGAGACGCTAAAACCTGCATTGAGCCCCCCCCGCCGAACTCCTTAATGAGAGGACAAGCATCCCCACTCATTTCATAAGGAGACCCCCCTCCCCATAAGTACGAATCCTCCCTTCGGAAGGAAGGGCTGTAAAGAGAAAAGAGAGATAGCTTTATTGTATAACTTGCAGATTCTCGTCTACACCCGGGATTTACAAGATGGCTTTAAGCGCTAGACTAGGACGTACAAACAGCAAGGAACAATATGCATTCATATACAGGTAGTAATGATCATGATGATGATGAAGATAATAATAATCATAATAATAATAATAATAATAATAATAATAATAACGCAATCTTAAAGCAAGGGGTACAAATACACCAACCCAAGGCCTGGCCAGTACCTTACGCGTGCACACAGCCATATCAGCCGGGCAGTGGCAGCCATGGACAGCCGTTTCGCCCTTATTGAAGTTCATCAACACGGCATAGTATGACGTTTTCACCATTTTGAGGTCAAATGCTGGATTGGGGTCGGACTAATTTTGAATTGCACCATGGGACTCTTTTTTTTGCGACATTTGTTGGTAGTGTCTAGAATCACGAGCCTCTTGCATGCTACAGTGGATACCCCAAAATCAGGCTGGACACCTTATGATTATGAAACAACGACTCTGGTAGAGAACCATTAAAAAGCCACTACGAAAAAACCATACTACTGTCGTTTGAATGGGTAAAGCTTCAAGTATGCTTTGTTCGTCTTTGCTACTTCTTTGTACTAAAACGTGTAAGAGGCAAGGATAGGAAATCAATTAACTCTTTTGTTCTTATTTCTCTTCATTAGAAGCGACAGGGTGTCTCATACGGACGATTACGTATTTGATGATGGCGATGAAAGCACAGGAAAGGACAAATTTGAACGGGAACCTTTCATCGTGAGGTTCAAAGGATTTCATACGTGTAAGATGAGCATTTTCGCTACGTTTATGGCATGTAAATTTTGAGCCTGGAACAGGCCACAGAAAGGATGCTAGTCAAAAAGAGATAGATTCTCATTTGCTTGAGAAAACAGCCGACATTTTGCGACACCACCAATGGTTTCCTCGCGAAATCACGTCTAAGAAACGAGCTCAGAAATTCCATATTGATGACAGGTCACTACCAAAATCGCGGTAGTGCTTTGATTGGATGAAACAAATTTTACACCAATCAGAAGCACTACCCAGATCTGGGTAGTGACGCGTCATCAGTATGGAATTTCTGCGCTCGTTTCTCAGACGTCATTTCGCGGGGGAACCACTGGTGGCGTCGCGAAATGTCGGCTGTTTTCTCAGGCTAATCTTTTTGAGGTGGGGAAAGAGGGAGGAACTCAGACACACTACAAGTCTTTCCGTAGAGCGGTGGGTCCACTTCTTCTGACTGTAGCTTTAATTTTAAACCCGCCCCGGGGCTTTTTTCTCCCATTTTCTAAGGGAAAAGCCCTGCAGACGAGGTGTGTAGTTTTGACCCTCTTAAAGCAACCGGAAAGACGTCTTAGGTCGTTTACTGTAACTTGAACACAAACTAAAGAACCCGCACTGGTTCAAATAGATTTGACAATGAAATCAATGTTTCCTCTGTCTCAATGCACAACCTGCCTCGTCCTTAGTCGCTCGCGATCGTTTTTTGGGGTTTATTTGAGTTAATTATTGAGGAAAGCGGGGACGAAACGAGTGACGAAAAAGTGAAGCCCTTTTCTCTCTTTTTCCTTCCCATCACTCCCCGCTCCCTGCTGTGCGCTCATTCCCATCATCCCCCTCTCGCACTTCTCGCTTTACTCCAGCTCTAGCATGTTCTCGCTTTATGCTCTCCATTAAGCCTTGGGAAAGGCTGTGGAGGAGGTAGATGCGCGGCAAGGTTATCATGTTGCTTTCGCCTGTCACCTTCAGTTTGCGGCTTAGATGTAAAGGTGGACTGGAAGACTGTCGGCAATTTTTGTTAGCTTTTGACTAAAGTGAGACTAAAAAACAGTAATTTTAGATGCGAGTAAGGCTTCCAAAAATGATTAATTAAATCTCCTGTCCATAAAGATGTGACTGATTTTGTCTTGGCTGCCATTCACACGTCACCCTCCAAAGCGGTGTCCGAGATCGACAGACTGGTTGACGTTTACGACGACATCACACAACGATGGAAGTTGAAAGACGTCATGATCTTAGGTGACTTCAATAGTGGCTGTAGTTACGTCAGAACGTCTAGTTGGCCAAAGATAAGGCTCGCCACAGACCGACGATTTTATTGGCTCATTCCTAATGATGCAGACACAACCGTGGGAAGGTCTGATTGCGCGTATGACAGGTACGTACAAAGCTAGTGATTCGATTCGAGAAGTGAACATATATTTATCTTTTTTTATTTGAAATTAAGAAAACGAAGAATTATTGAATCCTCCATGCAGCTTTTCTCAGAGGGAAAAGACTAGATAATTAACGTAGCTGGCCGAAGTATCCTGATAGAACAGCCGACATGTTGCCACGCCACCTGCACCGGTTTCGCCACAAAATGACTGACGGCTGAAGATCGGAACGACTGCAGAAATTCCATACTGTTGACGAGTCACTAACCAGTCTGGGTAGTGCTTCTGATTGGTCGTGGCGCGAAGGAGAATTTGCTTCATACAATCAAAGGCTCTACCCATATCTTGATAGATCTGGATCTGCAGTCGTTTCTCAGACGTCATTTCGCGTGGAAACCAGTGATTTGGCGTCGCGAAATGTCGGCTGTTTTCTCTCGATCTGCGGGTTATGGCTGGAGCACCTTATTAAGACAAGATCAGAGAATCAGCCGCACCGATTAGTTTAAATTTTACCTCGTAGCTCAACGTGGTTCTAAATCATTCTGCTGTCCGCTCAAATTTTCCATCCGGTAGCAAATACGATCTTCCGGTACCATCGGCACTATGCGACGATATCAGTAAAGTGCATCCGAAGGTGTGTCTATAACCCCAGGGGACGCTTCCTTGAGTGGTTTCTCCCTTGTTGCTCTCCTCTTGTGTCCTTCCATTTTACAACCTAAAATTATTTCACTCAGTGTTAAAAATTAGTGCTTTGTTTTGTAGGATGGTTGTTGCTGGTGACAATATGATCAGAGGAATCTTCGCAGACAGCGCCAAGGTTTTCAATTATAAACAATTTTATAATCTCAACCAAGAACAGGTAGGTACAAAAGCCATTCGCCACTTTGAGGTTGCGCAGGAGATCAGATCGAGATGGTTGTGAAAGTGCATTGTGGGACTGTCGGGGGACGTATTTTCAACATGGCGGCCAAAACGTCCCCTAAAACAGTCCCACAATGCACTTTGACAACCATCTCGATCCGGTCTCCCGCGCAACCTCAAAGTGCCGAATAATTACTCACTCTCTTGCCGTAATAGGCCATTTCCAAGTTCCCCCGGGCCTCTGTTTCAAAACGAGGTTAAGTGCTCAGCCTTTGATATCGAAATCATTTTTCATTCTCATGCAAATAAAACTCATTTTCACAAGAAAGGTTGAGCACTTAGCCTCATTTTGAAAGTGAGGGTTTTTGGAACTCGGAAGAGGCCTATTAAGGCAATGTTCACACTGTACCGAACAGCTGTTCCACCGCCACGAAATTCATACCATATAGGGCTTCTGTTCACACACAAGAGCAATAGTGGCGGCGCGATTTCTGTGACGGAGCGAAGCTGCGCCGTGCCCATCTCTAAGGTAGAGTCACATGTCTGATACTGGTGTTCACACTACATCGGGCAGCTTTTTTGGCACCACGAAAAGCTATCCGGTACAATCCTTTAAGGTTAAGTGAAAGGTGTTATCCGGTCTCTTGCGGTGCATCGCCAGTCACTCGCTTTTCGCGCTCGCCTTTACGATGCGAAAAACGAAGCGCCTGAGGAGGAGGAGGCTGGCATTAATACTAGATTTGAGTACTAGACAAACTTTATCTTCAAGTGAAAACATCCTTGTCAAAAATGGAGAAGGGGGTGGGGGGCGCCATTAGTCTGGTTGGCTGGGGTTCGTTAGGAGGTAGGGAGGAGTGGGGGAAAAAACAAACGCGCGGAATGCAAAGCGCCTTAGGCATTCTTAAGTGAGGATTATCCCTTCCCCTCTCCTTTTTAACTCCTGTTACACAGGCTAAGGCAAATCAAGAGGACACTCTATTACATATTTTCACTCGATCATCTTTCGACTGCATACAGTATACAACTATTACCCGAATGGCAGGTGAATAGCGGAAATATACTGAGACACGGGGCATCAAGTTATGTATCAAGCTCCGCTAGATAATAATAATAATAATAATAGTAATAATAATAAGCTTTATTTATCCATCTTTAAAAATAACATAAATAATGGATTTACATAATTAAACATACATATGTGTATTCCGTTCCAGGAGTTCAGATAGTGAATAGTTGCAAGAAAAGGAGCGGCGTTTTTCGAAAGTCCCAGACAACGTTTAGGGCCTGAAGCCAATCTAAAGAACAAAGCGCGGGTCCTAGCTAACAAACCAGCCCATTTTGTGTTGTTAACCAATAGCTTTATTACCTGCAAAACTTTTGAAACCTTTATTGAAAGCACTATCTTAAATGTAAAGGAAAAAGCTTTCGGAGCCCGTTTTTAATTTTCGTGACTTTCGAGAAAAGCCGGCCCCAGGGAAGACGAGAAAGGTTCAAAAGATGGTAGCCCAGGGAGCAAGTGAAATCTTTCGCGGCGAGTGCAAAATGAAAACAAGGGAAATACTAGGAGATACTAGGGGTTTTCCCTCGTCACTTTTTCGCCCTCGCATCTGGAACAGGCTGAGCTTGAGTCACATGAACTTAGACAAGCAAACTTTGCTTAAAAGCTGGCGTAATCCTGGGTTGAACTTAATCATCTTTCGAGAAACCAAGCAATTAACGTAATGAACTTTTTTTTCCTAGGCTGAGGACGTGAGTGACCACTTTCCTATCGAAGTACAGTTTAAAGATTCCAGTAAGTCGTCTAGTTTCCTTCAGTAAGAGGGTATGCTTATATATGCGTTCGTTTCGGTCAATAAAATGCAAAGCGAAAAAAAGAAAAAATGCAAAAAAGAACGAGGACAATTGTCCAGCTATATTGACCGAACAAGCTTGGTTAATAAAGGATTTATTGTATGCCAAAAAAGAGAACAGATATTATATATATTATTATATATATATACCCACTCGAGTAGCCAATCAGAACGCAAGATTTGCTTTATCTTGCCCGCTCGCGGACAATGGCGGATTCAGCCACATAATAAAATAAAGTATAGTCGAGGTGCACCTGATTAAACACAGTCGAAGCTCTCCTTGCGAGCACTCTCGTAAAAAGCGACCAGCTCAAGTTGCGACCACCTTTGCGAAACCCCGTTTGAACTGCGACTTAAACTTTGTAATGAAAAGCGTACCCAACTGGACTTTTCCTTTGTTGTTAAGCTCTCGTAAGCGACCACTCTGCGACCACTCAGAGTCTTATTCATATCATCAACTCTTTAATGAAACTGCCGACACTAGCTGCGCAAACGGTCTAAAAAAGTGGACATAGAGTTTAGCCGTGTCAGATATAAAGAAACTCATTAAATATTAATTTCTTTTGTTTTTAATTTATGAATTATTAATGCATTTCTAAAGCTTTCATAAACGACCACCATCTATAGTTTTACCATACGGTGGCTTTCGAGAGCTCATTTTCGCAAGCGACCAGCTCTAGTCACTACCACTTTTTGTAATTTCCGAGGTGGTCGTTTACGAGAGCTTTGACTATACATTCAAGAGATAATTACTTGACTTACTTAAGAAATTACTTGTAAAAAACAAAATAACAGCTTGTCGTCCAACAGATATACCTCTCAAGCATTATATTAAAAGTTACAAACAACAAAAAGGAACTTTGAGAAACTGTTAGGCTAACAAGTTTTCAGAAAACCACAATTGCAATCGTTTCAATCTTTATTAAAATTCTTCAAAATTTGTCGATCCATGCCTAGTTTTTGCTGTGTTATTATACCGTCTTTTCAAGTCAGTTTTCAGCAGTTATTGAAAATGGTTCACTAAAATTTGGTGGCGGCTCCCATTGTTCCAATTTTGATAAACTTCCTGACACAGTTTCTCCAGAAACTGTCGTTTTTTCAGGACACTACATATTTAAGGATTAGAAGCTTCTCAATAAAATTTTTCTTTTTATTTTAGCTTTCAGAGACGAGGAAGAATTCTTCTCAGAGTCTATTACAGTCACTAACCATGACGGCAAAATGGCAAAAGTCTCCAAGTATTTCCTCTACTCCTTGCGCTCAACTAAAGAGAACCCACTTCTTTCACAGGGTTTCACTTTGAACACCATCTATACAGAAAAGGGAGCGATAAGCGAAATAACTATTGGGAAACCAGTCGATACGGCTGACGTGGCGAAAGAAGTCATTGATAAGTTAGGCAAGGTCTTTCCCAGCTTGGTGTCTAACTCTCAGGTAGCTGTGAGCGGGCGACTTCTTGGCAGAATTGAACGCTATCAAAGAGTCCACTGTTCTGTTGAAGAATCCAGTGAGGCGGTATTCCAAATGCTTTCAAATCAATGCAGTGGTTTGAAGATACCGAGGATCACCGGAGTACAGCTCGTATGCAGTACCTCGAGCCTTTCTTGTAAGATTGCCATTACAGCGGATTTGAGTTCATTTCGTTTGTGAAAGGGAAATTCAACTGAGTGCCATTATAACCCAAAATACCCAATCACCAGAAGCCAATAACCCTGAATGAGTGAGAAAAAGAAAAAGAAAGTGTTGTGTTTAGTACGTCCTTCACACAACATAACATTAGGCACTTTCACGTCGTGCAGTGACGGCAGGGAAATCTAGAAAAATGCGTGATGCACTTGCAAAGTTGTTGTTTTGCTTATATTAGCTATTGCTTTTTTGCGTTCTCCTTGACGTCGCCCTCTTCGTTAAGCTTCCTATTTTTCCTCTCCCCAGAGCCCACCGTTTCAGTTCGAACCTAGTAGCTCCGGGAACAACGGACTGAAAGTTGTTGTTTGTTTTTTTGACCTGTTAAGCTCTATATGAACATGAATGTTCTCCTAACTTTTCTTCATCCAATTTGATAGAATAATAAAGATGAGGCCTGGTCCCGGGCTCTTTTTTTGGCATTTTAAAAGTGGTCATCTCCTATATTAGTGTTAAGCCCTCTTGTTGGGGTCCACATCTTAAGATCAGTCGGTGACGCAAACACGTGCAGGCATCATTTATAAATTGGATAGCGCCATTTTTTCCCCTAATATTTATCTACTGGATAGTTATTTATCCAGTGGATACCACTAGTCAACGTTTGAACAACTTAGGCGTTATGGTTATAGGAGAATTATTTCGCTTAAAAACATGCATGGCCGCTTAATCACATATGAATAACATTACACTGATCCTATTCACCTTTTCAACAACTGGGGCCTGAGTTTCAAGGGATGAACTAAGTTTACTTCGCTCAATTCAGAAAAAGGCTTTGAAGGAAGCCCGCGAAAAATACCTCGTCTTGTTCAATAGAATGGTTTACAGGTGTAGTGACTGGATGAGGGGATTGTCTCTTTCGCTAAATAACCGCCCCCCCCCCCGCCCCCCTATTCAATTTTGTGATATAACAGGGAAACAAATTGAGCGCATAATTCAACATTTGGCCAGGAGAGAGAGAAAGAAAGAAAAGAGGTAGACAAAGAAGTAGCCTTCCCGACACTTTTGACAATGATTGTAGCTTCACATTGCCAGTGAAAGATGAGTGACTTGGTCAAATTGGGAGAACTTTGGAAAAAACTGACGAAATAAGCGTGCAATTTCAAATAAGCGCCCATTAGAATTAGCGCCCTTTCTCGACGCAGTAGACTCCCTTTTATGTCAAAAATCTGTGAGCAAAACGCGACATCATGAGTGAGTGCGCGTCAGTAGTGTATTGGCGCCCTCATATCTCATCGTTCAAATGGTTGCTGTAAGTTTTTTATTCCTCGAATACATTTACATGATCTGGGTACCAGAGGTTTTTCTCGCGTGCGGCGAGAATTTTCGGTGTTGGCCGAAGGCCGACGCATCTTGACCATCTTCTGCGCGGCTGTAGGCCGAAGCAGGAAACCGCGCCAGGGTAACATTTACAAGGCCCTTAACTCTAGATCTTCCACACTAGCTACCCGTTTTCAAGAAATGCTCCGCGATTATACTATAGCCTTCAGATAAAATAAAAGTCTGGCCTTAATAAAACAGCAAACAACGAAAACCCTTACCTGCGTTTGCTCGCAGGCTCGGGAAAAGAAAAACTCTAAGAATTTCCCTGACGTAAGCTGTCACACGCGCTCTGAAACGATTCTTTGTATGTACGACAGTGTCAAATGAAAATTACTGAATCCCCGGCAGGAAATCACGCAATCCACACATGCAATTACCCTAGGGCAATGACGGTGTATTTTGAGTTTTAGTATCAGTGTCAGTTTCTTTCTCAGAGTGTTTTTCTCTCATAAAAAGTCGCAGCAAAGCAGGGCGTCATAGTGCAAAGTATGTACTCAAAAGCTCAACGAAAATAAAAACCCTTTCATCTCGGTCGAAATGCGCGATGGGATCGTAGAGATCAATGAACACAGCTAGCACTGTCTAGTCTGTTCTGGCATCTCCGAATACAATACCGGCGGTGTCATTTTGCAGGTCTTAAATGTCTCACTAGCCAGTCACTCTGTCAACCGCGCCTCTGATCATCTATCCAGGCTGCATCCTCCATTAAACCGTCTTGTCGCGATAGTGTGTAGGTCCAGAGATTGGTGTGTAGTGCTCACAAGCATTTTGCACCACCACTAGGGCCGTCATAGGACGCGTTCTGACAAGATGTTGCACTCCGCCGCGTTTTTAACTCTCCTTCTAGGAATCTCATTATTTATTCTCGTACGAGGACAAGGTAAGCTTGCGAATAACCATGTCATGTTTCAAGTATGCGTTCCTCATCCTCATCCAACTCTGTACTTTGCTGTTATTTTAGTTTGTTAAAGTATTTTTGGCTCATTTTGTTAATATGTGGCAGCTTGGACTAGCGGGAATTTCAACTGTTTATCTTGCAAATTTTCCCTGGAGCGGAATAAGCGTAGCATGTTTGTCACCTCTCTCGTACACAATGGGTTTTTCATCTCAAGGCACGCGTAGCATAAATTACTTTTGATCGGGCGTTGTATGAGTGAATCTCCTTTTTGTTGGCTCTTTTAGCCGGTGTACCAAAATATATTCTGATATGAAAACTCCCAATTAAAATAAAGAAAAGAAATTGCATGTTTTCGGGAGAAACATTCTTGCATTTGCGGTATAACAAAGGGTCAGTTTTTTGAGTAATGTTTGCTAGCTTTAAGAGTATTATTTGCACTATTTACCGCCTTAAAACTGTATACTTCAAAAAACTTCTCTTTGAAGACAGTTGTAAACAAAGTAAAATTGACGAGGGTTTGCCTACCCGCTTAAAGGTATCGATTGATCGCACTTTCAAGCGAGCAACATCAAATTTTTCACTACCTTTGACGTCTGCGGATTGAACTGGCAAGATGAGTTAGCCTCCTCATTTTCTTTACAACTCAAACCTTTTTTTACAGAACAATAAGTGGAATAATTCTGCTCATAAGTTGCACGAAATGCTGTTAGCTTTGTGTTTTTCGTGTTAAAAAATCTCCCCCGCTACTACACAAAGAGCTATTGTTTTTTGATTGGAGGCACAGTATAGATTGGAGCGGATAAAAGAATGGAGATTCCCAAAGGTTTCACGGTTGTTTATGTAGTCTAAAGATCCTTTTTGAAAGCAAACTTTACATTCAATTTCCAGAACCTTTTCACATGCACATGGACGGTGAAAAAAGCTCTTTGTTGACTCTCTTTGTGACAACCCAGCTTAGCCTGGGAATTTTGCGGGGTTGCGGGGTTTTGCCACTTATATTTTCATGGCTTTCAAAAAGGGGAGATTTTCTTATGTTTAAACTTTCAAAGCTTTTGAGGCTTCTTGCAGTTTTTCAGGTTTCAGGATTCTTTTATTTTTTCTTTTATATATATTAATATATATAAAAAATAAAAATAAGTTATCTGTTTGATAGTCTTGATTGTCAGTCGAAATTCAACACTTCAAAATTTGCAAGGAATGTTGTCACACATGTTTTCGTCGCATGCAATCGCTTGTCGTGAAATTAACAAAGTTTCAACCTCGAAAACTCTTTGAAGCGCTTTTTAAAAGCTTTGAAAAGCCGATCTAACTGAAACGTTATTGTCAATTTCTTTTTACTGATTTTAACACACGAAATATTTTAATGTCACGGACGCTGAGAATTCCTCAATGGCACATTATTTTAACCGTGACCCAGGGCTGTGACCCTATAACCTAGATTTCGTTACATCAGCGAACAAAGACGATTGTAAAATGTGGTCTGTTGTGTATTATCCAAAGAATGCTTTAACGAAAAAATCAACCGGAATATTTTGCTTTTTTGGTGTACACTTCTATGGACTGGATAACGAAGAAACTAAACAAAAACATTTTCCGATCGCTAACGCGCCCAATACTGGGAATAAATATTTTGTTGCATGGAGACCGCGTGCCGGCGGAAGCCTGGGAACAAGGCTAGTGAAGGCGCGCATTTTGCCGTCGTTTTGTGAAAACTCTGCGAAATGGAGAGCTTTTTTTTCGCCGAGATTTTGCAGACTGGGAAAAGCCGTGAAGATTTTGAAAAACCCAGGAAACGGCTAATATACCAGGTAAGAAAAAATTTTTAACATATGGTAGTTTAGACTTGTACATCAGCTGTTTTTCAGCTGATACTTCACTCCCTGTGTACTCTATCACTTTGACAGATGGTTCAAGAATGTCGTCGTTCATTCATGTGCCTTTTCTTCCTTTATTTTTATAATAATGCATGATTATGCTTGGTTTTTTATGTACTATCTTCTCTTTCTTCTCGTCGGATCTGGCCGGCTGTGTAGCTTTATAGCAACTCAGCTTTTACCATGAGCTATGGAACCCATGTTTGGCAAGAAAAGAATCCTAAAATATGGATATTATCTAATATAGTATTTGCAGTTTGATACTTTGTTTATCATTTTCTCCACAAAACAGTAGCATACATGTTATTTTGGCTTTCCTTAAGAATTCTGCAAAATAAGTAAAAAAAGAAGCTAAGTTACCAGTAGTTCTGTTGAGCTGGCTGGACTTGACGAAAATTGGCAGTCACACATTCATTGGTTTGAGTACTAGTGAGGCCTTCAAGTGGGGGGGGGTGTGGTATGCTGTAACTTTGTCGGTCATTTCGGAGACTGCATCTTGCCGGGCAGGTTAGAAAAAATGTTGCTGTTGCATGTTAGGAAAAATGTCGCTGGCTGTTCAGCATCAATTTTTGTGATACTCGGTTTGGATCTTACGGCAGATATGGCGCGTGAAAAGAATCAATATTGTTATTAACCTTCTCCCTAGAGGAACCCTTCTTCAATAATGCCAACATTAGAAAACAATTAAAAAGATAACAGAAAATTTTTGGAAATAACATAAGAGAGATTGTTATTTTGTAGTCTGTTAGCAAGCCCTCTATTTATGAGTGAAGCGAGCGACGAGAGAATGTGCAAGCAAGCTGCAAGGGGCACAGGAAAGGAGAGCTTGCAATAATCTCTTATTTTTTTCATTTCTGCTTCACCCAGACAAAGTGAAATACCATTGGCTGAAAAATGACGCACGGTCAATTAATTTTGATTGATGACATTCCTGGCTGACCTGCCATAAATGCTTGCCATACATTTAGAGACATGATACTTATGGAAATTGGGAATATTATGGTTACTCCTTTCTAAGGCACAGAACAAGATCGGGATTGCGATCGCAAACAATCTCTGAGGACTGTGTGGCCGTATTTTTTACCGTTCAGTTTGGATCTCAACCCCACGGAATGTATAAACCGGCAAAACAGAAGGCCAAGAAGAGGTTGCCAGGAAAACATTATGATACTAAATCTTACCTTTGTCCTAAAAAACCGGCACCTTTTACACAGGCAAAATCTCAGTGCTTGACACTAACGCTGGTCCACTAGCCCGGGACTAGTGAAAATTCACGCTGGGCTAGTAAAAGTGTACTGCTACTAGCCCCTGGACCAGTAGATTAGTGAACAAAATTGTGTACATTTTTTCTAAAATGCTCAAATATCAGTAGTTAGTTTTTTAGCTGAGAATCAAATGTAAACCAAAGGACTCACTATTCATCGCCATGTTGGAAATGAAACTACGTCCTCGTTTCCATGTCACACAATAAAGTAGGGGCCTGGGTAAGAGCCGTCATCAAAGTCGGGTCTGCCAAATTGGCATTTGCTTGTGTACATTTACGGCAGGATCAGGAATGAGGAAGGTTTCAAGCTTTTTTAACAACTTACCTTTGAGAAAGCGTCCTTCAACGGTCTTTCGACTCCAACAAGGATATTCTCAGCCAGTTACCCATTGCCGCTTAATGGAAGGAAAGCTTTCCATAGGAGTTTTTAGATCTAGTTTGATATCCTTCAATGACAACACAATCCATCGTTTGAAATTTCACTCTTCAAAGCTTTTCAAAGATTTGCCGCCAACTTGAAGGGAATTTGTAAATGATCACCTATGATTATAGAACTGTGCTTGACCTGAAGTCAAGCGTATCATTCCAATCACAGCATAACTGAGCCAATAAACTAAACATTACTACATGTAATAAATTGTCTTCCAACACAAGACGTTCAGATGGCCTCTTGAACTCTGGACTGACATGAAACAAAGCAACATAAGCCATTCATTTTATTACTGTTGATGTCTTTTTTCCTCTTAAGTTGGATTTTCAAAAAAATTGATTTAAAAACTGTTTTAGTAAAGAATTAAAAACTAACTCCCGCCTCCCCTGGTACTTGTTTTTTTGGACCGGTGTCTTGTTCTTCTGGGCTAGTGATTTATTTCACTCATTAGCCCATTGTCTAGTGTCCAAAAAAGTTAGTGTTGAGCACTGAATCTCACTGCGTTTGTTGTGTTTGTGAAATTGTAATATTTTGCTCCTAGAATGCTAACGTAACCGACAAGTTCGGCTTGGCCTGATGCAGGTAACTGACAAATGGCTCACGCATTTCTTGTTTCCGGTGACAGTTTTCGCACTTTGTGGTTTCCAGCAATTTCCGGGTTGGAAATAAAAATTTATGAAAGCTTGCTCACAGGCTAGTTATTTTGCTGGCAAAACTGCCAAAATATAAAAGACATCAGATGTCGCTTTCACTACTAAAAATGGATTTTCGATGCGAGAATTCTTTCCTCCTTTTCTGTCGATTGTCGCCAGTTTCGGGGCTATGTTGCCTGTCGCTTTCACCCCTTGGAAGGCCTCACTAGTCAACATGGTACTGATCAAGAAACATGGGGCTTTACCTGTGTTTTAGCTCCAGCAGACAAAAATATTGGCTCAGTCTGTTCCAGGCATGCCATCCCCCTTCTAGGCATTTGTTGGGCATTTGTCAAGTTGTGTGTTCCCATGGTGGGGCATCAAAAGTCTCCTCGGGGTGGGGCAGTTCAATGTCATCACTGAATTTCTTATTTTAAAATAAAGAAAAAAAACTGAGATAATTTCTCTTCAAATAATTTGCTAATTCTTTGCAGTAGGTTGCCCTTCTTTCCAAAATTTTCTACATTGGCTGTTATGATTTTCCCCTTCCTAGTTTTTAAAACAATAATTAACCCCATACAAGTAGGCTTGAGGTTTCTTAGTTTTCTATTACAAACTTGTGCTTTGATACTCTTTATATCAGGGTTGTCAATAAGGGGCGGTAGCTGGCCAAAACCATCAGCTAGTTAGCCATCCTTAGCCGGCTACCTTCATCTCCTTCTACCATAACTGCTGACAAAAAATGGGCACCGTTTCCCAATTTTGAAAGACATTGAATGCATATTTAAACAGGTTAAGATCTAGATCTAGATCTGTGGAACGCCGGGGACATTTCGACAGCATTGTTCCCAGTCTTGTGTATATTCTTACAAAACAACATGGTGTCTGCGGTGGAAAACACTGCTTGAAAACCCCTTTTAATGCTATTTTCGAGACTCTAAATTTCGAAATGTCCCTAGATGCCTTGGCCCTCAAAAACTTGTTTCTCTCATGTGAGTTCCAAATCCACCCACTATTCATTATCAGTCCGCTACTTGACAACCCTGCAAGATGAGTGGGCTTTTGTATAAATCTACTAGCCTTGCCTACTTTTATTTACTTGCAGCATTCCAAAAAAAAACAACAACAAAAAAAAATGACAAATGCCCATTTTGGAGGGGGAATTGGACAACTTGGAATTGATTGAGCTATAATGATATATTGACATCCACAACCTTTTGCTACATATTATAATGCCTACAGTATCTAGCTTTGTTCCCAGGCATGATTAACTTTAAAAGTAAGTTAATGCATGTTTATTTTAAACTTAAAAAAAGTTAACAGCTTTCCATACACTGTAGGCTAAAGTACTATTTTTCCATAATTCACATATGATGTTTAAATATGAAGCCTCAATTACAGTTTGGTTTGGTACTTGGATCTCAATGCAGTACTTTCTCAATTAAACACCTGGCCCATTGTAATTAACACCAGGTCTAAATGGAGTTGTTGCAAAAAGCCCCTTAAACTTGCATATTTGTGATGTGTTTATCAACTTTAACTATAATATTTTAAGAAACATGCCTGCAAAGAACAATGAGTACCCACCTGGTGTGTACAAGCTGAAGTTTCAAGCATATAATGCATCCACCAAGCAAAGTGTGATATAAATGCAGGGGGGTGTTTAGTTGAGAAAGTATAATATTATCATTTTTTACTACAAGAGCTCCTTAACCAAGGTAAAAAAAAATTTAACCTGAATTTAAATTTGACCTGCAACATATAATGTCTTATGATAAAACATAACCCACTTAGATTCATTGTTGCTATAGTTTTTATTGATTTGTCCTTAAATAACTGTTGCTGACCTGACCTCAATTTTTGATTTCCAGCCAATGAGTATTGTCCAATCTTCAAGAGAGTGACTTGTTCACCCCAGCCTAATAGTGAATGTCTATTAGACGACGACTGCCAGCCGGTCGCTGGTAAACCTACACCCCTCTGCTGCTACAACGGATGCCACTACTATTGTTTTACAGATTATAGTAAGTTGTCTGGGTGACTTAAAGGAGCTGTGTCACAAAATTTACGAAAATTCAAATAGTGGGAACCGCAACCATACTGAGTGAAACATAAGAATAACTGCCCAGAACTTGAATAGAAGGTATAAATAACACTGCAAAAACAAAATGAGAAATGGATGGACAAACTTGAGGAAGATTGAAACAGATTGAAATTGTACTTTTGAAGACTTGTTAGCGTGAAAGTTTTCCCAAGTTTATTTTTTTGACATGAAGCTGTTATTTTGCCATTTACAAGTAATTTTCTCAAGTTCTGTAGAAACGAAGGACACGTGATTGGCATCATTCACAAGATGAATGAGACTGCAACTGTGACACAGCCCCTTTAACTGAGGTTGATTTTAAAACTCAAGCAACGGATTAAGTGATAATTAAGATGAAAAGGAAAAAAACGAACGCAGTGAAAATGTTGGAATGGAAGAAGGTGCTAACTTTACAAGCTTCTGTACTACACTTCTGATTGGTTTAGACATATGTGAGGAACATGTAAAATTGTAAACTTCACTTGGCTATTGTTTTCAACTCTTATGATTGGTCGAAATCTTTTAACACAATAAAACATCCTTTGAAAATGGAGTTTAAATACATTTCATTGCGTAAAATGCCCTTTTGTAGGTTTATGCACTCTATGCGTGAAAATAAGGACCTTAAGCATCGACAACGAAACATGATGACGACATTTCAAAACCAAACTGGGCGAAGGGTTTTGTTTTCGGTGGGGATCGAACATGAAGTTTAAGCAGTGCAGCTTCCCAGACAGACAACGCCTTTTTCTTTGCGAAGAACTTTGTCGTTACAGTCTTGTTATGGCATTCAAAGACCTCTGTAATTGCGTCTTATAAGCTATGAGGATGGTTTAATCGATGATGGCAAATTTATTGTTTTTTACGACCTGGATCATTCGATTTTGCAGGCCTTCTCTTCATCACACAGCTTTTGTTTTTGTTTTGAAGTTAAAAGTGTATACCGATCTTGAACAGCTCTACTTGCAGTTATGCAAGATTTCAGCTGCTGAAGAGAATTCAGTGTTGCTGCAATGTTCTACCATATTTGTCCTCTCTCAGTACTACTCATAACCACATCATGTTCCAGAGTCCACTGTAAAATAGTTGCCTTTACTAGTGGCTAAAAACAACATGGGAAATTATAAAATTTTTCTACGAAAAAAATAAACGTTTGTCCTTTAGTACAACCTATAGTGCACGAGTAAACATAGAATGTAAGGAAACTAACAGCATCTAATCTAAAAGGTTCGGAAGATAGCAGAGGAAAGCTGACTTGTCTTTCTGACTGGTTGTTCCGCCATCACTCATGTTTTCAAACAAACCGAACCTGAAAAATATATTCAAGTTAGCAGGCAAAGAAAGCAACAAAGGGCTTAACATTTGGATTCTGCTAATCCACATAGAATATATTTCTACTTGTACGGAATGACAAGGGGGAAAAAGAGTGATATATATGCAAAAAGTATAGTTTTATACTTACTTTTTAGCGACAACGGCAAACCTCCCTGAATTTCGTCGTTGACGAAGGCTGGATGACGTTTTGACAACCTTACACATGCCCAGAGGGTTCCTGCGGGAAAAATTCTCTTCCGGTCAGTGTCGTCATCCCATTTTGTCGTTGATGCTTAAGGTCCCCAATGAAAACATTCCTATGTGAGGAAAGCGTATTGTGCCATGACAAAAGAACTTGCTTGCTTCTTACCCGGATCATTACTTAATTTCAAATATGTATTATGATACTGTTGTTATAGTATTGATACTCGGATAAGGCGGATAAGAACAAAAAGCCATAGGCCCTGTCTTACAACCCTTGCACATATACATGTAAATTCTGTAGGACATTAAAGAACCCGCACGCGTTTTGTAAAGAGTAGGGGATCTAGTCGGCAGTGTAGTGGTCTATCTCTCATTGGGGGAGGGACTGTTACGGGCCGACGTATCAGCTGATAACTCGAATTCTGGTTCTTACAACTTACCATGACTGTTGTTTTACACAAGTACAACGAATAGATAACGTATTTGAAAATCATTCCCCTGTATCATCGTAAATAGCATTTTTGTAATTTTATTACAATGTACACTGTAATAATTAAATATTAAATATTATATGCTACAGCTGTAGTAACGGTCACGATACCTGTGTGTAAATATGTTGTAACTATTGTGAAAGATAGAAGAATCTTTATTAAAATCTGTTGTCTTCTAGATTCCTGAGAGGGAACCAATACTTTCAGTAGGTGCAGGGAGGTGTAGGGACACTCGTATACTTTTCTCAGTAGTGGGCTAGTTTTTGCCTTAATTGAAGTACACATGTCATTATAGAAGGTAGCTCTTTCTTGTTGATGCATTTGGCCACTCTACTCTAACCTGCTGAAAACCTCACATTAATTTGATTTTAAAAAAAAAAATCCTCAGGGGACCTATTTCCAAGGTTCAATTACTGATATGTGAGTACATGTAGTTTGCTAGACCTCTATCTTAGATTTTATGAAGTAACACTGACTTTGCTTGCTAAGGTAAGGAAGGTTTTTTTGGGCTGTCCAAGCTGCCACATGTACCGTAAATCCTCTAGTAAGCCCTCCCTTCTCGAATAAGCCCCCTCTCTTTACTTAGCGCTCCCTTTTCAGGGGAGGAAAGTTAATAAGCCCCCCTCCCCTTCCCCTTGTTATTTTTCACTTATCAATAATAGACTGTATTGATAAATCACAACTGTAAAACTTTGTGGATGGTTCATTTACCAACTACAAGGTAAAGTTCGGATTTGTTTTTGATCCTCATCTGCATGACCTCCAACTACTTGTACTTGAGCTTTTCCACTTTGTGTTATAGTTCTTAAAATGGAGAACTGATATTATCTTCTTCGCTAAATTAAATAAGCCTCCCCCCTCCCTCAAATGTGTTTGCAATAAATAAGCTCCCTGGGAGGCTAAATAGAGGATTTACGGTATTAAAAAATTGAATACAAGAATAATGTTTCTGTGATTATAACAAGAGTTGAGTCAAGTTCAAGTCAATTGTTTTAATTGGTTTTTAACTGTTCTGCTTGCTTTACTTAGATCCAGTTGCTCCAACATTTCCACCAAAGGTGAGCTTCCAATAGCCTGGCTGGCTCTTAGTCCTAACCTAACCCTTGCTGCGAAACAAAGCTGCAAAGCAGTGCCGAGACCCTTGTTTTGCCTAATGGGATCAATGAATCACTGGATGTGCATTTTGAATTTGCCTTCAGCCTGATTGGCAAATCAACAATGATGGTTTCAAGACAGAACCCACCTGGAAATTGAGTAATTTTAATTCTCAGTGGAGAAAAACCTTGTACCAAAATAATTTAAAGAATATTGCATTCTTCTTTACATTTTTGAAGGGCTAAAGATGTAATTAGTCATCTGTAACAGGGCTGTGTTCTAAGGAAAATTGAAGGGAGCCCAGTGCTCTGAAACTGTAAAATCTAGGGTGCCCAGCATATGATTTGTATGAAAAATCTGAGATCCCATAAGAAGTTTTCTTTGGTGTTATTACAGATGACTAAATACATCTATAGCCCTTCAAAACTGTAAATTTTGTACGGAATATGCTTTAAATTATTCTGGTACAAAGTTTTTGTTCACTGAAAATTAATGTTACTCAACCCTTTAAGCCCTAAGAGTGACCAGCATCAAATTTCTCCTTGTAATATCAGTGCTTTCTTAAACAGAGTGGTCATGAGAATTGAGTACATGATCAGGGACTAAATGATATTTCAACAAATTCTCCTCTCTCCTTCTATTGAAAAAGTATAAGAACAGTAAATTAGATTCCCAATTTTGATCTTAGGGTTTAACCCTTTAAGCTCCAACATCCACATACAAATTCTCCAAACTGATCTCTATACATTTTGTTAAAGAATAAGTTGAGAGAATTTGATGAAAGATCAAAGCATTTTCTCTTAGGTGATCAATTTATTAATTCTCATAACCAGAACTCTTGACAATCAATGGATATAGTTAGGAGAAAATTGATGTTGGACACCATTGGGACTTAAAGGGTTAAAGGGTTCATTTCCTGGTGGAATCCATCTTAATTGGCTAATCATGGTGCACACTCATATCCTACATGAAGTACAGGGTTTTCGGTAGCATTTGAAAGTACGTACAGATGAAGTGGTTCAGCTGGCGGATGTGCTGGAGGCACAAACTCCTAGGGGTGTCCGGGGAAATGCCCCCCCCCCCCCCAAAAAAAAAAAAAAAAAAAAAATTTGTAAAATTGGACTCTCTAAAATGCAATTTCCTGCATTGCTTAGACCAGAATTGGGTAACCGGAATTATTACAGGAATTATCTCTTTTTTTTTTCAATTATTGCATGCATTTCATAACTGAGTAAAATAAGGTTCAAGTCTTTCTTTAAGAAATGGAAAAAAACGATTTTCACTCTTAAAAAAAATAATTACAGTGAAACCTGTATTAAGCGGACACCTTCTATTTAGTGAACAGTAGCCAAAGTCCCAAAATTTATTTCCCTTAATTACTTTAAATGAAACCTTTACTAAGCGGACACCTCTATTAAGCGGACGCAGACACCTAAAAAGTACCTGAAATGGTCATTTCTATTGTTGCCAACCTGTATTAAACAGACACTTGTAATTTAATTCCACCACCCAACATGCCAGACAAGGGAAATGCGAAAGATTGCCTCGAATTGCCACCCACAAATGTTTCGATTTTTACATTTAAAACCTTGACTTGATGAACTTATTTGATTAGTTTCAGCGTACTGTATTGTTTTCTATTTCGTTTTGTTTGTACAGAGCTTGTTTCACTCATCTGATTTCTTCAAATTTGAGTTGCTATCTATGTTTATGGTACTATGATCAATTGGTTCACTTTGGTAAAGAAATAGATGCAAACGTATATCGTCATAGTCTCTGGGAGTATTGTAAATGTTTCCACTGTTCATTTGAATGGCACTTGACACCTCATATGACGTTATCTATCAAAAACTGTATTAGGCGGACAACCTGTATTAAGCGGACACTACAGCATTCCCCTAGGGTGTCTGCTTAATACAGGTTTCACTGTATTTCATGTGTGCCGACTACCGGACGTTACATGTCAAACAACCGCACGTTGCATCCGGCGTCCAGCTTGAAACAAAACCCTGGAAGTACATAAGAGGGGGCTGGAATAAGGATTTTGGCGCTTGTTCACAGACTGACTTAACCTGAGGTTTGGTTTCATCTATGGTGCAGGCTAGCTTCCGATTGTCCTGTATATCAAACTCAAATATTACTATATGCAAAAAAAAATAATAATAATTGATACTCTAAACGTATCAGTACTATGAGCCTCCTATTGATGCTGAAATCATGGTTGCTGATAGCCAATCAAATTTGAGAGTATTGTTATAGATATGATTAACCGTGTAATTAAGCCTGGTTTCCATATAATCGTCCAGATCTTCCCAATTGCCCCAGTCATTTCAAATAATGTTCGAGTGATCAGGCCAATAAAAACGCTACCTAGACCATCGCAAAGGAGCCATTAGATTGGCACGACCTCGATCGTTTGGATAGAATAATTGAGTTTTATCCAGATGATTGACATGATCTTGTAAAATTTAAAGGGATCATATTAAAACATTCTCAGACGACTGAGGTGATTGGAACGCTCAAAGGTTATCCCAGAAATCATACGTCTTAATCCAGTAATCAAGGAGAAATTCAGTCGGATGTTGCTGAGGGTAAAAAGAATACATGTACAAAAATGTTTGCAGGAAGATTGGCAGTGGGGAAAATTTACTTGTGAATACTGGTTTAGTAATTTCCTCTATTAATTTTGTTTTTTACAGAAAGGAGAACCTGGACCAGTTGGGCCAAATGGTGACATTGTGAGTATCACTTATGCTAACTTCCCCTGCTGGAACCAAGTTGTGATGGTATTGAGACTGGGGTGCTGTAAAGGGGCTACAATCTTGGGCAAAAAGAATTTTGCACTTTCTTACCCACTGGATGCCTATCTAGTGGATTTTGCTATCTGGCTAGTGAATTCTGTTCTTGGGCAAGGGAAGTTTTTTGGGAAAATTCAAATAACGGAAGAACTGTAATCAATCCTGCTCATCACTGACTTTCTTTGCACCCTACTAGCGGGTAGTAGTTGAAGCTTACTTTTTTCTTTATTAGGGACAAAAAGGAGAACAAGGTGATCAAGGACCTCCAGGACCCAAAGGCTATAAAGTATGTAGCACCAATAACTGGATAAGTCAACAGTTGACCCTTGAAGTGTATAAAAAATGGCACACTTTTTCTGTCATTTTAGTTCTTCAATATTAAATTATATATCGGAAATTTAAACTAAAAAAATTGATGGTTGAACGGCAACTTGCACAGTGCAAAGGGCAGGAATTATCTGTCAGACGTACTCTCATTCGTTCAATAGCAATATATAATGTTTTGGCTGATGTAGTATTGTATACAGTTGAATTTCTATGTGCGACCACCTCCGGCAGGTGACCACCTTCCATAAGCGACCACCTTCCCAAAACACCAAAAATGTTCTCAGGAGATAAACTAGAAAGGGATAACCTCTTTTATCTCCTTTTCACTTTCCGATTTGGATTTGTGAATAAACAGTTATTATTATTATTATTATTATTATTATTATTAATTAAAGCCTTATACTGGAACCTCTCGCAAACGACCACCTCCTGTAAGCAACCACGACCACTGTTTCAGCTGACAGTTTAAGAATTTTCTATTGCTTTCAACCTTCAGTAAGTGGCCACTTGACCAGTTGACGCATGGCCTCTCTATACAGTGAAGTACATAATAAAAATGGACAAAAAGGAATTTATTCTTTGGCTGTCATTATTGTCTATACATCTATTACTGTGTTTATTAGTTCAATCTATAACTACAATATTAACCAGTACCCTTGAGAAAAAGACTCAGTTTTCCAGGTTTAATTTAAGAAGTTAAGTTTATGTTCAGCAGACGTGTTAGGGACATTTCTGTACAAGAAGTCACGTACAAAAGTAAAATTTGTTAACCAGAAATTTATAACTTGCATGATCTAATAATTAAGTGCACTTCCGTAAATGAACTGACCCAAACAATAGCTAATGATTTTCTCAATAAAACTACCAGTAATTGGCAGGGGAAAGCAAACTTTCATTATTTTTTTAGAATTATTATAAACGTACCACTCTATTCTATGTTGCCTAAAAAATTTCGCCCTTGTGGTCTGACTCTCATACATTGTATGTAAGTGACCACTTCCCATAAGCAACCACCAAGCCTTTGCATTTTGCATTGGGTGGTTGCTTTAATGGGAGGTTCGACTGTAGGAAGAAAGCTTGTGTAATTTACAAATGTTGAATGAATCCCTGGCATGTAAACAAAGTTGCACAATGCCTTCCTATAGTTTGTTGTCAGGCTTTTCTTTACTGATTTTTCATTCTTCATGCTCAATTCTTGTGGTAATTTAGAATCAAGAATGGAGACTTGCAACAGACTGCTAACGTTCTTTTAAACACTACTCTACGAGTAGAAAGAGACTCCAAGAGTGAGAAGAGTGCAGGCTCCAATAATGTAGGCACGTCAACTTTGTTGGGAGATAGCAACTTGGCCTGTGGAATGGCACAGTAGGGTGCTAGTTTGTAGGGGTCTCACTAAGAATATTAACCCTTTAAGTCCCGATAGTGACCAACATCAATATTCTCCTAACAATATCCATATGTTACCAAGAGAAATGGTTATGAGAGTTAATAAAATGATCACCAAAGGAAAAATGCTTTGATCTTTTACAAAATTCTCTCAACTATTTTTTAAGGTAATGTATGAAGGTCAGTATGGAGAATTTTTATGTGGATATCGGGGCTTAAAGGGTTAAGGAGGTTTGACTGTGTATAGAAAAAAGGGCAGTGTAAAATGCAGACTGCAGAGTGACTGCGGACTACTGTTTTTAGGGTTAGAAAACAATGGGACTATTTTTGTCACATACTCATTTGCATGGTGAAAACAATCATCTATAGTATGCGTTTTACACTGACTGATAGAAAAAAATTATGCATGATATCTGATTGGTATAAATCCATAATTCTCCTTTTGTTTCCAGGGCACCTCAGGACCCCCGGGTTTAAGAGGAGACATGGGTGAAGCAGGCCCAATTGGACAGCCTGGCCCTTCTGGAGGAGCCGGGGGATTAGTAAGTTTTTGTTTGCAGTTCTTCCAGTCAGAATGTAATAATGAGCTACAGCTGTATTGTTTGAATGAAGCCATAAAGTTTTAAATTATTATAGCATTATGGGCTATAACTTGTGCTCCAGTAATTCTAGATCTCCTATTATCAAACATTGCTCCAAGGCCAGGCAAGAAGAGAGTAGAAATTAAAGTGTGACATCACCAAAATTTGAATTTGCGATTAATTATGGGATTAATGGCAACATTAATTTACAAAGAACAAGAATGCTCTTAATATCAACGTTAAGTCTCGCTTGCTTGGAGATTAGATAAGAAATGAGGGTTCTCAATAGAAGGCGGCACCCGGCGATTGATCGCCGCTTACTTTGGGATTTATAGCCGCTTACTTTGTGTTTAAGTCGCTTTTCTTTGCTTTGTTTTGACACCTCTGGCTTTGCTGAAGAGCCTCCTACTTTATCAGTGATCACCTCCTACTTAAAAATCTATTGAGGAGGACAGTTTTCATCCTGTTCTTTTCTGTTTATCTCCACCAATCTAATAATTTCTTAAATTAAGCTTTTGTGATGTCATGACATCTTCTCTCTATAGATGTAGGTCCTGGAGTGTAGGTGGGTGTCACATTTGTTTGAAGTGTTTGGGATGCCTAAACATGGTTAAAACACTTGGGTATTAGTCTTATTGGAGGGTAGGTGCCGTGATGGTCAGGACAGAGGAAGGATCGAAACAGTCTCCTCAGCAAGAAGGCAGTCAGCACTGGTATTAAGCCACCTGACACCTGTCAACAGCAACATAGCAAAACAAATTGGGTGAGAGCACATGGCAATGACCGTCCAAGCCTCCGTGTACAGACTGTATCTTTCACATCAGATTGGTGAAATGGCTGCACTCACTTGATTTGAACCTTGCCTAAATTACTAAGGCTGTGTTCTAACAAAAATGGAAGGGAGTCCAGTGTTCTGAATTTGTTTAGGTTGCCCAACATATGATTTCTTTGAAAAAAAACTAAGATTTTCTGGTCACCTGAGAGCAAAAGTTGAGCATCAGGGGCCACAGGGCTCGGCTAGAGCACAGTCCCAGATTACCTTTAGGCTAATTGATTAAGAGTGTCTACTGTAACCATTATATTCTATCATGTTACAGACCAGTGGAGAAAAGGGGCCTGATCCTCAAACTCCTGGTGGCATTAAAGGAGAACAAGGAGCACCGGTAAGTTCAGTCTTCAGTGTTTATGCTAGAGGGTGACATTGCAAGATTTCCACATTTTAGTACTGCACAATATCATAATTTTGTATCAATAAAAATTATGTGCACTAAAAATTAACCATCCCTTCAGTTTCAATATATGTTGTATTTAAAAATACTGTTTCAGCTGTTGAAGAATGTATCTTGTTTATGTGAAGGAATCAATTTTTGATAACTCAATTCAATCTTAGATTGTAGTATTCAAAGTTTTAGAAGAATGCAATTTTGAGCTACAAGAATAAGTGATAAGTGTTATCCTCCTCTCAAAAAATCTAGGGTGCAAGAGGTCCCCCAGGATCACCGGGAAGGCGTGGCCCACCAGTAAGTATATTATCTCCTTGCCTTTTGTTTATTCTTTCATTGTTTCAATGACTAGTAATGATAATTCACTAGTTAATTGAGTATTCTACAAGTTGGACATCAGTTTTACTTTCTTTTATTTTATGGCTACAATAGTACGCGTGCTCTGATTGCCTGCTGAACGGGCAAGATTTTCTTGTAATGACCAGTCATTACCCCTGTCTTAGACAAAAATAGATGGGACACTTCCACCCAATGCTGTTTTTTTTTTTACTTCTGGCTTACCTGCTCATCCTCCCAATGTTATTTATCGCCGTTAACTCACCAAATCTTGTGCATCAACATTGGGTGGGCAAGAAGACAGTAAAGTGTCCCAACAATTTTGACTGAGACTGTTTTTAACTTGATAGCTAGTGGACCATCCATGTTATGGTCAATGAACAACTGTCAAAAAAGGTGCCCACTGACCAGTGTCACATTACTGTACTGTGGGCTCAAGTGTAAGACTCATTGAGGTCACATGTTTTTTAAAGTTATCCGCTCACCAGTTATTGGTTTTAATTGATGGCAGGCTCAGGTCCAAAAATTCTCATGGTCAAAGACACTGTGTCTTGTGGTTTCAATCGCATCGCCGCAGGTTCAATTCAGTTTAGTGAACATGATCGACCTCGAATGACCTCTTGTGTGAGGATGTTGAAAATCACTTCCAGTGTTTTTTTGTTGTATTCAACTAAAGAAAAAGGCACTAAAAAGGGCCATATAATAACTTATTAACCTTGTCTGTTCAGTCATTACAGGAAAATTTCAGTAGTTTGTAAATATCTCTCAATCTTTACATTAGGCTAGTAATGATAATTTAGTAGTTGATTGTGTATTCTCCAAATTGGAAATCAGTCAGTTTTACTTCCTTGCAATAAGAGATAACTTTGGGCAGCATGCAAAGAAAATTGTGTCTGATAGCCTGGGGCTACCATATTTAGCTTCAGGCTTGTGAATTCTGTTCTTAACTTGCCTAATGAGTGAGTGAAACTTTTTGGGGGAATTCAAACTACAGAAGTACCAAGACAAATTGTTTATTAAAAAAAGTGCCATGTGGATTGAAGCTGTTTTTAAGGCTGAATTATCACAGTTATTGTTATTATTACAATGATTTAATAAAGCTTGTAGTGAAATAACAAATAACAATTAATTATTAATTTTTTTGGGCCAGTTAAAATGACTTTCAGGCCTAAAGGGTAAGCGGTTAAACTGACTTTCTTTGCCCCCTGCTTGAGCCGATTGAGTTAGAGTTAAGAAAACAGTTTTTTGCAGCTTCTTATTAGGTGTGTAGAAATTTCATTAGTTGACCTCTGTAATTCATGTGAATTTTAGGGCTGTTCTGTGTAGTGCCTAAACCTCATACAATCCTGTGCTCCAAGGAAAATTGAAGGGATCCCGGTTCTTTAAACCTCTAAAATATACAGTACCATTCAAAAGTAAGTCGACACTGGAAGCTTGAAACTCGAGCCTCTATGCTCGTGTCTCGAAGCTTGAATGCTTCGAGTGTGAGATGCGAGGATCGAGTCTCGAGACGCAAGGATCGAGTCTCGAGTTTCGATGATCGAGGATCGAGGATCCAAGAAGCCAGGTTTTGTGTAAGAACGATGGTATACAGTCATGTAGCCATTCAGATATTCGCACCGTCGATCAGTGCTTGCGATGTGGTGTTCTGTAACTGTTTGAATTGTCGGGGTTTGGCAAGCTTTCAATAAGTGTAAATCAATATTTTCATTTTCGAAGATTTATCCTGCATGTACAGTGTATGTAGCCTTTTGCTTGCCGTGTTCCGAAATTTTCACAGATGAACGGTGCCGCTCAGCAATTCATTCTGTCAATTAAGCTTGTCGCAGTTTTATGCAAATCTTGGTGAAGATTATGTCGGTTGAGTTGTTCAATTTGCTTTGTTTGTCAAGCTTCAACTTCTTACGTGTAAAGGCAGCTTAGGACATGTAGCCTTTCACTCAATAATTTTATTTGAAAACTTGGCGATTCCGTGGCTTGTCGCACGTTTGGCGTATGTAAATAATGTTGATAACGTCATGAGAAACTACGTTTGTTCTAGAAAGTGAAATTTTCACGTGCGCATTTCAGTCAATACCGTAGCTTGTCACGCTGTTACTGTATGTAAATATGCAAATCTACAAGTAGTCACACAATAATTTCATGGAAAACTGTATTTGTAACAAAAAGCGACTTTTTCATGAGCATTTGAGTTATTAAATTTTCCATTAGTCAATTTTACATAATTTATGTATCTTTTCATCTGCCATGTTCATTCGAAAACACGGCTCAGCAACTCCGTGAATTATAAAACTGGCTTTTATGCAAATCTGGCTGATGTCACCGGAAACTTTGTTTGCTGAGGCGAGATTCTAACACACGATCATTTGAGTATTGAAAAAAAGGTCCAAACTCGTTTTGTTCAAATGACAGAAAGTGACAAGGAATGCACGAGCCTGGCTCAGGCACTCTGCAAAAAATCGGAAACGTAGTTGTCACATGATGCGGAGTTTGACAGACAGACAGACAGACCTCGTGGTATTGATTTGTGAGATGGATAAGATCTAGTTTTCAGATCGAAGCGTGTGAGTCTGTGATCTTGTTTTGGAACGATTAAAGAAGATTTATGGTTGAAAAATGAGGTTTGAGTTTCAAACAGAGGTTCTTTTCACCGCTAGTCTGACGTAAGAACGATGGAAAGTCAAAAAGAATTAGCGCTGTATACTGTTCACGAGCGATATTAATACAGTCGTTTCCTGTATGAGTTGTTTCGTTGTTGTTTACTTTTTGAAAGCTATTACATATATGTATCTCGCCTTCACTTCTAAAAAGCAAGGTTCAAAAGGACTATTAACAGGCGACCAGAAGGGAACATTTTCGCTTCAAAGCGCGAGCTTTGTTCACGCGAAAGCGAACGAGTCTCACCCAATGCACGGAGCCGTGATTTTTAGAATGAAAGGTAAGTGTACACTTAAAGAGAGAGCGCTTTCTCGACTCAATTTAAAACTCGATCCTCAATCCTCAATCATCGAAACTTGAGACTTGATCCTTGAAAGTTTTGAGAATCGAGTCTCGCGTCTCGAGACGTGAGTGACTGTCAACTTACTTTTGAGCGGTATTATGGGTGCTCAGAATGTGATTAGAATGAAAAAACTAAGATTTTCTGGTCATCAGAGAGCAAAAGTTGGGAGCCAGGGGCCAATGGGCTAGCATACTTAGCTGCTGGGATTGTGAATTCTGTTCTTAACTTGCCTGAGGAGCAAGTGAAACTTTTTGGGGGAATTCAAACTACAGAAGTTCTAAGACAAATTGTTTAGGCTGACTGCTAGAGCACAGCCTTGTTTATATTAAAAAATTATTAAAAAATTAATTTTCATACACACTCAATGTATTTTTTTTCTTCACCACCAGGGAACAGCTGGAGCTAGAGGCACTACGGGTCCCACTGGAGAAGCAGGACCTAGGGTATGATTAACTTTTAATTGTAGGGCCTGTAGTAGGCGGCTTTGAAACTCACACCAAAGGCACAAGTTCTTGAGGGCCAAGACAACTAGGGACATTTTGAAATTTAGAGTCTTGGAAATGCCATTTCCAGGGGTTTTCAAGAGGTATTTTCCACCATGTTTTGTCAGAATACATGCAAGACTGAGAACAATGCCGTTGAAATGACTCAGACATTCCACGACATCGCATGGTTCGATCATTTCACAGATCTAAACCTGTTTAACGCCCACGTTGGCATCTGAAGTGGAGCTTGGGTGCCCATGGGCCAGGGGGCTGCAACTGCAATAACACCCCAAGGCGGAAGAACATCCACAGGCCTACCAACCCGCAACCCAGCCACGAGCCCCCCTGCGCCCATCCCGCAACCACCCCCACTCCGTGCCCGTCAAGTTTCTCCTGCCTCTGTTGCCATTTCATGAGCACACGATGGCAAAAGGTGTTTGTGTTTTTTCCTTTCTGGGTTTTGCATGGGATTTTAGGTGTTTATAGAGTATTTGGACGAGAGCTTGTTTTTATTACCTCCTTGTATTTTCATCTCACTCTTGCAGGGAAGAAATGGTCAGCAAGGTCCACCCGGATTGCCGGGAGGAGATGGTTCAGATGTAAGAAGCTGAAACAAACAATGCGTGATAATTTTTTCTTCCTTTTGTAACTATGCTAACACCTCATATCTTTCATTAGGGAGCTTAAGCAACAATGACAGGGACAGTTATGAAAATGTCAGTTAAAAAGTGTGTTTGCACTGCTTAATTCAAACTTAATTAGGCGTATTCCATCATGTTCAATTCATCAAGTAATGTTGGCAAATTTTTCTGAAGATGAATTCTAAAGGACTGCATCAAAGTTCAGAAAAAGAAAAAGAGGGTCATTGTCTTGTGTTCATGGCCTCCACAAAACATGAAATTAGGCAGTTTCACGTCATAGTCATGCAATGATGGCAAAGAAATGTTCAAAAAAGCATTCAAAGTTGTTTTGCCAATCTAAACCTATGGATTTTTTGCCATTCTTGTTGCAGTCGCCATTCTCGTTTACTTAATCTCCCTGTTGTCCATTAAAAGGGCTGTGTCATAGCTGCAGGACAGTTTATTTTTTCAATATTGTCAATTACGTATGGAACTCAATATAAGTGAAGAACCTACTTTTACATAACAAAATCTTAGTCCTGTGTCAATCAAACAAGCATTATATCAAATGTTACTAATGACAAAAATGAACTTTGAAAAACTGTTACGCTAACAAGTTTGCCCAATCCTGATCCATTTCAGTCTTCTTCAAAGTTCGTCCATCGTGCTTTCTTTTGTATTTTCTGTGTTATTTATCCCTCCTTCTGATAATTAGTTTGAGCACTTAATTCACTCAAGTTTTCGGTAGTTTTCAATTTTTTAAACTTTGATAAATTATGTGGTGCAGCTCCTTTAATTTTCCAAATTTGTGTGCATAATATTCCTTATGGCTTCAACCTAAGAGATAACGGGATGTGGCGTGGCAGATGCCACACCCCTACATGTATGGTTGATCTAGGATTTTTTGGGAACCTCAATTTTTATGTAGCTGTTGATTTATACCGCAGATACATTTCACAAACCTTGGTGATAGTCAGTGGCTTTGGTCACGAGATAATTTTATAATGTCATGTGTGGCATAAAGATGAGCCATTTTTGAGGAAAATTCCATTCTCCTGCATGATTTTGTGTAAATATTATAAAACAATTCCCAAAGCTGCGAAATGTTTCATTTCTATAACAACATACCTTAATATTATTGTCAAACAAGAAAAATACTTGGTTTCTAAACTATTTGTATAAGTCAGAGTTATCAGTGAAATCTCAGATGGCCATCAATATGGCAACCATTTTCAGTGATATCATAGGTCCCAGGACAGTGCTTATATCATATCTACGTTAAAATAAAATAAAAACTGCGTTGTGGTGCAATAAGGGGTTGCAACAACCACAATCACTCTAGGGCAGTGATACCAATTTGCTAGAATGGCTTCTCTGTTCTTTTCTGTGGAATGATAACCATTATAGTGACTGAAAAATCAGTAGTGGCATCATTTATTTACTTTTGATAGCTGGACACAATTTGTTTGTCTTTGTGAAATGTTATACAGGGTGAACCTGGAGACAAAGGATCTCAAGGAGACCCTGGAGCCCAAGGACCACCGGTAAGTATTTTCTGTATTAATTGTTCAAAGTGGCTCTTGCATTAGCCTGAGAAAACAGCTGACATTTCACGAAGCCACCAGTGGTGTTCCTTCAAACTGACGTCTGAGAAATAAGCACAGATTTTCCGTACTGATGACACATCACTGCCCAGATCTGGCTAGCGCTTCTGATTCGTTGGAAATTTGCTTCATCCAATCAGAGGCACTACCCAGATCTGGGTAGTGATGCCTTGTCAGTATGGAGTTTCTCAGGGTGCAAGGAAGTTCAGTTTTGCAGCTTGCGATTCGGGCAAGCTCTAGCTAGCACGTACTAGCCCCAACGTCATTTCAACTAGCCCGAAAAAAAATTTTGATGAGCACTGGTTACAGTTCTTCTGTAATTTAAATCCCCCCCCCAAAAATTCATTTTCCCATCTGGCAAGTTGAGAATAGAAATCACTAGCCCAATAGCAAAATCCACTAGCCCTGGGCTATCAAACACCACTTTCTTTGCACACTGAGTTTCTGCACTCATTTCTCAGACATATTTTGTGGGGATACCACTGGTGCATCCGGAAGTGTCAGCTGTTTTCTCAGGCTACTCCTGCATGTATACTAAAACATTCTGTACAACTCTGTTACAACACGTTTTGGATTCCCAAGTCCTTTTCTCCACTATTATCTCCTAAATACAGTACAGGCATCAGTTGTTCAAAAGTTGGATACAGTAGCACTATCCACTGGATCAACTTGAATCCATTGGATAGCTCAGTTGGTTTCCCTAATACTTATCCGCTGTATATAACCACATTGAGACAACAACTCAACTGCGGTGAATTCTAACACAAAAAACGGCTGTTGTTTTACTGACAAGTAGTTAAGGTTGACGTAAAACTAGAAAGGAAAATACAATTGACAGATCTTAATTACTTGCGATAGGAAATGCACCGGGTAAGCAATACGAATACAAACTTAACTAGAAAATTCCAAAAGGCCAAATAATAAACCAAATAAAAGAGGAAACCAAAGGAAAGACTAATACCTTGTGAGCCTATTATAGTTTTTGTCCTGAAAAACCAAAATCCTTCACTGAACAAGCGAACAGAGTAATCCTGACCCGCCGAGCTAACAATCATACAACTTAAACTAACGGCTTGATCACCTGACCCGAAAGGGCACGAACGTTTACCTTTCTGTGCAGGCCTGGGCTGGCTAGCAGCTACACGCTGAATAATGACTATCCAATGGATAGTGCTATCTAGCGTTTGAACGACTGAGACCTGTCTGTTGGGACCTTTTGGCATATTAGAAACCAATTTATCTGACAAAGAGTTAATAGTAAGACTTTTTTTTACTGAAATTCATTATTGTAGAAGTGTGTAATTTAACATTCAAGTGATATGACTGTGTGAAAATGGCAGATCATGCAGTGGTCTGATATAGCAAATACTATGGTCATTTAATATGTAGTTTAGAAAATTATGATATGATGTCAACTGTGTTTTCTAATATGTCCTTTCAAAATAAAAGATTGAAAGCACACATGTCCTTTTGAGTAAGAAAAAATATTTCCAACGCTGAGATGAGTGCTTCAGGAGCGTTAGTTGTGCAAGGCAAAAGCCATGCATCTTAGATGGGTAGACCGGTAAACGTTTTTTGCCCTACAAAAGTATGGTAGCTCTTGCCTGTCAGTTACATAATTAAGCAGTTTCAGTTTTCTTAGACTGCAGTTTTTTGTCTTCTAGGGTCAAACAGGTCAGCCTGGTATACCAGGTTTGACAGGATTCAAGGGAGATAAGGTATGTTTCATTTCTTTGGAAAATATTGTGTGGCATTATAACCCACTTCTTCTCTGGCACCATTGTATTGCTAAGTAACACTTAAATGTGGTCCTGGCTGATCCCCCAAAATATTTAAATTGATGGAAAAATATAACATGTCTGTTTTAACGCTTTAAGTTCCAAGGTTGACCAACTTCAAATTTCTCCTAACAATGTCAATATGCTATAGAGAGGAGAAGTGTGATGTCACATTACCATGGAAACAAAATTTCGGGAACACAACAACGGGGAGCTTTAGCAACGTCGACGGCAATTTAAACGGGAAAAAAGAATAGGGTTTGCATTAGCGAAACAACAAATTTGCATGTGCATCACGCTTTTTTGTGCATTTCCTAGCTGTTGTTGCACGATTGCAACATGGCCCGCTTTATGGAGTAGGAACAAAGCACAACATTTTTCTTTTCTTTTTCTAAGCTTTGATTTGGTCCTTTCGCATTCAACTCCAGAAAATTTTGCCAACATTTGACAAATTAAATGAAACTTGATAGGATTGATGAAGTTTGAAACAGTGTGAATTCAACTTTTAAGAGACATTTTTGGTTTGTCGTCATCCAGAAATGTGGTTACCATGGCAACGTGATGTAACAACTTCTCTTCTCTATCAAGGGAAAAGGTTAGAATGTGTAATCAAATGGTGGCGGGTGAAATTGAAATTATTAGAATTTGGACAAAAAACAAGTGATATTGTTTTCTAATTTTGTGAGTGTACCATTTGATTAGATATTATTATGATCAGTGCCAAATAACGTTCACGATCGTGGGTTTTTTACTTGTTTCATTTTTGGCTTAAGTTCATGATTTTCTGAACTTTTCCATAAAATACCCATTAGAGTTCTTCTTTGTCACAAGCGTTTCAGTTTTAGCCCGCGTTGTAAGTAAACAGCGCAGGCTTTTAGGGTGAAACTGCTGACCAAAACTGTGGGGGCTTCGAACGCACGCTATATATTGACACAAAACGTGATTTTCTTTTCGCCGTGAATGGGCTGTGTACGTTTTCCTTGCTATTCTGACAGAAAATTGACGAACGGGACTGTTATCTGGCAGGAAAACCGTCTTATTGTTCCGGTAATTCTTTTTGAAGGGTTTTCATTTTCGTCTCAACATTCCCACTGGAAAGTTTTACCCTTAAAGTTGCCTTTTCACCAAGTGGTGCGGTGCTTTCCCTCAACACTTCGGTTTGATTCTCGTGAATGATATCTCTGAATCGAGTCTTTTGCCACTGGCAAATTTCATCACCTAATAAAAAATGCTTTGATCTTTAAGCAAATTCTCTCAAATAATTCTATAACCCTCTAAGCCCCAAAATCCACATACAAATTCTACAGACTGATCTCCACACATTTCTTGTAAGAATAATTGAGAGAATTAATTTTGGTGTAAGATCAAAGCGTTCTCCCTTTGGTAATTAATTTAGTAATTCTCATAACCTTTACTCTTAATGATCTGATGTTGTTAGGAGAAAATTGATGTTGGTCACTCTTGAGACCTAAAGGGTTAAGGAACTGTAAGGAGATCAGTATGGAGAGGTTGTGCATGAGTCAACAAAAGACTGCAGATAATGACAAGAGCCACCTAACTTATTTCTTCTCTTGGAAGAGGAAGTTGTTATAATCTTAGCTTTGTTATTACTAGTTCAACTGCCTTAACTTACCTTGGCAAATGTGTATTTCTATAGGGAACACAGGGAAGCAAGGGAAACAAAGGAGATCAAGGATACTCAGGAGAGAGGGTATATATTATTCTAATAGTAGAACTAGTAATAACCAAAAAGAGAAGGAAAAAAATCACAATCTCAGGAGCTCAAGGTTCTTTTTAATATCATCTGTGCTTTCTTTCATAGGGAGATCCAGGAGACCCAGGTAACCCCGGTATGGATGGTGCCCCTGTAAGTATTTTATTTTTAATACAGTTTAGTTGGAGTAGTTATAAAATGGAACAGTTCTCACACACAGCTGGCAGCCATGCCAAGCCCACCATGTAGACCAAGCTTTAATATCAACACTACAAATAACAATATTAGTATTGCAGCAGAAAACGAGCTAATAAATGGCTGACAAGAAAACTGAGACTGGACACATCTACAATAACAACCAAAACTATGGCACTACTTTAAATCGTAAAACAACCCAAAAAACACATGAAACTTTTCTGCTTCTTTCTCAGCCGGCGGAAAACCATTATTCATTTCTTCACAACAGCGAATTTAATGATTACTTATCATTAGATAATGGAAAAGCCTTCAACCAATAATGCAGTTTGAGTCGTGTCACCCTTTGCTGTTTGCACTGTTTGCGTTGTCACCCAAAGGACTTGATGCTAACGGTCTTTACTAGCTCTCTTTTTCCTTTCCTTGTTTGTGTTCATATCAGTTCTTGGGGTGTCTTTTTCTTGAAAAAAGGTTGCAGTGGACAATAGTTAATTGTAACTCTTGGCCCAATGTTTTCACGTTTCAAGCCATGTCTGTCCTTGCCATCCATAGCAATTAATAGACAACGGGAAACAGTTTCAGTGCCTAAATAATTAGTCTTTAATAACAAATGTGTACCATTGTGGAATTCATTGATGCAAAGACAGGTTTTAGCTTTTTAAAGTAATTTGTTGTTGTTGTGGTTTCAGGGTGCAACTGGACAGCAAGGTGTGCAAGGAAAGCAGGGCAGACAGGGACCACAGGGACAGAGAGGACCAGAAGGATCCCCTGGTGTACAGGGTGCTGCGGTACGTAAACAGGGAGCTTAAGCAAAAACAATGACGACTACGAAAACGTCACTTAAAAAGTGAGTTCATGCTACTTCAAACTTTATCGCGATGATTCCATCTTGTTCAATTTGTCAAATGTTGGCAAATTTTTCTGGAGTTAAATTTTAAGGGACTTTATCAAAGTTGAGAAAAAGAAAAAGAAAGTTGTTGGCTTGTGTTTGTGTCTTCTACAAAACATGAAATTAGGTAGTTTCACGTTGTAGTTGTGCAACGACGGCAAAGAAATGTTCAAAAAAAGCGTGATGCCCGTTCAAAAATGATGTTTTGCCAATCTAAGCCTATTGCTTTTTGCCGTTCTTGTTACTGTCATCGTCGTCGTTGCTTAAACTTCCTAACAACTGTTACAGTGCATTTTTTGCTTCTGGATGTGTACTTCCTTATTACACGAAATATAAAAATATTAAAATGCACCAAAATTATGTTGCTAAATTTAAATCGTCTCTAAATTAAATTAAAGTAAGTACAACATGAAATTGGCATCCTGTCAGTTATGATGTATATCGGATGTCTCTTACACTTTTCAGTCATTTCAGCTTGACAATTAACTGAAGTGGATTCTTCACTGGTATTAAATTTTGCTTTCCCGTCTGGACTCTGCAGTTTCCATGGTTATAAGGAGCTGTGGAATCCTAGTGAAATGAAAAGCCTGACAATATATGAGGAAAATAATCCGCACGACTGTTGCGCAGTTTCAGTTTTAAGTGACCTATGTTCCAAAATTTACAAAAGTTGCTCAATTAAAGTGGCCCTAAATAAGGATTTTTCAAAATCGCTTAACTAAAGTGTCACCAAAATTTAATGTAATGAGGTAAATCAAATGTCATAAAGGCTGCAAGCGCTGACCATACAATATTACCCTGCCTGTCATTCACTTCGGAGTGCTTTTAGCCAAGCAGGAAAAGTGCATGAAGGCTGTGCTCTAAGGAAAATTTGAAAGGAGCCCAATGTTGTGAGCCAGTAAAGTGCAGGTTGCCCAGCATAGGATTTCTTGAAACTAAGGCGCTTTCCATTTGTCAGAACTGACCGCCAGGCCATGGCTGGAGCAGTCATTTTGACAATTAAATAGGCTTCTCCCAAGAGTTTTTGCTGAAAAACCATCTCCTTCCAGCATAGTATTTAGGATTTGACTGATCTGGTTGGATAGCGTTGATTAAGTGAAATTCTTGTTAGTATGTGTAATCAAATGGTGGCGAGTGAAATTAGGGAATAATTTCACGCGCGTTTTGTCCAAATCCTTTACAAGCGTGGCCGAGAATTTGAACTCAGGATGACCGGAAAAAATCCAGTAAGTGGCTTGGGTGGGACTTGAACCGAGGACTGCTGCATTGCGAGTCCAATGCACTGACCACTCGGCCACTCTGCCTCCTTGTTAATTTCACCCTTTCTATTAGATTTCTTGAAAGAATGTTAGTTATATTTTGCTCTGATTTATCAGGGTCCAACCGGGCGAGCTGGACCCCCAGGAATCTCAGGTCTTCCTGGAGCTAAGGGTGACCGTGGTGAGCTAGGAGTACAAGGTGACCAAGGAGCTGTTGGTGAACAAGGACCTACTGGTGAAGCGGGACCAAAGGGAAGAAATGGACAAGATGGTACCCCCGGAAGAACTGGAAGTGCTGGAGAGAAAGGAAGCTTGGTATGAAAATTAATAAGCATATTTGTTATTGCGACAGTGAAATGCAAAATGGGAATTAAATGATCTAACTGCAAAAACAAATAGATGATGAAAGGCTAACCAACTGTCTTACCCGCTTTTCAAACAGTTTGATAAAATTTCAACTGTGATGATCTCTTTTACATTTATTTCCTCATTCTGTGATTCAAATACTGTAAAACCCCTCGACTAAGAGCCTGGATTTTAAGAACCTGTTGGGTATAATTTGACAGTTAAGCCCCCTTCTGTTTTGCCTAAAATTTATGAATTTTACACACTTACTGTATTCTAGGTACATGTAATCTTAACCATTTAACTAGAGGTATTTGACCTGTAATGAACAAAAATTTCTTGCGAGTTTGAAACATTTTGAACCAGTGAAGTACATTTATAACACTGACCATTTTTTGGGCAAAATGATTACAGGAGGTCTTTTTCTAAATTATTATTGGGGAGCAAGGGTACTAATGTTCCCAGGTTCAAATCCTGGTGCCGACACCACATGTTGTTTGGGTTTGTTGTTGGTTCTCTCCTTTGCACTGAGAGTTTTTTTCTGGGTAACCCGGTTTTCCCCTCGGCTTAAAGGGAACCTCCACTCTTACTACAGAATAAGTTTAAATCGAAATTATGTCAATAAACAAATTTGTTCGAAATTTGTCCTTAAGGAAGTGTTTATATCAGGAAAAGTGAATTTTAAAATCGCTTATTTTCACTTTCAAATTTCGCGGGCGCCGCCATCTTGAATAATTGTGACATGTTACGGTTGCTCTATTGTTCTGACACAAAGAGCTTTTGTTTAACAGCAATAGGGCAACCGTAACACTTCACAATAATTCAAGATGGCGACGCCCGCAAAATTTGAAAACAAAAATAGGCGAATCTAAAAGTTATTTCTTTCGGATACAAACGCTTTCATTAAAAATATTTTATATTGACTTGACTGTAACAGTTATTTCCTGTGATTTAAAGTTATCTTTTTGTTGAAGTGGAGGTTCCCTTTAAAACCAACATTTCCAAATTCCAATTCGATCATGAATCAGGGAGATGAAGAACCACCAAGTGGATGTCACCTCACCTCACCTATCCTCTCAGAGCCTCATGGCACGTAAGGCCTTCACAGGCCCCCCCCGCTTATCTCACTTAGCCGTAACAGTGTTCACGTCCTCCCATGATCACCATCCTGCTTCTGCCCTTACCTTTTCAACCATTTGCCTTCAGCTGGTTTTTGGTGCAGCGTACATACATTCCAGTTTCCGATCTTCTTCTATCCTTCGACCTGTTCGGCATGGGTGGCCCTATCAGAAGTCAAAGACTCCAGCCTACATAGCTCTATGGGTCATTGAGACACAAATCACTCTACCACGGTAAGGTGGTGGTGTTTTTAATTTGGGGTAGACTAAGTGGATGCACTACCTCTAAATCATTACTTATTTATTTTATGAAATAAGGTAATGCGTTTATTTTTATTAGATGTGTTTTTTTAATTTTGCCACCCTTTTCAGGGTCCAACTGGTTCAGCAGGCCCCCCTGGACAACCAGGAGCTCCTGGAAGTGCTGTAAGTAAATTCTCCCTTCCAATTCCTGTACGTTATCCCTTTATGTCCCAATAGTGACCAACAGCAATTTTCTCCTAACAATGTCCATACATTGTCAAGAGATAAGGTTGTGAGAATATAAAAAAATGATCACGAAAGAGAAAATGCCTTGATGTTTTTTTAAACTCTCTCAACTAATTCTTAAAGGAAATGTATGGAGATCAGTTTGGAGAATTTGTATGTGGATATTGGGGCTTGAAGGGTTATTTAATTTACAGTGCCCTCATTATGAGCATTTAACTTCTCATCAGTAGCATTTACCTTCAGACTTTTTAAAAAATTCTGCTTGGTAAAACCCTACCCCCTCCTTCTTTGAATTCATAGTGACCCCTGATGAGGTGGGTATGTATAATTTTGTTTGGACTGTAAGAAATGTTTCTAGAACTCTTCACTTATTTACTTGTTTCTAAGATCATTTGTTCCTTAACCCTTTGAGTTCCAATAGCGACCAATATCAATTTTCTCCCAACAATATCCATACACTGTCAAGAGATATGTTATGAGAATAAATAAAATGAAAAAGAAAATGCCTTGATCTATTATCAAATTCTCTCAACTAATTCTTTAAGGAAATGTATGGAGATCAGTTTGGAGAATTTGTATGTTGATACTGGGGCTTAAAGGGTTAATTTATATCAGAAATCCTTAATTTCGCAGTGGTTTTCATACTAATGTGTACTTTCAAGGAACGAGTAACAGAAGTGTTATTGATAACTACACATCTGCGGGAGACTTGAAAAATAATATGCTTGGGGAAAGCAAGGGAATCATTGGAACTCACTGGGCAAAGGCTACTACTAATTTACTAGTAGTAATCATAGATCAATAAGTGCGTTCGAGTTTTCTTAGCTCCAGATTAGCTTTTGTGTCGTCAAGCTTGATTTCAAAATCATGGAAGAGATCATGAATTAAAAGGTAAACATTCTTTTCGTAAAAAATGTTCTTCGCGTATACGGCTTCAAAATATCTCACTCATTAACTCTCTACTCTTAAAATGTCTTACTCTCCCTCAAGCATGGTCGATAAAAATGTAAAGTAGATCGTAAAAAGTTCTTTGTTGTTAAAAAGATAAACATGTCACTACAAACTTCGAAAAAATGGTAGCCTTGAAGGTTAAAAGTCTTGGCTTCTTGCGTGACACAACTTGAAGTGAAATCAATGATCATAGGAGCGACGGAAACATATTAGGTTTCTGCTAGATTACTGATGTCAGAGAACCGGACAGAATCTTTTGCCATTGTGCAAACTTTTCATCTCATGATTATTTTACGTTCATGTAGGTCAGTTCAACATGTTTTAAACTTAGCTTGCTTCAGCGAGCGAGATACTTATCATGCAAAATTACCCGCGTAGAGATATCAGACGTGAATAAAGCATTACAGTTGTAACAAACTGCACTGATACGCTCAAGCTTACTTTTTCGTGCATGAAAGAGGTTAAACTACAAATATGTAAATAGACTCAAACGCACGGGTAAACTTCTCACGGCACAAATGTTACCTGGTCTTTATTTGTGTGTTTCTACGAAGTTCCAGCTCGATTTGAACGGCATTGACCGAAAAGTTTAGCAGAATCATCAGCTCAGTGATAAAACCCGCTTAGAAAACAACTCCAAAGTTCATTCTTTTGCCGAACTCAAATATTCCCGTGTAATCATCGAGTTGACCTTGATGGAACCAGTGATGCACGTGATTGCCATATGACAATTGCTTATGACGTAAAAAATAGTTGTGTGCGCATGTCCACCAGGTGAGCCCGCAATTTCTTTGGCCGGCTATTGGGCTTAAAATTCGTGCGCGCGCTTAATAATTATTCAAAATGGCGCAGATTTTGAACATCGCCCGTCCAAGTAACCAAAAATCTCGAATCTTCACGCCTGGCATGCACAGGTATCCCATCGACCACAGGATCCCCAAAGATTACGAAGCGTTCTCCTAACGTCGAACGCAATAATAGATTTGAACTGGAAGGAAACTAAAAAATAACTACAAACCAAATAAGGCTAGGGAGTGAATTGACTACCCACAAATACAGGATTTACAAAAGGGAACAAGATGTTTACCACTCCTACACAACAGGAATTAGGTACAAGAAATGTGTGGGAATAATTCAATTTCAATTTCAATTGAATTCAATTCATTGTTTATTCGCACTGTTTCCAAAGATTACATATTGCACATTATTTAGACAAAGAAGAAAATAAACATACAGTAATAACAAGAAGAGAAACATTGTTAGTTAGGGCACAGCAACCAGAGGAGCTAAGGCTTTTGAGCTGGTTGCCGTAATGATAAAATGATGTTGGTAGATCTCGCTCCCAAGTTATCTTGTCATTCCGTTATTGTCCATTTAACAAATAGAGTTTGTAGTGTGCTCTAAAAGAATTGGAGGTAACAATTTTAGGGAATAATACAACAAGGTATGTAAGGAAATAGAGAAATTAAGGTAAACGACCCAAAAGTAATAATTATTAGGACAATAAAAATAATTGGAAAAAAATATGGAATTTAGAAAATGAAACGAACTTAAAATGAATTAAAGTGACCTTAGTCACACTTAATTACATTTAGCCATGTCAAAAAAGGATTTTTCATTTATTGCGAGTGAACTTTGCCTGGCATAAAATAATAGTGTATTTTATATATTTTTTTCCTTTGAAGTTACATGTACCATACATTGCACCATTCCCTTTACAACAATTAATAATAGTGATTTACAGTGCCCTTTTTTTTTTGCTGCTCCGTACACACCAAATATGATAAAAAATTGCGTTTTTCTCTTCTGAAAGGGTGTCCCTGGTGCCCAAGGACAGTCTGGCCCTCCTGGAGACAGGGTAAGTGTAATTAACTCATTTCCTTTAAATACCATTCAGTATCAATGTGAAATTCCTAATTCTAAGTGGCGGGAGGCAACCAGTTGGCTATTTACAAGCGTGTCTGAGGATTTGAACTTGGTACAACCGAGAACAAATCCAGCAAGTGTCCAGAGCAGCACTCGAACCCTAGACTGCCAGATTGTGAGTCGGACACGCTGACCACTGGGCCACGCCACTTCTAACAGATAGAAGTTTTCTGACAAATTTGATCTAGAAAAGGTTGTGGTTACTCTGTTTTTGCTGATGTTTGATTATCAATTCTGTATTAGGGTCGAACTGGTCAGTCTGGATTGCAGGGACAAAAGGGAGAAAAAGGATCACAGGTACTAATTTTTTTTTCTGTGATTATTTTTGGGAATTAGTTATTAAGTTAAGCTCATTATTTCTCAGTTATCTGTTTAATTCTCAAGGGTGTTTCTTCCCAGCAATATCAGTACACAATCAAGAAAAAAAGGTTGTGAAAAATTGATAAATAGAGGATATTACATGGCCACTTGGAGATACAAACTTTCTCTTCTCGTGTTGAAAAATATTTCACGAGTGAGTGCAAGAGAAATTTCATATCTCCAAGCGGCCATGTAATGTTCTATTTTTTATACAAACACCATTTAAATACCAAACCATTTCACTTTAATGGTTTTTTGGTGTGAAAGGGGCGATTAGTTATGTATCCATAGCAATGGTGATCTTTTCGCAAGTGAAGGTAACATCTAATTCTTATTTCATGTGTGAAGATATCATGTTTTCGCACGAAAGCTCACCTGGTATTTCATTGGTGTTTATATGATATAAATAAATAATCACCTGAGGGAAAATGCTTTGATCTTCTACCAAATTCTCTCAACTTTTTCTTTAAGGAAATGTATAGAGATCAGTGTGGAGAATTTGTATGTGTATATTGGGGCTGAAAGGGTTATTGCAATTTGTTTCTTGATGCCCAAAGCAACCTTTGTACAACTGAAAAGCCTGCAATATTTTTTGACTGATTTCAATACGATAATAAAATTATCTATAATAAATTTGTTACTTGTAAGAAGTCAAATGCCAATTTGTGCACCTGTGTTGTTTCATATTTTCTGTCATGGATCGTCATGTAACAGGAGTTGCTCTAAACATAATTTGAGTTTCCTCTTGTTTGAGAATGATGAAACTGGGTGCGACCTCCATGGCAATCAAATGTCTAAGGCTTTTTGTTTTTTATTCAATTGCTGGGATTCCATTTCCCAGTAAGTGGAACCATAGGCAAGGACATATGAAATAAAAAATGGGCTAAATTCTCGTTAAAACCAAAGCACTGGAAAGCTCAAAAAAGTAAATTTTATCCGGGAGATTTGCTTTCCATTTTGCCAATCCAAACAGTCAGTTAACCGGTGGAATCATTAAGAGGAAAAAGGAACAACATTGTTGGATTGAAACAAAGTTTCTGGAGGTGTACCACTTTGACCAGAAAATTTCCATGCAAACTGAAGCATATTCCATTTATTTCTTGACCGAAAATTCTGAAAACTTTGACTTATTGGAAAGCACCTTTGGTGACCTGTATGGGCAGTGTTCTCCCTATGAGGCGGTAACCGGTAAAATTTACCGCTTGAAGCAACACTTCTTACCGCCTGCAACCAAGTGTTACTAAAATTTAAAAATAAATTGTTTCAAAAATATGCAAGTTGTGATCCAAGCCGATCCCTGCAAGAAAAGGAAGTAAATATGGAAAAACAAAAAGTATACACAGTTATTCTCCCTAATTACTTTATTAGGTGCTGACTGGCTCCTTTCAAAGCACTGCAGGCCAACAATTTTTTCGTGGGCTACTGTCCCAATTCTAAGCTTTTTCGACCAGCAGGAAATGTTCGCAACTTCCGCGACTTGTGTTACTAAATTGACCCTAGCGGCAAAGGCAGCCTTCATTCGTAAAATTCTTTGTTTTGAGGTGGTTAAAATACTTTTTGGTCAATTGGTTGACAGGATGCTCGAAAATAAAAGCCTTCATGAACGCGAAGCCCCTCCCCTGGCAGGAGAGTGCGCCTCTGGCACATATTTTCGGCCTTACCGGTCAAGAATGGTCCCTTACCTGCTAAGCTAAAATTTAGGGAGAACACTGATGGGAGACTGGGAGATTGGTGCTGTATCCGTGAGAGTTGCGGATAATCCAGGGGAGTTGGTAGATGATATGCCATATCATGGTACAACATTGTACTGAGTTATTAATAATCCATTTGCTTACAGGGATCACCTGGACCACCAGGGCCTACTGGACCAACAGGGCGTAGTGGAAAAAGGGTAATGGAACTGCATCATGAATATATTCTAAAGCCATGAACTTGATAGGGGAACTGCCATCCAAAAACTTCACAGGAGTGGCTGTGGTGCCTTTCAGAAAATTCAGTAGGTGCACAGAAAAAGTCCCAACTGATTTGTGATAAAAGGGAAATTTGACGTTACATCAAAAGTCACTTTAGTTTTAGTTAGGACATTTTTCCATGCACCCCTGTTATTGTTGTGCTAGATCATCTTTTTTCTGTTTCCTCATGTGGCCCTATATTCTTTGAGTATGAAGGGGTAACTATAAATTGCTTGATTGCAGTATGTAAAATACCGTAAAATTCTGAAAATAAGCCCCTCCAAATATAAGCCCCCCAAACCGGTAACGCTAAAAACCCTCTGTCAAATTGCCCTCAAATACAAGGTAAAACAAAGCAAAAACGGTAAATTTGCATCCAACTATAAGGCTAGCCCAATCGATTTCGAGACGCAAATGTTCCTCCGTAGATAAGCCCCTCTGAATATAAGCCCCTCCAAAAATAAGCCCCTCATAAAGGGCCTTTGAAAAATATAAGCCGCGGGGCTTATTTTCGGAATTTTATGGTATGATTGTTTTGTAATAAAAGAACATTGAATTAAATTTGGCCTAACATTGAGTGAGAACTAACTATCTTTTGAGGGAGAAGGCGCTTGAGTAGCATATGTAAAGCAGCCCCCTCCCCTCAGGAATATATGGGGAAAGGAAATTTCTCCCGATTTTTTTCTGGGTGGAGGAGGTGGCTGTACACAGGTTTGCCCTGGATAACATGAAAGTTTTGTAACAATGTAACCAACAATTTCAAGATAAAAAAAGTATTGCCTGGACATTGTCTGTGCTGTCACTTTTTCACTTCACTTTGTTTGAGTAGGATCAAGGAGGAGGATCAACTGTCTTTACTAACACTAAATGGCCCTGTTTTTCTTAGGGTTCTACTGGAGCAGAAGGTCCTCCTGGGCCTGCTGGTGCTGTTGGTCCACAGGTTAGTCCATAAGCTTGACGTATTGAAATATATTTTTTACAATAACTGAGAGATTTTTTGCACTGATTGGTGAACAGTGATGGTCGAAGAGAGTACAGACCATAGGAATGACACGATGATGTTGCAATTTGTTTTCCTTTTTCTCTCAGGCATGGTTCTCTAAGAGAGCTCAATTGAAATGGATGTCAAAATACTGTCAATGTTACAATAATGTTATAATTAAAAAAATGTTCATAATTTTGCAGTGAAAGACGTTACTGTAGTTTAAAGGTTCCACTTGAGTTTAGAATGTTTTGACTTCATTTCTATGCTAGATACATACAGTCGACTCAAACCCTCTATAACTCGAACCTCCTGCTATCTCGAAGCAATTTTCATTTCCCTTCAGATCGTTTTCTACATAATTTTACCCTCGATAACTCGAACTCCTGATAACTCAAACTGTTTTCTATTTCCCTTGAAGGTTCGAGTTATCGGGATTCGACTGTATGACTGCATTATGACTGTATTCGTGTGACATGCATGATATAAAGTGATATTGAGAGTATATTTCCATACTAATGTTCGTTATGCTTAATTTTTACTTGCAGTATAATTTACAATCATTTTTATAAATAAAAATGTTGACAGGTTAACAGTACTTTATGAAAGTACTGCGCAATAGTGTTCATTTCAGTAGTGCCTTGTGAAATGTCTACTACTCAACTTAATGTTCATGACCATCTGTTGTCAGCAGATCAAATGAAATGCATGCCTGGCTTGTTGATTTTCATTTCATTGCTGCAGTCAAACCAACTGGTATCCCTGACATTCTGACATTAGTTTCATCTGTTTCTTTGTATTTTTCACTGTATAGTAAGACTAATACTACTACAAGTCAGCCACAGCCAAGCCAGGTCAGGTCAGAGCTGCTCTGCTACTGCTCGTGCAAATTTTGGCGAGGAGTTGCAATCCACCAAGATGCATCTATCGCATTGTATAGCCAATATAGCATCTATGCTATATGCATAGATGCTATCTATCTATGCATCGATGCATCTATCGCATTGTATAGCAAATTTCCTGACCTTGTAGTGGAGCTTCCTCTATGAATCATCCAGGCCTCTTGGCGAAGTTTATGAATAAATAAATAAGTAAATAAATAAAAAATGTAGTAATAATTAATAAATTATGTTCTTGTTAGGGCCCTCCTGGTCCCCGTGGTTCACCTGGCTCAGATGGAACACCAGGACGAAAGGTAGAATTGACAGTTTTCAATACTGAATTATTACTCATCATCAGAATGCTGCAGAGTTTGTACTTAAGCTCAGTTTATTTTGTCCAAAGCAGCGAGCACAAACAAGATGCCTTTACCATTGCAATATTATTATTATGATCGTCATAAAAGAGGTGAAATACTCTAGCAATTTTTTATAACTATTGCCACAACAATAATTGGTCCTACATGTTGCAATTTTATTGCAACAGTGTATTTACAGCATCAGGTGGTTTCTCTACCACGTTTTACTTTTTAATTCCGTTTTAAATCATACAGTTTGTTTCACAGAGGTAACGAGAAATTCCATTGGATAGACTAGTGGGAAGACTGATTGGACTGATTAGCATGAACAGGGCATTGTATTGAATGATAACTGTTATTACTATACAGGGAGCAACAGGAGCCCCTGGAGAAAATGGATACAATGGTGCAAAGGGAGACAAGGTAAATATTTTTGTTATCATATAGTTGGTAATCTGCTTGTCACACAAGGCTATGCATGCTTGTTTCCGGCAACAACAGGAGCCCGCAATCCTTATCTCCAGGTTGTTATTATGCATGTGTCGCATGTATGTAGGCAGCATTCGTTTGGACTTCCACCAGGAATGAATGGAATGCACATAAACGCAATTTGATCATGCACGTTTGGACCTTCTATCACTCGTAATCTGATCACGAGTGTTTTGACCATCTGTCACGTGAAACTTATGCAAAGCACAGTGTTGGAGCAAAAGCGTTTTGACCTTCGATCATTGTCACCTGCACTCCGTTACCTTTGGTTATTACTAGTTTTAGTCATTATGAGTAAGAACTTGCAGTTAATAATACAATACGATAACGCAAAGATTTAGTTGGAATTTACATAGTCAATACTTTTGGCGTAATACACCTGAAGCCAATGATAGTGAGGGTTTGACTATTATTTCAATATTAAGTTCCAAAATGTAGCAGAAAGCAAGGTCTGCTACTTACAGAACATTAATTTCAACACAACACTATAACTACTGGTAATACAAAGACTGTAAGGTGAGCAGGATTCTTAAGTACATAAATGCCTAAAAGTTGACTATTATTCAGAGTGTGATTTAAAGAAAGTGAATTCCCTAATGAAATACAGGACACCTTACTCACTAAATGCCACAAAGTTTAAGCTGCCAGTATTACTTTGAAGACTAGTGAACAGTTTTATTCCACATTGTAGCTTTTAAGTCATAGTAAAAGGGATAATTATTTTTTATAGATTAGTCATGAATCTTGTTTCTTTCAGGGAGCAGCTGGTGATCGGGGCCAGCCAGGACGACAAGGAACCAAGGTACCATAAACAATATCCTGTTTGTAATTATAATTACTTGTGAATGTGTTGCTTTGATTGTTGTGTCAATCAACATTCATTTGATAGCTTTTTTTATGTAGTGGAAAAATATGAAGAACAGCTAGTTCTGAAAGGAATGACTTTGCTTTTCTTTGAAATGCTTAGGAGTATTTTTTACTGACAATAAAATTGTTCTATATGGGTCTTGTTGCTGAGCAGCCAACAGGTACTTAGAAATATAGAGGAAAGTAAATATGCTTGAGTGCCTTTTGGCTTCTGATTTCAAAGCTCCCAAAATTTTGATGAATTTTTGTGCCTTTTAAGCTTCAAATGATTTTATGGGATTTTCCACATTAAATGCTCACTTTTGACCACAAATTTTGTGGTCAAAAGTGAGCTTGCAGTTGGTAGACAAGAAAATATTTGTGTAAATATTAGCGTAACATTTGGCTTAGCCCTGGAGTAAACTTAACTATATTTGAGTAATTAGGCCAGGACTGTTCCTGCCTCAGGATCCCTTGAAAACAGACTTGCAGAAATTCTTTAATTAAAATGTTGTTAGTGACCATTGTTTTGTCTTTAAAAGTCACAATGTTATTTTGACACTTGCAAGTATCGCAGCTTATTCTCACTTAATTTCGTGAAAAATCGTCAGTCATATTTTCTGAGTAATTTTAATTTGGCGATAGGGAAAGGTAGAATTGGAGTGTATTAAATTTCGTGATTTTACTATTCTTTAATATGTGAAGGTAACTTTGACCTCTGAAAAGTAACATCAGAATTGATATTTTTATCGTAAACAACGGCAAACATACCCTGGCTCCAGAGGTCCATTCTCAAAATACCCAAGGTTTTCAACAGTGTAAATAGGTACCCGAAAAATCTGCACAGCAAATATTTGCACTCTGATAAACTTGTTCTTAATTTTCTGTAGACTTGCTGGAATAACTAATAAAGGAACAGCTTGAATTTCGTTATTTTATGGATAGTATATGTCTGGTATTAAATTTCATGATTTTATTCTTTGCGAGTAGAATTCGCGAGTATTAAATTTTTTGCAATTTTTCCCAAATTGAGAAATCTAATACTCGTGAAATTCAGTGAGAATCTTCAGATTTGCAGGCTTTTTATGGGATGGAGTTGTTAACGTGATACTTTCCTGTTTAGGGACCTACTGGCCAACCAGGCGTGGCAGGACGAGATGGGAAAAATGGTCCCCCGGTATGTAAAGCATCAAACATTTCTCACAGAGAAGAGGAAGGTTTCAGGGCAGTACCATGTGAAAAGAAATGAAATGGATGAAATAATGAAAGAGTTTTCAATTGATTGAATTGAAAACATGATATGCCCTTTTGGCTGTAAATTGATTACTTTTTCAGTGGAAAAAACATTGGGCGCATTATTAGGCAAAATATGCGTCATGTACATGTATGAGGTATATTTTCCTGTACCTCGTTTAGTTTGTAGTTCATTTAGCAGCCCAGGCAGAGGAAAATAATTGACCTGCAAGACACTGACTAATTGCAACATTGACTTTCAGGTTCATTGATAACTTTTTCTATCATTTAACCAGTATACCTGGTTTGTTTTGTAATATATTTGTGTAGAATTAACTGTCACAGGTTTGATAAAAAGTTAAATCTTTGATGATTCAGTTTTATTTGAAAAAAAAATGCTAAAAAAGGCGAAAAAGTAAAACCTAGTACATCATCTGTCTTAGGGTGATCCAGGAACTGATGGGAAACCCGGAGCTGCTGGCCCTCAGGTGAGGTTCTTTTTTTATAATTATTGTTTCTTCCTAGCTGTAGGTCATGTGTTGTGATGCACAACATTCACAACACTGAACCAAACTGCTATAGCATGCAGAAATTAGCTAGATTTGATTTCTGCCTGGTTGGCTTCTATCGAAAGCCTCAGGTTTTATACACCCAGATAATATACAAATGAATATTTGTATATATTTGTATATATTTGTATATTATATGTATATATTTGTATATATATTTGTATTTATATTTGTATATATTTGTATATTTGTATCTGGACCATGCAAGAATTTGCTGATACTTCCCAAAAACTTACCTAAAGATTCTACTGCCGATTTGAGAGAGAGGAGACTAACGTACCAACTCCCGCAGAAGTCTTGAAAAAAACTGGGATGGGTTAGGGTTAGAAAAAAACCTGGTTGTTTTGGCTTTTTCTTGAAAGAAGCCAGTCTTTAAAGGGTCTGTCATGGCTGTCTAGTTCGTTGTTTCAATATTGCCAATTAAGCAACTTTAGTCGTTATGGAACTCAATGTTAGTAAAGAAACTGCTGGCGAATAACAGAACCACAGCTTCGTGTCAAAGAAACACGTCTTGCAAGCATTATATCAAACGTTACAAATAGCACAAATGAACTTTGAAAGACTGTTAGCAGGATGCAAAGAAAGTCATTTTCACAGCTTTCCATTCGGGCAAGCTGAAGCTAACATTTACCAGCCCAAACATCATTTCAACTAGCCCCAAAAACGTTTTGATGAGCAGATTGATTTCACAGTTCCTCTGTAATTTGAATTCCTCAAAAAAATTCACTTACCCGTCGGACAAGTTAATAACAGAATTCTCTAGCCCGATACCAAAATCCACCAGCCCCGGGCTATCGGACACTACTTTCTTTGCACGCTGTGTTAGACTAACAAGTTTTCAAAAGCCACTCTTAAAATCCGTTTTAAGTAATGATCCAGGTAAGAAGGAAAGCAATTTCTATTGTTTTGGCGCAATACGCTTTCCTCACATAGAAATGTTTTCATTTTTACGCAGAGAGTGCATAAATCTACAAAAAGGCTGTTTACGAAAGAAAATGTATTTAAACTCCACTTTTAAAGGGTGTATTTTTGTGTTAAAACATTTCGACCAATCACAAGAGTTGCAAACAATGGCCAAGAAATGTTTTCAATTTTACATGATCCGCACATACGATTTCTGTGTTACTTAGACTCAGACGAGATTTTGTTATAAGGAAGTTGGATAGAAAAAAAGGATTGATGTACATGCTGCTTTGCGAAGATTTCGTAAAATTTGATGTTTAAACCAATCAGAACCTTAGTAGAGACAATAGTAAAGTTAGCACCTTTTTGCATTCCGACGTGTTCACTGCGTTTTGGTCCTTTCCTTCTTATCTGGACCATTACTTAATCTTCTTCAAAGTTGCCTTCTTTTGTATTTTATGTGTTGTTTATGCCTTCTTATGTTTTGAGCGGTTAATTGTTTTTGATGAATTTAGTGTCACAGCTCCTTTAAAAACAGTTGACTGATGATGTGGATAATGTGAATAACATTAGTTGTTATCTGCACCTTTAGGGAGCACCTGGTCAACCAGGACCTAGTGGATTGACAGGAGCAAAAGGATCAATGGTCAGTAGACATATTGCTCAAATGTGGAACTATTCACACGATCTGTTGGGTTCCACAGTCAATACATTTTTCCAAATGGTTTTATCAAAGTACCTCATTTAAAAATTCTTCATGCAATGTATCATTAGTAGACTGTATCTTGTATGAGCCACAGTTGATGAATTGTACCTTACAGCGATCATTTACAATCACTGGTCAATAAAGAGTTACTATGCAGAAAAACTTTGTCTTGTATAAAATTAATGTTTTGGTTTTTAAGACCCAGGCAAATCAATATACCTGCTCAAAAAGTACCTACGTGTAGATTTTCTTCCCGAAGTTCAAGTTGTATACTCTGAACATTTGTCCTCAGCATGTTATCTTATTCTTAAAGCATAAACCAGGTTGCCAATTTTATGTCAAGTTTGCTTATTATTTGAAGTACCGGTCCAATTTATAAAACATTCTGTTTCTTAGGGTGAACCTGGTTCTGATGGAGACCCTGGGCCGCCAGGACAGCCGGGAGCAAAGGTGCAGAGAATCTCACACTTCCGTCTTTAGAACTAGTATTAGTATTGGTATTGGTATTGGTATTGGTATTGGTATTGGTATTAGCATTGGCATTGGCAGTACTATTAGTATTAACTATTAATATGGTGTTGGTGTTGGTATTGGTATTAGTATTAGTATTGTTGTTGTTATTGGTACTGGTATTAGTATTAGTATTGGTATTGCATTATTAATGGTACTGGTATTGTATTAGTATTAATATTTTTAGTGTTAGTATTAGTTTTAGTTTTGGTATTGGTATTGGTATTGGCATTTGTGTAAGTATCGTTTACTAGGTAAGTATTTGCATGGGTTATATTGGTAATACAATAATGGTAGACCATTCATTTCAGTGAACATACAGTATAATGCATTAAAATATTTATTTAGGGTGAGACTGGAATAACAGGAAGACGTGGACTTACTGGTACCCCAGGAAAACAGGTTTGTTTGTAATTACACTGTTCCTGGAGTTTTAGCCAAGAGTGTACATACAGTTGACAGTTTCTCATTGGGTTTGTCGTGCTTGATTGAAGCCAGTGCTTCAATGAATAATGTTAAGTTACTGGAAAAGTGATTTCAAAAACGAAGCCATAGCATGAAATCTACACAGCATTTGTTTCTACTAACATGCATGTATATGGTTTCTCATAGTGCTGTTTTTAACAGACTTTTCTCCCTAAGATAACCCCCTTAAAAAGGATGTACTACCCAGATTTTTTGCAAACTTAGCAGGTCCTGTTTCTATTACCTTGTATGCTATAGATCTGGGGTATGGCGTGCTAAAAATTTCCTTTTTACAAAGGAAATATGTCTGCAAGGCTCAAAAAGTGTCCTTTCCAGTCATTTGTGACAAGGAGATTTTCTTGTTGGGTAAATAATGTCTTGACCTCTCTTTGTCTGTTGGAAAAGGGTCCCTGTGTCTGACCATGAGGTTATTGTTTGGCTTAAAATTTCTTTAAGTACTGTACAACTCTTCAGCTTCAAACTGATTGTTTCTGGTTTTCTGTCTTGTTATCGTGTCCGACCTCGGGTAGGTTTTCCTTGGACGTGTGCAAATCTCAGTCCAATGATACTGGCATTCATTTGCAGCATGATATGTGGTAAGATATTAATTGACTGCTTTCAAATTACAGGGTCGACAGGGTGAAAGGGGTGAACGAGGAGCCACTGGACCACAGGGTCCACAGGTATGCGTAACAATCATTGATCATAGAATATTTTTAACAAATATTTTAAAAATGATAAACCGGTGAGCAGCACTTCTGAGAACTTCTTGAGTTAAAAATGCAGGCCCAAATACGTTAGAAATATGTCACACCTTTCCTAGACGTGCAAGCACGAGGTTTGCAGTTCCTATACGCAAATCCGTAGGTGTTTTGTGTTCAATGTAAACTTCAGTTCATTGTTGGGTATATATACAGGTACTCTTAGTTGCATTATAAATCTTCTTGATGAAGTGTGCGCTAGTCACGCGAAACGCGTAAGAGACAATAAGTAATTGGACGGTACGCGCCGTCGTACGCGCGCACTTAAATGGATTTTTTTAACTGCTAACAAAAAACTCTCGGAATTTTTTGTGTTTTAATTAAAAAAAGCCTAAAATGTCACAAATTTTGTTATAGTTATGATTAATAACAGAACTTCGTGTCGTCCAAATCGGTCTGTAATCAAAGTCGTGATTACACAGATCGGACGATTTTGTTATATGATTACAGACCGAATTGGACTCCACTTAGTAAGAGAGTGGGGGGCTTATTAACTTTTTTCGCCTGAAAAGGGAGGACTTATTAGAGAGGGGGAGTTTATTTGACAGAGGGGCTTAATAGAGTATTTACGGTATTTTTTGTTTGTAGGGGAATACAATTTTAAACCATTAGTCAGACCTTCTCCCTGTCTTTGCTAAATTAACTTTATTTAAACATAGGGACAACCAGGTAACCAAGGACCACCAGGCTTGCCAGGAAAATCAGGAGAGACGGTAAGTGTTTAAAAAGATGAAAAATGGTAACTTTTCTCCTCCCCACTTAGGTTTGAACAGTGACTAAAGCTTTCTCATAACGCAAGGCAGTGCAAATTCTTTCCTCAACTTTAAGAGGTGCTAAGAACCACTTATTGTGTAATTTTCTTGCATATTATATAACCCATTTCATTCTTATAGATATAATTTAAGTTTATCTGGACCTCTGTTGATATCAGCTCCAGTCTGACTGCAAAAGCCCCAAGTCCTAGATAATTATTAGCAAAATTTAATAATGAAATAAAATATATTAAACTTACCAGTCCTCAAATGCGGCGCTTATTCGGTATTAATTTGGAAGTTGGACACGATAAAACAATTGTTTTAACAACGCTTTTTTTTTCAGTATTTCCCGTATTAAACTAATAAAATGTGCGTCTTTTGTTCTCTATCATATCAGAGCAGCCGCTTTTATTCTGGGGTGGCGCTTATTAATTTTATTGTCCCAAATGCAGCACTTAATCGGGGGCGGTGCTTAGTACAGCAAATACGGTATGGTATCAAATTAATGCTTTCTCCATCCTCTTAAGGGAGCACCTGGTGAGAGTGGAGCAGATGGAACCCCTGGCTCTCGGGTATGTACTGTAGTACTCAGTGATTTTGTTACAAATATCAGTGATTTTGTTATAAACATCATCATCCAGAGTCGCTGAGTCCCAGTTAAAAAAAAGAAACGAGTCCAAAATTGAAGAATGGTTGGGCCTTTATGTAAACAGACAGTGAATCTGAAAACAGACTCCGAAACTCATTACTACAGTATACAAGCAAGTCCAGTTTGTAGGACTTTCTTTGAGAGCTTACAACAAAGAGTTATCAATTCGCAAATGAAGAAAGCCAAACTTATTAGAGTAAGGCAGCAAGGGTGTATTAGAGAACTTTGTACAACCTGCAGTAAGTTTTGTCTGCTTGGCAAGTCGCACACAGGGATGGGTTCTGATATGGTATTAAGCTGCAATTTTCAATGCAACGTTGCTTGGCAATTTGTAAGGATTATGCTGCTTGCAATGCAGCATCTTAGAAAAAATTATATGTAAAATGTCTTTCATGCATTGAAAATAAAATTCTAGAGTATAAAATTTAGTATTTGCATTGAAAACTACAGTATGTTCTGATTATATTTCTTTTGTTGTAGGGAGAACGTGGTCCACAGGGAGAACGTGGGGCTCAAGGCGTTATTGTAAGTTGGAATTTTTTCCTGCAAGTTATGTTTTTAATTGCCTTCCTTCTCGAAAAATTACAAGTGTTTTTTGATGTGACCTAGATAGAAACTGTAAGTCGAAGCTCATATCATTTATGCGCTTAATGCAATAACATGCGCTACACATTCCTGTAGGTGGTCTTAATGGACACAAAAGTGTCCAGAGTCCAGAGAAATTGAATGACACTACACTGTGCTTGTCAGAAAACTGCTTTTGTGAGGTTTGACCCATTCCAAGGGCTTGATTTAAGGCCCCGTTAAGGTTAGCCTGCAAGCTAGCCTGTGAGCAAGCTCTCCTATTTGTTCGAGAGAAGCGAGACGGGAGAGAACGCGCGAGCGAGGACTTTTCTCCAGAAGTCACGTAAGAGTTGCACACAAACACGCGAAAGGAGACGCAAGTGCAACCGCCGCTCACTCGCTCGCGTGTTCCCTCGCGGCTCGCTTTGCTCACCACAATTGGAGAGCTTGCTCGCAGGCTATGTACATGTAAGGCTAAAAGAAAAAAAGTGCCTAACAAGTGCAACATAACACATTTACGAAATGACATCAAACGACACAAAGATAGGTTAAGACTGTGCCGGTGAGGAAGGCAAGCACAGATATATTAGTAGAAGACTGACAGGGACTCCTCCTCATTATGTGAAACAGCAAGTCTTTTTATTCTGGCTAGAGACGTATCATCCCCTTCTCCTTCCACCAGAAAAGAGGTTCTCTTAATTGGGTTACCTGTTTTGTTGTGAATTACAGGGTGCGCCTGGAGATCCTGGTGAAGCTGGTCTTCCTGGTGCTGATGGCAAAGCTGTAAGTTGTTGCAGGCGAAAACATTGTTATTTCTTGTGGGAATTAATAGAAGTTTGTGTTGTCTCATTCATAATGGACTTTCAACGTGTTCCTATTAATAAATGCTGTTTGACTAAAACTTTGTTTCAGTGTTTCTACTTGGTATAAGTCTTCTTGAAATGCCAATTGACACCTGTATTCTTTCATTTACTAGTGTGTACTGATAAGTCGTATTTCTCTAAGGACCCTCTCCTCTGTTGATAACACTACTTACACTTGCATTCTTTTTTAGGGTGAGAGAGGTCTTTCTGGCCCCCCTGGTCCCCCGGGAACTCCTGGTCTTGCAGTAAGTATTCACTGCCTAAATTTTTGTTTTCCAAATATCCAAGGATATAAAATAGAACCTTGTAAAAGTCCCGCCAAAGAACGTTCATTTCAATGTCATACTGTTTCGTCCACAAATGCAGAAGTTAGAATGACAAATCATCTCGCTATAACTTGGTCTACAGGGCTGGTTTAACCATCTCATTTCCAGAAGTGGATAAAGTCAAAACTCAACAAAAATTTCAAGTTTCAAATAGTGAAATGCCGAAAAATATTAAATAAATAAAACAAAAATAAACTGTAGCTACTTGCAGGTCTTCAAGCATCAGTCATTTAATAACTTATGATAATGGGAATGACGAAAACGAATAGCATTGTTTATATCAATTTTAACATCTCAATAAACTCGATTGATTGAGTGATATATGACTACTGTGCACTGCTTTTTAGGGACTGCCAGGAATGCAGGGAACACAAGGTCCTCCTGGCGCTAAAGGATCCAAGGTATGTAGAAGGCTAAAAGAAGGGATAACAGATTAACACAGTATGCAAACGCTCTGTGCAGACTAATTGCATGTATTTGTATATCACCACTTACCATTTGCAAGAAGTGTAAAATGATGTTACATCATTGTGATTGGCAGTTTTTAACACGTCATGAACATTCGAAGAAAACCAACAAGGGAGGAAAACATTTGATGTTATTTTTCCATTTCATTAACCCTTTCGCCCCGAAAACGCACTTAACCGCCCGTGCAGATCCATGCCCCTTCTACTGCTTGTGACGTTATCAGTTTTAACGGTCAAGCACAGCTTTGTCCGCTAACTTGTGCAGGGTGAAGAGATCTTTCAATCCATACCAGAATAGGCATGATTCAGTCAAAGAGGCCGGAGAAAAAGGCAAAAACCGTCTGACATTATCCTGAAAATTTCCATGAAAATCGTTCCAAAAACTTTCCGAAAAACGTTTCCGAACAAAATGAAGCCTGCGTAATGCCCAGCAAAAGAAAAAATGAGGCAAGAAAAGTGAAAGAAGAGGGGAGGAGAGAAAGCGAAAAGTAAAGGTCAAGTCTGCTGTCTCACTTGTAAACCCAAATTTTGCTTTCTGCGCATGCCCGAACTTTCCAAGCTAATATTATGCATCTAGATCAGAGAAACCGCAAAGTGTACTACCCGCAAACGGTTTTATGGTAAGTTTTTGCTTTTTAGCAAGGCAGTGACCAGAAAACCGCTCCACTAGCTTCAAAACGCGCTCTTCGGCAAAATTTCCAGTTATTCAACTATCATTGTCATTGGTTGTCAGCAATTAAACTGAGCATTTTTTTCTTGAAATAGCTGCAAGACTGGAATATGTGACTGTCTAAGCACTAAGATGAAATCCATTTGTTTAAAGAGTTTCGAACTGAAACTTGTGAAGTTTATTACAGAAACGAATGAAGAACTTTTTTGTAGCTGTCACAAAAAGGCTTGGACAACACGGTTGTTTGAATGACTATCCTGTGGAAATTGTTATTGGTAGAACTTCTTTGCCCGAGTCAAGGTCACATGAATGATAGAAAGTTTTCAAACTGATAAACGATGTTCCTTGATGTTTTAGGGAGATCAAGGAATAGCTGGAAATCGTGGATCATTTGGAAAGGATGGAGAACCTGTAAGTTTTATGCAACGACCGATTTAATCCCTGGTTAGCCTAACTTCCATTTAGATACTGTGCATCAAACTAACCACAAACTGACGTACATTCCTTCTTTCAAACAGGGACGAGATGGAATGCCTGGTCCTCCTGGCCCACCAGGTCCACCAGGAGAAAAGGTGAGATTACTGCCTTGGTAACATAGAGGCAAACAGTAAAAGTAATTGTTTTTAATTACCTTTCACTCCCAAGAGTGGCCTAATACTTGTTCAAACTGCCCCGTATTAAGTGTGGCACAGAACCTATCCGATATGTGACCCTCTCGAGTAGCTTTGCTTCGTCGGTTACAGAAATTGTATCAAAATCACCATTCTTATGTGTGAAAAAAAGCCGTATCCAGTATTGTTTTCGTGCTGATACAAAAGCTATCTGGTATAATGCAAACATAAAGCCTTAGAGTAAAAGGGTTGACTAGTGGGTGTTAAGAATATAGACGGGGACGGAGTAAAGCAGTGAAAAGAGCAAGTCATGCGAGGTGCCATTTTAGTGTAAAGAGGGTTCAAAAATGTATTAAACATAATTGTGAACCTCTTGTAACAATTGCACATTTGGTTTCAATAATGATACCGATAGAAGAAGCCTTTCTGTCATTTTGGGTAGTTTTTACTGGAAATTACCAGTATAAGATTAACAGAGACAATGATTAGAAAAAGTAGATCAATTGATAGTATTATGCAAATGCAAAAGGAGAGTCAGAAGTGCAAGTACAGACTGCACTCTCTTTCACATCTCCTTGTTCTCGCTCCAGGTATGGGAAACCGGTAAATTTTTGCTTGTAAAATCAGGAATCTGGAATACAGTTCAAGAAATGCGGAATTCCAGTAATGATTGGAATCCGTAATCTAGGCTCCTCAAACAAAGACTGTCTTGGATTTCCTTACATGGGGTGACTGTTCCCTCGTGTCTAAGGTGCGGAACACATCAGGTTTTTAAGATAAATCACTAAGTCTTCTTCCGTTTTCCTTACTGTAAGGGTGAAGATGGTGTTCCAGGAACAGATGGTAACCCAGGAAATCAAGGCGACACAGTAAGTTGTCTTCTGGTACCCATCCTCTTGTTTTTTTAATCTTCGTGATACAGATAAACGGTTAATATTTTGATATTATCTTATTTCAGGGACCTCGTGGTTTGCCTGGAAATCCAGGACCACCTGGAAGACCTGGTGCATTGGTATGTTGGTATAGACCACTTCAATAATCTAGCTCTTGTTGTTTTTGAGGGAATTGCTCATGGGTGTGCAGGTGGCAAACATTAAAAAAGAAAGCCACGAAAACATCGCTTAAAAAGTGACTTTGCGTCCTTTGAATCTCTATCACGATTATTCCAACTTGTTTACTGTGTCAAATAAATGCGAACTCTTCTGTAGCCGAATTCCTAACAGTCATATCCAAGGTTAGAAAAAGAAAGAAAATTTGGTCCTGGCTTGTTTGCGTCCACTTTAAGACGAAAAATTGTAGTCGTGCAGTGACGGTAAAGAAATGTACAGAAAAGTGTGCTGCACGTGCAAAGTGTTTTTTTGCCTTCTCAGCCTATTCCTTTTTTGACGTTTTCGTCGTCGCAGGAAATTTTGGATGACAGTTGAGAGAAGGGACGAGAAAATCATCTGGGGCTAGTTGTTCAAAAGGTGGAGAGTGCTGTCCACTTGAAAAATCACCATCCAGTCTGTGATGCAATTATTTTCCCCAATTATTAACCCTTCACCTGGACCAATGTTGTTTAACCGGGAACTTCTTTCCTTTTGAAAATGTAGGGACCTGGAGGACCCGCTGGACCTCAAGGACCTCGAGGACCACGTGGTGAACCGGTACTGTAAACCAATACATTATTTGTGATACATTTTTCTTTCCCCAGCAGCATGACTTGACGCTGAAGGAGGGGGAAATACAAGGAGCTTTCTGAGCTGTTCAAAACCCAGTTTCTCTTTTTTTGAGGGAGTCGCTGGGAGAAGTGACACGTTGAGGATCATACCACTTCTATATTTTCGCTGCTTGAGATCAATTTGCATTTGGTGACAGATTTAACTTAAGGACACAAAATGGGACAGTGATACCCAGTATGACTGGTGTAATATTCTACCCTGGGTTCTGTTATTCATGACATGGTAGTAAGGTATGGGAAGCGCTTTGTCCACGGACAAGCCAAGGCCGGCAAAAGTAACAACGTAGACGATCAATCCCCAACTTACTCGAGGGATGGGAGGGTAGGTCGCCAGCCACTTCGCTGTCGGGCCTCGACTAGAGTGCTGGGGTGAAGCACGTGTAACCTCTTTTATAGTCTTATTTGTATCGTCCCCAGGGCCCAGTTGTTCGAAGGCCGATTAGCGCTTAAGCCAGGGTTCTCTTTCTTGTGTTCAAAAGCATTTTCTCGGAAAATTTTTTCTGTTATATTTAGAGCTTTCAATCATCAACTTGTAGACAAAAAGAATTAAAACTGAAATTCTTTTTAGCTTTCAAATCTGAATTCAAATCTGGCACTAACCCTGGGTTATCTTAACCCGGGTTTGAACAACTCTGCCCAGGGTATTAATTACCAGTGCAAATTGAGTTTGCATAGTAACCTTCTTTTCGTTGTTCAGGGTGTGAAAGGACCTGCAGGCCCACCTGGACGACCGGGCCCCACAGGAACAGCCGTGAGTAATATTGCTACTTATATAGAGATTTAGCCAAGGCCGAAAGTGAAGCTCTCGAGCGATGCTTTAAGAAATGTCTTTCTCAAGTAATTCAACTTTTGCCGTAAGCAGAATGCAAACTTATTTCTACCTCAAAAAATGGACCTGAGACCACGATCAGGGGAAGAAACGCGTGAAAAGGCCCTAAGAATGTGTGTGTGTGTGCGTGTGCGTGCAAGGATAACGGAAGGAGGCTCTCAGCATTCTAAAGGTTGATTTCCCCTTCGCGTAATTTTTCCGTGCAAACTCACCTAAAATTTAGGCGCATGAATGAAATGAAGGCAATGTATAGAAGGCCACGCGTAAACGTGAAAGTTGAACCTCGCTCAAGTTTTACGTTTACGCGTGACCATCCACACCTTGTCTCTACTTTATTTACGTACGCACGTAAAAATCACGCGACAGTGGAAATCAACCTTCAGGTACCATTACTGCGGCCAAGGTGTTACCCTAAAGAAATTTCTTGACGAAGCCATCCGAATACTTTAATTCTTGGAGTATTTGTCTAATTTTAGTAAAGTGACCAAGTGACAAACTATGAGTGCCTACATTTCTTTTTATTAGCCTTCCAAACCTGTGTTATTAAACTAAAGTAGACTGATAGAGGTTCTCAGATGAAACAAGCCATTTAAACAACAACAAGAACATTTTCAACTAGCCCTAAGCTTATGGGTTGCTGATACAGTCGAGCGATGATGTGGCCAAAGAAAAGGTCCTGTTAAACCGTAGCTTTTGTGACAACCTTACTAACTCTAAAGTCCCTGTATTACTATTACCCTGAAGGAAACAATTTCATTACCTTCTACGGCATGGCTCTTATTACGATGTACATTAATATGTCTGTTCTCCACATTTTTTGCTGTTGATAGGGTCAAATAGGGCAAACTGGATACAAGGGAATGCAAGGAGATCAAGGCCGACAGGTAACATCAAAATTTATTTTGTCAGGAAACTGTGACAAAAGGTGGATTAAAACGCACCAATCACTTTAAGAGCCTAGCCACTAGAGAGATTTTGAGTCACTTTTACGGCGAAGGTGAATGTGTACCACATGACCAAATTTTCCCTTAACTTGTGCTTTACTGTTGGCTTCTACCCCAAAATTGGTAGCTTTAATTTAGCTTTGTCTCGGGTAGGGAATAAGCTTAGTCCGGTTAAGTAACCTTTGTTCTTTTCACAGAAGTCTTACTCATGGCTGTAAATTTACTCTCTTATCTCTAGGGATCACCCGGAATGCAAGGAACATCTGGAAAACCTGGAGCAGCTGGTCCACCTGTAAGAACTTTATTTATGCCGTCCTCTTTCTCGACGATACGATACGTTACGGATCGTGATACGTTACACGATACGATAGTTAACTGTGCAGGGCTAGACTAGCTCTAATTGCTTGTGGGTACACAACTGATTTTTAGTACTGTATTTGAATTTCATATCCCGTAAATCCTCTATTAAGCCCCCCGGTAGGCTTATTTATTTCAAACACATTTAAGGAGGGGTGGGGAGGGGCTTATTTGAGAGGGAGGGCTTGTTTAATTTAGTAAAGGCGATGGTATCAATTCTCCTTAAAAAATAAGAATACAAAGTGGAAAAGCTCAAGTGTAAGAAATTGGAGGTCATGCAGCTGAGGATCAAAGACAAATGCAAACTTCCAGTTGGTGAATACACCATCCCGGATTAGTCCACACCAAGTCGTGATTGATCAGTACAGTCCATCATTAGTTAGTGAAGAATAATCAGGAAGTGGAGAGGGGAGGGGGGGTCCATTAACTTTCTTCCCCTGAAAAGGCATGTGGGGGGGGGGGCTTATTTGAGAGGCGGGGCCTAATCGAGGATTTACGGTAGTGGAATCGCCGAATGAAGAAATAAATCATCGCAGGGTTAAATTCAAACATCAGTGCGCATTTTTTATAGAGGGAAGAATTTTAAACCATATTTAACTGTACAGCATGCTCCGGTGTGTAATGGGAATCAGTGTTGTTTTATGTTAAAATATTGCATTGAATTTTGGGAATTTTAGTTGTGGCGAGTACAACTGATTTCGTGATTATATGAAATCGCCAAAATATGTCGGAGAAAGTTACATCTAACTGCAATTTATGCTTAGCGTTTTTTATTTTTGTTGAATTCTTGATTCGGGGCAGTCGGTTTGACTTGGGTAAAGTTATCAGCTGTATTTTTCTGTCTTGTTACCAGGGACCTCCAGGACCATCCGGACCCCCAGGAAGAGATGGCGCAGATGGACAAAAGGTGAAAAATTATTTGTTGTTGTTGTAATTTTTGGTCTAATTTTTCATCTTATTTCTTCTAGTACTGTTTAGTATTAACCAAATCAGTGGATAGCAATTTTTAGTGCGTTTCGATTAGCTCCTATAACAAAATGGCGTCTCGTTTGGCGACATTGTTGGAAGATAAAATTTTAGTAATAAATGAAACAATTGTGACAACAAATACCAAGAAAGCGAGGAACCTTGTCTTGTAGATGTTAAGTGGTACTTGACAAGATGCCCTTTGGGTAACAACTCACATACGCCCAAGGTAGATTTTATATTCGTCATCAAGCACGGTGTAAAACTTGGCGTGCACAATTTTAGTCACATTTTCCGATGACCACCTGTAATTTGTAGCGCTGAAAAAAAATAACATTTTAGTTTCACATTTATCCAGCTGACTTGCTAATACCAACTATTCCCAAGTATCGAATTAAATCTACTAAGGAACGCATTTGATTCAAGCTGTATATCCAACAAATTATTTCCTCCCAGTTACTTAAAGGGACAGGTTCATGGCTCAGCGCATGCTCATTTATCAAAATGCTGTTTTTCTGCCGTGACATGCTGTATCGTCTATGCAAGCAATATGATCATGTCATAATGTTGTCAAAGAACCAATCTGTACTCTCCCCTGGTAGTCACTTGCACTTGATCAACTTAAATATTTGCAAATAGCTGTAAATTAATCAAATATGGAATAAAACCATAGGGTCAACAATAAATTCAACGTTGTTAGTGTTGGCATAATCCACTATTTTTTTTCCGGCGATATTTAGTACTCCTTCATCCTACCTCAGGTTACTCTGAATTCAATTCTACTTTGAAATACACTCTGAGATCGCTGAGATCCATGTGAGTGGGATTATTAACGGATAAAATTAATAATAACTTGGAAAGAAGTAATTTAATTAATGAGCATGCGCTCAACTTTAATACTTATTTCCGCCTAGGGTTCCTCTGGAGAACCAGGTCGACCAGGCAAGGACGGTCTTCCAGGACAACCCGTAAGTATTTTTTATAACGTAAATAAATAAATGAAGCATCCAAGTCCAAAAACTTGTGAACAATTAAAGAAAAGGTGCACAATGCTTCAGAAAACGATTACGATTTGAACTACATGTACCACTTGCATTTTTATTTTTAGGAGTCACTGTAATGAAAAACCAGCACTAACGGTAGAAACGTTGCGATCAGCAACATTAACATATGACCGTTTTTATACTAGAGGGCGCATGATGCGTCTGGACGAACCTTGCTTCGAAATACGTCTTGAACGACGCACTACGAAAGGTAGTTCGTCTGGACGTATAATGCGTCTTGTGCCCGTCTTTATACTAGAGACGCATTCGTCATGACGGATAATGCGTCCTTAGTAGTAAAAACGGGCCAATGAGACTTGTAAACAATAGACCTACCCAATCAATTCCCACGTGCACCCACCAACACTTAGGCCCGGTTCAAACGGCGAACTTTACATGTGCCGAACCTAATACCTATTTAGGTCCACCCAAACTAGTAAGTTCGACCGTTGATTCAGACGGTCGAACTTTACATGTGCCGAACCTAACTCGTGGCGAAAAGAAATATCATCCTTACTGCTTAAAATAGCGAAATTTACTGAAAAAAGTAAAAGTCACCAAGCCTGTATAATCTTGTTTTGATTTTAGTGTGATTTGTGTTCTGTTATGGCAAGGAGACAGCTGAGGAGATCGTAAAGTAACGCCATAAATTTTAAAATACATACGCGATTTCTTTGTGGATATAAAGAAAAGCAACTTCTTAAAAGACCGTTTTAAGTTGTCCAGTTTCAGTCTAAAAATCTACAACGTGACTGCTGGTAACCGTTTACGCTTCTGTGAGTTCTGTCCGCAAAGGCGCGAAAACCCATTAAATAGCCAATCAGAAGCGCGGTTATATTGAAAAGTACGTTACATAATTTATGCATTAGGTTCGGCACATGTAAAGTTCGACGTATGAATCGAAGTCGATATTTTGCCGTTCTATCCGACAAGCTCAGTCGAATAGAACGGCAGAGTCGATCCAAATTCAAGAGTGCCGTTCTTAATTGATTCATACGTCGAACTTTACAAGTTCCGAACCTAATAATCAGGTTCGGCACATGTAAAGTTCGACGTTTGAACTGGGCCTTAATTGCAACACTTTTAACCCTTTAAGCCCTATAAATGATCAGTATCAAATTTCTCCTTGTAATATCAATGCTTTGAAGCAAAGATTGGTGACAAGAATTAAGGGCATGATCACACAACATACTATTATAACGAGTTGATACTTCAACAACGTCTCCCCGCTACGTTTTTCAGTAGAAAACGTAAAAGGGCACTAAATGGGAATTGAAATTTTGATAGTAGAGGGTAAAGGCTTAATGAATAATTTAATTAACAGAGTTAATCTACAATAGTTATGCTGTATAATCCCTTTTGAATTTAGGGCAAAAATGGTGCAGACGGAGAACCTGGACCGCCTGGTCCTGATGGTAGTCCGGTAAGTCTTTTCAAGGTTGTGGGAAAATTATGTAACAGTGGACACTTTGGAGATCGGCATTACAGTTTTGGGGTGGCAGTGATTTTGTTACAAATGGTTATGGTGAGTCCTGGGACTCATATTGTGAAAAATCATGAGTCTCTGTCCATAACCAATGAGTCCCAGTACAAAAAAACAAGGATTTCTAAATTGAAAATGCTTGGGCCTTTATGTAAACCAACGCCAAAACTCTTTCGTACAGTTTACTGAAATTACAATATAGTCCTTCTACATATTTAGAGCGCAAAAAAGACTAAAATAATATGCAAATTTAAACAACAGCCACAGAAATCACGCGAACAGGATATTCTACCAAAAAATCTTCAAATCGATCGATGGTTCTTTGTGTCCTACGGGACGCATGCCATGAATTATTTTGCGTGTTTGAGGATTTTTGTGCGTCGGGGACACAGAACGCAGATGTAACAAAATCACTGGGGTTGACCACTACGACGCAACATGGACAGCGTTTCTATGAAAAAGATAAATTTTTTAAAAATCCCAGCTTAGGCTGCTTAAGTGAGCATTAAGCTACACCCGCATCGTTTTGTTTTTCGTATGATGAAAGTATGGAAGCCTCTCCTGGTTTTCAAAAATGGAAATTTAAGTGACCTTCTTATAACGATATGCATTGCCAGCATGGAGCAAAACTACAGTGCAGTTAGAAAAGGTGCATGGACTCGAAAAAAGATAACATTACGCCGGCGCGCGTCATAGGATTGTGGGAAGAGGATCTGGGGGAATTTAACGAGAATGCAACATGCATAGAACCATATAAGAAATCTTTGTATAGTTCTTGAGGTTTGTGAGGTAATTCGTTTTCTTTGCCATGCCAGGGTGATATTGGATCTGCTGGACCACAAGGATCAAAGGGTGACCGAGGAGGGACGGTGAGTGTGCAGAAACTCCCTTGTCAATAGGCCATTTTTCGGAACGAGGCTGAGTGCAAAGTTGTTAATATGCGTAGAGCAAGGGCGTAGAGTTTGTTATCTTCAGTTACACAAAAAACGTTTTTGTGCTTGACCTAATTTTGAAAGACATGTTTTTTTGAATTGGCGAATGGGCCATCTTGTTTTCGTAGTAGTCAGTTTTGATCGTAGTAATCAGTTCCTTGAACTTTATTTTAAAACATATTCGAAAACGTAGTGTGGAATGTGCTAGAAGAAGTTTTTGACCGCGAGTGAAAGTGTTGTTTGTGTTACTGTTGTCAATATTCATGTGCCGTTTTCACCCGGCTGAACCTCTCCCTTATTGTTGTACATGACCAAGAAGACTAGATATCAGAGAGCTTTAAATTCCCAGACGAGTACGACTACGAGTACGAGATTTTCTCAGTACTAAAGCCTGGTTCACACTTGCGACATAACGACATTACTAACGACATAAGAAGGTCGTTATGTCGCAAGTGTGAACATGTAGACATATCGACATAACAGCAACGTAACGACGTCGACATGAGGAAAAACTGATAATTTCCTTATGCCGTTATGTTTGTGTTGTTATGTCGTAGACTTGCCTACAAGTCGAGCTCAAAGTTTTTCTCGAGCGTGAAGCGCGAGCGTAGATCTTTTATGTTTTCTGCGACCAAAGCGAGCGAGAGAGCGAGATCTCGACTTGTTTCCCCCGCAAAAAATCGCATCAAGTGACGTCATTTTGGCGCGAAGTATTTGGCGCTCACGAGAGTGGCCGGTTCTCGTTTGCGGCCACTTGAGGTGCAAGGGTTAGATGGCCGCTTACGACAGCTTGCCCAGTGATAAGTAAACATTGGGAATGTAAGAGAGTTTCTACTGTATGTATTTATTCAAATACTTCTTAGACAGTTTAAAAAATATTATGTTTCTTTTTATTTTGTAGGGACCAACAGGGCAAACAGGACAACCAGGTGCAAAAGGCGCAGCTGGGTCTAAGGTAACTTTGGAGTATTGATAGAGCCTGTACTCAACTGCTTCAGTACAGTGTTAGGCCGGTGTCCGCCAAACACCGCACTTCACGAGAGCCTAACTCAATTAATTGCTCCCAAGAGAAACTCAAACAATGCTTATGCAACATTTTGGGGTGACAAACAAAGAGCGTTATGGTATGTTATGGTATTTTCTGGACTTGTCAGTTAAGGTTGGCTCATGTAAAGTATGACGTTTGTCCCCAGCCTTAATGGACATACTATGAGCAACACTTCTTTCATTTCTTAGTCATTAGTAAAATAGAGGTTTCAATCGACAGTCTAGGAAAAAGAGAGGCTGTTTCTAGCCTTCAGACCCCATGTAATAAATTCATAAAAAAGAATTGTGGTTTTTTTTTCTTTTTGTGTTTATTTTTGTAATATGCGCAGCCCTACAATCCCATAGCAGGGCAGGAAAAAAATTAAAAGTCACCTGCCCAGTGGGCAAGTAAATTTCTGTTTTCACTTGCCCCCACTTTAATATTACTTGCCCGAGAGGAACACAATACCTTATCATCTATAGTTCTATGGTGCTGTCTATAATAGGTTAGAGATTATAACAAAGTGTATTGGATCACTAGTACTCATGCCGGATACCGAGTAACCACTGGATTTGACCAATATGATGATCAGAGGAGTAACACGAGCAAGCGAACGTGCACTCTGATTTTGAATTCATTCATGCGTTAAACTACAATACTCGTCACAAATCTTGAAACACTTGTGTGATTTTCCCCTTCCCCAATGTTGATTTGGGTATTACAGTCGTCTCAGTTCTCCAAAGTATGAGTGGCCCAACATTGGGGAAGGAAAGGAGCAGATTTGAGTGAGAACAAAGGTGGGAAAAGTGAATGTAAGAAATTTGGAGAAAATTCAAGAAAAACAGCTTCTATGTCAACGATTTGTGACGAATATTGTAGCTGTGTCACTCGTCTTGCAGTCTTCAGTTTTGAAATGCCCTACATAGCACTTGAAAATCGAAATATTTCCTTGATAGCACTGGAGAGGTTTGTTTGTTTGTTTGTTTTTTTCTTTCACTGTTATCATTTTTTGCGCTCTTTCAGGGAGAAGTAGGTCCCCCAGGACTGAATGGTCGAAATGGTGAACCCGGAATCCCTGTAAGTTTTCCCTTAATTATCTTTGATATAGCCGAGGGCATTGTTTAGGTTAACTGCAGGCGTCATTCCTGGTAGAAAAGTAAAGCTCAGAATAATAAACTGCGAAGAGAGTTATCGGAATTATTTTTGGAAAAAAACCCGATCCCTTGATTTCTGTGACCCTGAACAAAAGGCTTTTGATCGTTTCTCTTCTGTTTCTCACGATAATGTTATCCAAACGATGATAAACGAGGTTGGCCGTGGTGCTAATGGAAGATGGGAAGTGACTTGGTGGCGTAATTAGAAACGCAGCAATCATTCTAACCAATTTAAGATCAAAACATGTAAAGGACAACCTCGTAAACTACATCCTGTTTCTTCCTAAACCCTAGTAGCTGACCTACAACTACCATTGACTCACTTTCTTTCATACTTTTGGCACTAATGAAGTAAAATTTCATTCAAGAGATAAAGTAAAAAAGCCACGAGTAAGAACCTGGTTTTTAAGAACCTTTTAGGCTAAAATTTGCCAATTAGGCCCCATCTAAACAATAACCTGCTTAGCGCACAATTTTAAACAGGTTGTTACTTTCTATAGTCTATAAAAAAGATTCTCTACCCTTGGGCAAATAAGATAAGTCAACATTCAGGATCCTTTTTGCAGATATAAATGCCTTATCACTCCAACTGCAATGCAATGGTATGCAAATTTATATATTAAAAATAAGGTGAATACCACTGCACTCTTAGCTACTGATGTATTTTTTTTCTTCAGAAAAATAGGAACCTAAATTTGTTCTTATTACCTTTTATTTAAGAACCTGTTTAGGCTAACTTGGAAAAATACAGTTTCTTACTCAAGGTTTTATCTTTTTCATGATATTTTTAACTAAATAATAATAATAATGATTCCTTTGTTTCCTAAGTCCTTAACGTTCAATGAAGTAGAGATTTTGTTAGCACATAATAAATATTTTATCTGTTGATGCTGGCAACTAGGGATCTCGTGGACCTCAAGGAGACCCAGGTTCACCTGGAGCTCAAGGAGAAGATGTAAGTCATTGTCAAGCACGAGTTACTTGTTGTGGACACACTGTTTACGACCCCTACTGGAGATGGGATCGCCCTTTTTGCCTGAATATTTCGATCCCGCGAAGGTCCTAGCTGTTTGCAGGGCGAAACCACTACCCAGGGTTCTATCTAGGGTATTTGAGGGGCAGAAGCTTCCCCCTCCCAAAAAAAATATTGTTATCATTACAGCATATAAGTAACTATATCGGAAAAATCATCCAGACGTGACGAGGTCAGTGCACACGCTGTAACATTTCTCAAAATTGTGTCTCAAAATGCACCAGATTGCATCTCAGCGAATATTTATTTCAAACAATTTCCGGGGGGAATTCCCCGGACCCCCAAGGAAGCTCGTCGCCTTCGGCCACTGGGGACTTCTCCCCCGAAAGATAAATCCTAGGTAGAACCCTGCTACCCTGTTTCTCAGTTACAATTAGCCGTACTAAGACCCTGAATATTGATCCACCCAAGTAACCCTGCTGTGGTTCTATTTGTTCGTGACACCGGTTGGAGTTTTGCTCTAGTATGACTTTAAGAGAAACGCCCCGCTCAATTTTTAGACAAGCTAAAGTAAAAGCTTCATTCTGTGTTTTATAATCCCATGATTGCCCTCGTTTACAAGCCCTTTTAAACAACATCATATGACCCCTGCTTAGCTGTAATGACAACCATTTTAACCTTACAAAGTCATGTATCCCAAACACCTTTATGCGAAACTCGCAAAGTCTATTCTTTCAGAATCAGACTCTGCAATAGCAGTTGTAAGTGTTATCAGTTTAGATAAATGGAAGCGAAAAGGGTCATTCCGTCAGTTTTACAACCACAGCATAACTGACTCCATACTCAACGTTAATAACACTGCAGCCATTTTAACCTTATATAGTCATGCATCCTATAAACGTTTATGCGATTCTTGCAATGCTTTACAGGGTAACAATGGAACAACTGGAAAACCTGGTATCCCTGGGCGCGCCGGTCTTAAGGTCAGTACAATCTTATTACCTCAAGGGTAATTGAGCTGTAAACATGTAGTCTAACAATGGTGTGTTCTGTTTCTTGTCAGGGAGAACGTGGTTCGCCTGGAGAGTCTGGTCCCGCAGGAAAACAGGGTGAACCAGGTCTTCAGGGACCGAAAGGAGAAGCTGGACCCCCTGGTATCCAAGGAGAAAAGGTAACTTCAGGTCCCAGTTTTTCAAAAGAAGGATAACGCTATCCACTGGTTAACGCAACAGGTTTTCGTAACACTTATCCACTGGATGGTTTTTAATCCTGTGGATAGCACTATCCACCTTTTGAACAATTGAGGCTAGAGTGATGAAATAGTTTGGTTGCGTCATGCCTGAGAGTTTTCCCCTGGTTCAATCATCACTTTGAAATCGATAAATCCGCAATAACTGTCTTACAAATTGTACTTTAAAGTCGAGGACATTACGTATTACCTCAAGAGAAAACTGAGACTGTAGTCATTATGTATGCTGCAAGGGTGGGGTAAAGGATAGAAATGATGATTATTTCTGCATATCCATAGAAAAGAATAGAAAACTTTATTCATGTGTCGGAGCCGTATAGCCTGGGAGCAACCCCATCTTAATTTGAGGACACAATTCATAATTAAATAATTGGAATTACCTATACAATATAGAAGTAAAAGTATTTAAACACCGCATAATATATTTTACTCTAATGATAATCGGGAGAGAATTGTATAATTAAATGGATATGATATGCAGAGAGAACAGCTCTTACATCCCTCAGCTATCATTAAGCTTATACCATTTTTACGAATTCTGCGTTTAAAGATGTTCAGAGTTTTCGCTGATGCAACTCCATGCAACTCACAAGCCGTTTCTGACACCCCCACTCCTCCAGAACAGAAGAAAACAAAGAAAAAACAGTGTGGTCGCAACGTGTTTGAAAGTTCTTGCCAGTCATTCAGTGGCTGTCACCTGCATTTCAAGCAAACAGTCAAAGCTAGCTGGTCCTGACTACTTTCTAATTCTTGGTTTGCAGCCATGTGACAAGGCGGCCATGTTGTTGGTGAATTGAATACAATTTTTTCTCGAAGAATTAACGTGAAAGTTGAAATGCTTTTCTTCTTGGCCACCGACCTTGCCGCCGTGACGTCACGTGAAAACCAGCAATACTACAGTAGTTGATGGTTATTTGTGACAGATAATCTTCGACATTCCATCGTGAACGCCCTAACTGCTCTGACTTGGAATATTTTATCCAGCTTGCGAAGTAAAAAAAATTAATCTAGGTGTTCATTTTTCTAACTTAAGTATTAACTCGAGTCATTATAGGCCAGTAAATCCTTGGAAGAGTTTAATGAGGAAAATTCACTGTTAATCCTTTCACTCATTAAATCTGATTTTTGTGTTATATCTTCATTTATTATTAATCAATATTATCTTTTTCTAGGGAAGCCGTGGATTGGATGGCAGTCCGGGAAAGCCTGGTGAACGAGGTCCTAAGGTTGGTATTTTTGCTTTCAGAGATGGAAAATAATGTTGCTTCACAAACGCCTCTTAGAGTTTCGTTCACACTCGGTACCTGAGTACGCTACTCCTTGGGCACTAATGTGAACACGCCCATTTTTCAACTACCCACGCCAGAATTTAGGTACGGTATCAGCGCCTGAACGCTCTGCTGAGACCCTGTGCGCGGGCGCACTTTTTCTCTCATTTCAAAGGCAATCCTCTGTTTTGTATACCCATAACTCCCTGCTACGCTGTGTTAAGTATTAATAGTGAACTTAAGCAGAGACGTTTTTGAGCGACGCACGTCAACCGGAAGTGGTCTTTTTTCATTTTTGGACAGTGGTTTTGCCCATCTTTTAGGACAACTCGTCTCTATAATAGTTAAGACACTTAGAAATACAAATTTGGGAGCGTCAAGGTGCTTTAAAATGAAAAAGACCTCACTTCCGGTTGACGTGCGTCGCTCAAAAACGCCTTTGCTTAAGCTCCCTAATGTTAGCTTAGGGGAGGGGTAGGTAGTCTGCTACACAGCCGTTGTTAGTGTCGTCACGCAACGCTCCTCCCCACTAGTGGGCAGGAACGTTGCGTGACGACACTAAAAACGGCTGTGTAGCAGACTAAGGGGTAGGTGGATAGTTTCCTAGAATGATTGACCCACATTTTTTTTGTCCGATTCGTATCAGGTGAAGGACACTTAGCCCCTCATTTTTTCCTTGTCCAAGTACAGAAACGCGTATCGTTTAACAAAAAATTGAGACTGCAAATCGTTTTAAGGAAAAGAAATTCAGCATCCATTGCTTTAAAAATTTTTTGAAACTTAGTTGGATCAATTTAGGTGTCTGGGAAACTGGCTACCTACCCCTCCCCTAAGCCAACATTTTGCCTCAAGCGAGAAGTAAGTGATAATGTTGGCTTAGGGGAGGGGTAGGTGGGCAGTTTCCCAGAACCCTTAATTGTTGCTGTCATCGTTCTGAAGATTTTAGCATGAATTCTAATATTTAGTCGCTTGTACCACATGCTCATCGCCTGTATCTTAAAGCATCCGTGAATAACTTATTTTAAAAGATAATTTTGGATGAGGAATTAATACAGTTAAACCTCTTCTAAGCTCCCAGCTTCTTTAAAGCAGCCACTTCTCCCTCTTCCGAGGGTGGCTGCTTAATAAAGGATTAGATTCTCTCTCTTGAAACGCTCCTTTAGGGAACATGGATGTTCTACGCCAAAGAAAATTGTACTTTGCTTCTGTTCTTATCCAAATATTTATACATAATTCTATTTATTGATGATGATGTTAGGGTAACCAAGGACCAAAAGGCCTGAAAGGAGAGATAGGCCCTGCTGGAGAAAAGGGAGACAAGGGCTGGACTGGTGGACCTGGAGATACCGGACCTGAAGGACCACCGGTATGGAGATTTCCGTTTCTTAGTTTTGTAGAAGGATCGGACTTTTCATCGGACAAAATACTGAGAAGATGTTAATCAAGGCGTGGCTAGTTAGTTTGGTTTTCTGATTTTTTATTTGGGTCTTTCCCATGGAAAGACCCAATAAAGCGCCCAACTTACGTTACCACTGGTAAACGTCTTGTAAAATGGATGAAAGATTGCTTTTTATATCTATTTCCTTGAGTTCGCGCTCGTGCGCTTATCGTGTGGCACAAAATTTTTGCGGGAGTTTATTTTTGCGGATTGGCGATTTTTTGTTTTGCGGGATTTTTTGTTTTGCGATTAGAACAGATTGGTTTTTCTTACTTGGAATTAATTTTTGCTATTTTCAGAAATTTCCCAGTACACACCATTGATAATATTTTCGTTTTTATTGAGTACGTGCAATAGAAGTACATATTTTCAAACAATGCTACGGTGTGCCTACCCTATGTAAAACCAGTATTTCATTGTATACCGTTTTGTTTCTGAACGAAAGAGACAAAGTTGTAATTGAACAGACACGATTTCTTAGTACTTTATTTTTGTGTAGCGAATTTAAGTTAGAGAATATTTAGTCTGGAGTAAATTTTTGCCGGAAAATAAAAAGTGTTTGCGGTAATTTGTATTTGTGGGAACTTATTTTTGCGGATCGCCGGAAAAATCGCAAAAATTGGAACCCGCAAAAATTTCGTGCCACACGGTATTTAAAATTAGGGCGAAATGGTAGGGCAGGGTCGTGAAAAAGAGTGTGGTTCACCAAGGCGGCACTGATCAATAATATTTTTTTATCGAGCTGAAGTTTTCTTATCTAAGCCTGCGTATGGAAGAAAATGGAAAGGACAGGTAATGCGCTTAAAAAACTCTGCCAGCCCGTGGTGGAAGAGATAGCTAGACATTATATCACGGAGAAAGCTGTTTTTCTCTTTCTGTTAAAAACGTAATGGGCTGGGAGTGGGTTGCTTATTCATGAGAGCTGGGCGAGGAGTAGACTTTCAAAAGTCCTTCGTCGGATTTCATATGGCGCGGGACCTCGCGACTTCGTCGCTGGCGGTAGGCGGCTTCGCGGCCAAAAAAGGCTCGCTCCGCTCGCCAAGAGGTCGACTTGTAGCAAGTCTAGGCGAGGAGATGTACGTAGTTTGTCCACTGTTGCCCACTTCAGAAACTCGTCGGAGAAAGGGTGCAAGCTTTAGTTGTAGTGATTTTTGGGATCGTGTGAATTGACAAGCGTTAGTTATGATTGGTATTCAAGGCAGCCATTAACTATAATCATAAGTAACACTTATCCGCCCAAGCGATCCCAGAAATCGTAGCGCCGAAAGTTTGTACCCATTCCCCTTATAATTTCTGGAATGGGGAATTTGTTATGTGCTATACATGTAAGTATTATTACCATCATTGATGTTAGATGTGTTCGTTCTTTTTTCACTTTTAGGGAGAGAAAGGACCACCAGGAACAGACGGATTGGACGGCCCTCCAGGTCTCAGGGTTAGTAACTGCAAAGCTTGTTTTTTTAGTTATCTTTCGCTTGGTATTAGGTTTTTCACTCATGAATTGCGTAACTCAGGGTTCGCACAGAGTCTAAAATACTTGAAAAAGTATTAAATTTGCAAAACAATTTTCCAGAGCTGGAAAAAATCTGGAAAATGGAGAGAAAGTTTGAAAAATAAGGAATGTTTTTGTTTTCCAAAGCTACAACAAGATTGTAGCAAGTGAATTTTTTTTCTGTGGTCAATCTTATTCAATCTTGTCCATAGCTAATACAGAATGAGAAGTTTCAGAACTCTCTAATGTCCTCATTGCACCGTGGCTACTGTACGTTTGCAGTGCCTCATGTCGAAGGCTTGGTTCTTAAGTTTTTCGAGATCTCTGTTGATCCCTTTGATTTAGAAAAAAAAATATTATTTTGGATAAAAGTCTAAGAAAAGCCGTAAATTTTGTATCCAAAAATCTGTACAAATCCTGAGGAGAAAGGATGGCGCAGTGATGAGAGCATTTGCTTCCCACCAATGTGGCCCGGACTCGAACCTCGGCGTCGATGCCTTATGTGGGTTGAGTTTGTTGTTGGTTCTCTCCTTTGCTCGAAGAGATTTTTCTCCGGTTACTCCGGTTTTCCCCTCTCCTCAAAAACCTACACTTCCAAATTCCAATTCGATCTGGAACGCACGGACACGTTTCAGCGAATTCTCAGGAACTCCTGAGTGTTCCGTGGGTAAACAAATTACATTACATTACAACCCAACCTACGATTTCTCACCAAATTTCTTACGAGTTAAGTCTGAGAATTAATTTTAAGGCTCGTACGTACACAATTCAGTGTAAAGTTTTTCTTGTACCTGTTTCTAGTGCAAGAAAATTCAGTTGATTGTTTGCGTTTTCTTTTTCAGGGTCCTCCCGGTGATATGGGAGGTGAGGGTGCCCCTGGACGAAATGGGTCCATGGTAAGTCCTTGTTTGGAATACCTGACGATAATGTTTTGCACTGACTTGGGAAATAATCAATCAGACAAAGTGAACGCCTTTCATCAAAAGCGATATACAGGGCTCGCAAAGCCTTGAATTTCAGGGGAAGTCCATAATTTTCCTTAAATTTAATAAATTCTAGAAGAGTCTCACGATTGTTAGCAAAACGTATCACCAAGATGTTATTTTTAGGTAATCAAATGTTATATTTCACTTGCGTTTTAGCACAAAAAATTATTCCTTATTTCTCTCGTCACTATTTGATTAGACATACACGTACATGTTATGATGTACTGACACTATTTATTTCTTACTTGCTTTTCACAGGGTGAGCCTGGATATAAAGGCCCTGATGGTGATCCGGTATGTACCTACCCTACAAACGTCTTTTTTTTTTTAATTCTAGAGTTCTCCTCGGTGTCCGGTCGATGATGCAAATTTCCCTTTTCGTAAACGGTCGCTGCCTTTTTTAAGCCACTTAGAAAATGTTTGATCTGTTATTGAGAGTGTTTCCATCAAAAAGAAAAAAGATAGCAACCCAGCAGGGTCGAGCCCGAACCTTTCGTATCCTAATCTCTCTCCCTTACCGCTACACTACATACAACACCGACGCGCTGACATTTCGAAACGTCTCAGTAAATTATACTACTACATGAGAAATTTCTGCAATTTGTTTGGCTCAGAGCAGTGGTGTTTCAGCTTAATTTGAAATACCTACATGTGAAAATTACAAACCTTTTGTGGGTAGTAGTATAAACAAATAATAGCATGATTTGTACGTGATATTTGGCATGAATACCACTTGTGATATTTCAAAATTGTCTCAAATTTCACTCGCCTAACCGCTCTTGAAATTACGTATAACAATTTCGAAATATCACTCGTGGTATTTATGCCAAATATCACTACAAATCGTGCTATTACCTATACTAATAAACTAGCAAACTGTCTTTTTTTACTGATACGTCAATAACAGGTGACCCTAGCCCTTTCCATAACTTTGAACATAAATTCAACTTGAGCTTCAACGTCGTTCTTTTTAAGACTATTCAAAAACGTGTTATTTGCCTTGTGATAACTTAATCCAGGGAATATATTACGTGTCTTATGACTAACGGCTTGGTTACCAATGGTGGTATCGTCTGTCAAAAATAGCAACGGTCGTTTACGAAAGGGAAATAGGCGTCGTTGATGTTCAAGTTTTGATCTTTTACCCTTGACTGGTAATAACAAATAACGAACACTTACGAAAATTATTTTTCAAGGTTAAACGAAAATTGCTCGAGCAGTGCTGTCAAGCCGTCATTTAATGAGTCAGGGGAACCCAAACACATCCGAATAGATAAATAGTTTTTCGGTCAGCTCCAATTCAACCAACAGGGCTTTCAAAGCAAAGAGAAAACCATTCGAGACAACTGACGCATTTAGAATCATTCGGTCGTTGGGTGCCCCTGATAGTGACAACTTTTAATTTGAATCGCATTGAACCACATTGCAGAGCATAACAAACTCTTATTAGCTATCTGACAAATTATCAAATTGAAAATAAGAAAATGGGGATTGACTTAATAATATGTTATTATATTAAAATACTAATATCCAGTTCATTTTCTTCTTGTTTCCAGGGTGATCCAGGGGCATCGGTAATATTTCCTTCTATCATTTTAACTTTACTTTCCATAATTATGGACAAATTCAACAAAATCGAGAGTTTCACATTGGCACGTGCATGACATCAAATCTAGTCTTGAAATGGGTCATGTTAAACTTGTTCACTGAGTATCTTGGCTCGAAGTGGTAGTTTTAATAGAAACCTTGCCGTTTTTTCAAATTTAACGTCAGTTTTGTTGTTATGCATATGAATAGCACTGTGTATTTCAGTCTCACCTCTATTTAAGGAACACCTCTATTCAGGGGACACATTCTGGGAACGAGGATGTCCCATGTATGAAAGCTCACTGCGTGTTTGTATCAGTTACCCTTATTGAATGGACACCTCTATTCAGGGGACAGTAATCCTGGTCAAGTGGGTGTCCCATAAATGGAGGCTCCACTGTCGTATTATGTTTGTATCAATAACCTCTATTGAAGGGACATCTCCATTCAGGGGACACTTGTCTTGGTCCCCGGAATGTCCCCTGAATAGAGGCTCCACTGTACGCCCTCATTAGCGTGTTCGATGTCCGTACGGAAAGGTAACGCGGGGGTTTTTCCTTCGGTGCCCGGGCATTTTGCCTTTTGGGAAAGAATCTTGTGAGATAAACAAGGGAGGTTTGATAAACAAGGGAACTTTGGATGTCAAAATTTTAAAACTTTAAAAAAAATTCTCCCCTCCCCCTACTAAATTGTTCAACCTCATTGCATGCAGCAAGATAATGAGCTGTAAGAAAGTGTTGACCATGACTTTCTTTCTTTTGTGTTCTACTTTAGGGACCAGACGGAATGCAAGTGAGTGTTTTAAAACTTAAAATAATACTATTATCCAAATTTTTTGTATCAGTCTTTGTCCCAGAAAATATTGGGAAAGAAACAATAACTTTTTATCTTTTATCGGCGAAAGCTACAAACAGCCATTTTTCAGTGCAAATGATAAAATATGCGTGGGTTTAGAAAATGTTCAGTATACCTTGCCAATATTTTGCCGCCTTGTATGTTAGTAAACGAAGGAAGCTAGATTTTGAAAACTTTTTGTGTAGACTCAGCTCTCCGGTAGTACTGTTGCAAGGGCGCAACTAACTGTACTGCGTTACTTAAAAAATGTCAAAGATTGATTGAAAACGAAAAGAAGACAAAAACAATGCAACTGAAAAAGACCGAAGAAAAAAGAAGTTTCGTGATTTCTGAACAAAAACAATTGAGGTAATTTTTCAAAACAAATTGCCGTGTAACAACGATTTTTCCTCGCCCGAACGCTTGTAGTCCGGAAATAGGGAGCTTTAGCATCGGCGACGGCGACTGCAGCGAAAACGTCACTTTTTTAAATGAATTCCAATTTTTTAAACTTTGTTGCGTTTATTCCAAGTCGCTGTCCATTTCTAATGCAGGCGAATTTCCTTGGAGTTTATTTCTTGGGGTACGCACTTAAGTTTAGAGAGTGAAGGAAAATTCGTGGTCGCTTGTTTACGTCCTCCATAAAATAGACTGCAAAACAGTCGGTTTTTTCCTCAAAATCAGTAAAGAAATCGGTAACGCGTGGCGTAAGAGTCTTATGCGCGCGAACCGCGCTAGCCTCACACGCCCGTAGCGTCCCTCCCCAGTCTCGCTCTCTGTTTTCAGCCTCGTTCCACACCTTTTGTTTGACTGCTCGCGCGTACTTGAATACGCGATTGGGCAAAAATACGGACTGTTTTGCAGTCTATCCATAAAAAGTGAAATGAGCCATTATCCGTCGTGGTCGTGCAGTGACGGCAAAGAAATGTACAAAAAAGCGTGATGCACGTGCAACAATGTTGTTTTTCTAATTAAACCTATTGCATTTTTGCCGTTCTCATTGCCCGGTTGTCGTCGTTGCTTAAGGTTCCTAATGCTTCCTGGAGAACGCTTTTCTGCGACCATAAGAGATCATCACCTTACCATGCTGATAAAAAAGGAGGGAAAACGATATGGGGGATGGAAAAAGAAATTTGTCATATGATGGGATTGGCTAGAGCAATGTTCACTTGCCAGCCTGTTAGTGCAAATTGTTTCGGAGATATAAGCAACGTTATACTCAGATGACATCGATGTAAATCCTTCTAGATCCAAGCCAATTTTAGAAGCATTTATATGGAGTCATCAGAGCAAACCGGTGCTTACATCTACCCACTAATTTGCACTAACAGGCTTATTTTTGGCAAGGGGGCTTTTTTGATGTTGTTCCTCTGAATTCTTGGTTTGCAAACACGTGACAAGGCGGCCATGTTGGGGGTCAAAACAAAAGAATATTTCCGCGAAGAATTTACATGAAAATAGAGTTTAGTTCCCAGAGGAGAGAAATGCTTTTGTTCTTGACCACCAACATGGCCGCCATGACGTCACGTGCAAACCAGCAATATGCTAACTAATCCCATAATTTCACAAATTTGAACTTTTGTGACGTCGCACTTCTCTCTAATTTACCTGGGTATGAACGGCTCTGGCAGAAAGCCAAGGAGATAGAAACTAGCGAGACACTCGTGATAGAATTGAATTGCGTAGATACTAATAGATTGAGTTTGTTTTTAGGGACCTCCTGGCCCGCCCGGCCCTCCAGGACCTCCTGTAAGTAAATGCTTCCACTGACAAATTCTCTATACTGATCTCCATGCATTTCCTGAAAGAATTACGTGAGAGAACGTGATTAATGACAAAAATGTTTTGCCATTGGTCATCATTTTGTCAATTCTCATAACATTTTAACTTGAATATTCATTGATAATGTTAGAAGAAATTGTTAGGACATTAAACCAAGTAGGTTTTCAAGTAGGTTTTGTGCCATGTTTTGGTCTTCTGTGTCGTGGAATAGGTGGTGTCCAAATGAGTAGCGTGTGCGCTGTTATTTGTTATAAGCTTGAAAGGACTTAAGTTGGCTGTGTAGTGCTATGTTAGCCAATGTAGTTGAAGCTTCTACTGACCAGAATATTTAATAAATTTTGAGAGTGTGAGAAAAAGGGGAAATCTAAACAGGAAGATGATGTGAAAAAGTGCTATTTAATTCAAGGTGTCCAGGTGTGGCGAATGAGATACTTCGTCGAGTGTTTGACACGACTTCTTAAATCAACTCTTCTTGAAGAGATAAAGTTAGTGTAATTAAGGTTTATAGCACCTTTATTTTCTCGTCACGAAAAATCAGCGAGTTGGAGAAGTTCATTTCCTTTTTTTGTTGTTGTTTCAGGGTGAGCCTGGCATGTCGGAGATCGCTAGCGTAAGTAACAACTTCACTGTCTGTGTCATTCGAATTCGAATTCTATAAAGAGAAAGAAAACGAAAGGCTTGCTAACGATTTTTACAACGCTATTCTCTTAAAGCCATAGACGGTTGAGCCAAGAAAACTTGTTAAATAACATGGTAAGCTAACAGGATCTTTTTTTCTTTCTTCAGTTCCTGTCAATTGGAAACATCGAGAAGGGCCCAACTGGGAATTTCCGACTGTATTCAAGCAGTGGAAAGGTTAGCAATTCATGTTTATGCATTCAGTTGAGGCTGACTTCTATTGATCATCTCGAGGTTCCGAGTAAGACTGGGTTGGTGTTATATGAAGCTGCTGTCGACTTTTTAGGGTTGTGTGCTTTGTTTTCCCAATTCAGACCACGTGATGTTCTCCAGGAAATTTGCTTTTTGTTTTTTCATAGATTATGCATACATAAGAGAGATTAAGCATCGCGTTTACGGCAAACGTCAAACTTGAATTTGTACCACGTGACCAAGTTTTCCAAGTTTTACTTATCGTTACTACACGAAAATCGGTAGATTGACGCCAATTCTATCCATAACAATTGTTTTAAGCTGTTTTCATCTGCTCATTTCTCATTTTGAAACTTTTTCGCTCAAGTCATCTCTCTGCGAAACCATGCAAGTCACATCAAAAAGAAATTATGTTTATGTTTGTTTCTTTGTTTATGTATTTATTTATTTTGTTTAGGAAAAACCGAGCAGGGAAATTAAGGTAAGAGTTTAAGTCTAATGGTACCGCGTCCGTCCTCATGTTGATTTAAATCAACACCATTATTTTGATGCCCACTCTTATAGGGGGTTTTTGATAGTTCTCGCTAAGTATCCTTTGGCGTAGTTTGAGTGTCTTTTATTTGTTCTCAGCCAAAGGATATTCTGAAGACCTTGGATGAGAATGACAAAGAAATCGATTCCTTAATTAGTCCTGATGGAACGAAGAAATTCCCCGCAAAGACGTGTTACGACCTCTTCCTTGATCACAAAAATTTCAAGAACGGTAAGTTTATCCAAAGTCAGTATGTTGTGCTCCGCGTTTCCCCCTTTGTTTTGAATCATGTTTTATTACCAAACAAAAAAGGGTGCATAAAATGGCGCCAAAGATACTAAACACTTCGTCTTATTAATTTGGCCAGAAGTACCCAGAAAAAACCGGATCATTGTATGTTTCTGCGAAACTGCCCACCTACCCCTCCCCTACGCCAGCATTAAAACTTAATTCTCAGTTAGGCCAAAATGTTAGCTTAGGGAAGGGGTAGGTGAACAAGGGCGAGAACCAAGACTAACACAACCCCCATGGCGTCAGTTCTTGGATTCGAACCCAGGCCACATTAATGAGAGGCAAATGCTCTCACCTCTTTACCGCCCTTTCTCTAAGCACTAGGCTACATGCTAAACACTACCCTAAATAGGAAAATAAGGATTATAATCTTGGGCGTTAGAACCGTCGCTACAGAAAAGAAGTGGTACTTTAGGGAGGCATCGTGGCTCAGTGGCTAGCTCGTCGGAATCGCATGATTTAACTTACTGTACAACTGCATTACTCTGGCCAAAAGTTTTCCATAGATAAGTTTAAAAAAGTAGAGTGACCATCGTGTTGGTTTGACCTTTTTTACTGACAGGAATGTACTGGATTGATCCTAACGGCGGAACAATTAAAGATGCCATCTGGGTTTACTGTGACAAGAGTAAAAATTCATCGTGTGTTTACCCCAAACATCCACAGGTAATGCAAACTCTCTTGTTAGCTCAATGTGGCGGTACATGTGTCAGTCGGATACAGTGACCGTCTTTAAGGCTGACCCCCCTTCTTAGGCTCTGTTTACAAGGAGAGAAGAGGGTTACCCTAGCACTCGCACATTTCTTCTCTTTGTACACGACGTGTTTACAAGGCGGGTAGGGTTACCCTAGCAAGCAAGAGGGTTATCCTACCTGCCTTGTAAACGCTCTGCTAGATATAACTCACCTACCTGGGACAAGTTTCCTCCGTCATGCGTGACCAGTAAACTTGACAATTTGAATGGAATTATCCAATTTCTGAGCTAAATTATAAACATCTGAACAATATAAGGTATTTTCTGTATACGATGATAATATTTTCCTGTTTTTTTTTTTTTTCGGGTATTTAACGTGTTTTCCATAGAGAACTTCAAGTTTTATTTCAAATTCAATAAAATGTGACCTTGGACGTTACAAAGAAAGTCATGCATGACGAAAGACGTCAGTAAAGCTGGTAAAGTTGACCCGGGTGATAGGGGTAACCGTACTTGTGAAATTTACTTATAAACCCGGACCGTCTTCAACTCACTTGCTAGGGTAACCTTAGCACGAGGGTAACTCTCTCTCCTCGTAAACAGGCCCTTACAAAGAATGTCTCGCATGACTAAACACGTCAGCAAAGCTGGTAAAGTTGACCCGGGTGATAAGGTAACTTGATTGTAAACCAGAGCTAACTTTAACCTGCTTGCTAGGTTAACCCTAGCACAAGGGTAACCCTCTCTCATTGTAAACAGGCCCTTACAAAGAATGTCACGCATGACGAAACACGTCAGCAACGCTGGTTAAGTTGACGCGGGCAATAGGGTAACCTTACCTGTAAAATTTGCTTATAAACCCGGGTTATCTTTAACCCTCTTGCTAGGGTAACCCTCTCTCCTTGTAAACAGGCCCTTAGCCTCCCAAGCAGACTTTCTTTTGGCTCGTCACGCAATCCTCGCTGGCGCCCTCTTAATTTTTTTCGTTATCTCACACTTATAATTTTAAATTGTAATCACGGGTTGTAACCTTAGTGCAATTGCATCGTGCATCACCGTTATATTGTTACTTCAAATCACATTAACATGTCTTGCTTTAATTCAAAGTTATGATTTATATTTTACCGACTTGTCCATTTCTAATACGCTCAAGTATCAAGACTTAAATTTCGTAACTTCCGCAGACCAAATTTCCAATGATAAAAAAAATTTGGACGGTTGACATCACTAAGACATTTGCGCGATGTCTCGCCTGTTTTGGCAGCGGAGTGCCGTCTTTACAGGGACGAGTTAAAAAACAAGTTTCAACAGGGCCTCCAATTATTTGTCTGCCTCATGTACCTTTCTGATTTGGTTGCAGATCTCCGACCTTGCCCTCAAAAAGGAGTACCAGGACAAAGAAGACAAGTGGCTAAGCGAAGCGTTTGTGGAGAGTGAGGAGGTGAGATGATAGATTGATTTTCCTCGGCAGGATTTCTCGAAGGGTTAGGACACGAATTCGCGTCAAATGTAGATATGACTCTCCTCCGCAGAGCCTCAAAGTTGCATAGCGAGAGTAAGTGTGGGCGCAAAAGTTTTTTTGTTTAGAGGCGGGGGAGCCTGTTCCCGCCCTGATTAATCTTTTGGTTTTCACGCCTGCACTCACTTTGCGCAGCGCAAATTCAATAACGCCTCATTAAACGTCTTCGGAGGGAGACATATGTAAGCAAGTGAAAGCTGTATCTTTTTTTTTTTCGAAGAGCGTATGTTCGGCGAAGTCTTTTTTGATTGGAGGAAATAAAAACTGTGATTGGACCAAGCACACATTATTCCTCTTAAAGGAAAATTGTGCTTTTTAGATGCGAGGTTTGCGGGTAGTCTTGTTACTGTCATATTCAGTGCAGTAATATTCAGTAATTTGTCAGTATTACATTTCACACGTTCATATTTGCCGTGACTGCACAAGGTAGATATTAATTCTTTTGCAAAGTGATAGTCCTTGCTATTAATTTTGTCCAATCATGTCCGATGTATGACTGTTGTAGAGAGAAAGAGACCATTATACATGTTGAACAAGCTGTTAACCCTACACATTGTGCGAGCGCGTTTTTTTTCCTTATTTCCAGTCCCTTAAGTGGATTTCCACTGTTACGTAATTTTTACGTCCATACTCCACCCCTTAGACTTTATTTGGAAATGTACGTTTCCATTAAAGACTGCTATAAAAATTGCGTCACTGGTAACAACCAAACGGTTTCCTTCCAATGGATGATTAGACTTTTACGGTTTTGGTTTTTGAGTGGTACTCTTGAGTTATTTGTTTATTTGTTTTGTTACTTCTCTCAATGACTTCCTCTATTTTGGTCTGCAAAGAGATCTCGAGTACTTTTTCTTGCTGTGTGATACTAAACATTTCTTCGTTTCAGATTGAATACGATGCTCATTACACTCAGCTTAATTTCCTGAAGACTCTGAGCAACTATGCGAACCAGAACGTCACATACGCTTGCCGCAAATCCAAGGCTTGGGAAGACGGCCAGCACTCCATCAAACTAATGGGCTCCAACGAAATGCAGTATCATGCTACTTCCAAGATTTCCCTTAGGCCTAACGTCATCACCAATGAATGCACAGTAAGTTGACAGTTTGCCTGTTCCCTTGTTAGAAATAAACCTCCTTTCACAATCCACAGTCTTGGACAACACTGTTACAGATATAACCTGGGTATACACTTCTACGCCCCGACAGACCAGTAACACCAATGAGCCCCTTACCCCTGAGCAGTATGATCCGCTTCTCTTCAGGGTTCCTCAGGCAACGGTATTTTTGTGAGCGAACACTGAATTAGGTTGGGGCGGGGGACAAGGGGGTGGGTTACCTCCATATGATTTTTTTTAGCTAAACACGCGAGAGGAAGCATTTTGAATCCAAAACTAGCCTGCGAGCAGGCTCTCCTATTTGGGCGAGCAAAGCAAGCCGCGAGGGTCCCTCGCTTTTGCGTCTCCTCTCGCCTACTTTTTTCGCGCGTCTACTTGGAGAGCTTGCTCGCAGGCTAATTCAAAACAAGGTATTTTCCCATTTTTCACGCTTTACTGCAGTGCTTTAGTTTGAGTCGCAGTTGTACCAAATTGGGAAATCGTGATTTTCTGTCGAAAGAATAGAAGACAGCACTCTCTGATTTTACTAATAAATGGTCGGTCAAAACCTCTATTGTATCATTTATATCGTTTAAATAAGCAAAATCTGTCATTCCTGAAATTAACGCCTTATATTGTTTTATAAAAGCGCTCTATTAGAATTCCGCTCAATACATGACACATTACAGTCTACCAAGTTTACCCCTCTGCAGTGCCGGCTCATTTAACAGTGTCTAGAGGCCAATAATGTCTCGTTATTTGGGGGTCATAGTGGTTCCGTTATATTGTGCTAGTGCGTTATTTTTTACCCTTGGTTGTCGTCTTACTCTGACGCTTAATAATTACAGGACAGCAAAAACGCCAACAAATGGGGTAAAACAGTTTTAGAGATCGACACAAGAGAGAAGAGTAGGCTACCAATCGTGGACGTGGCAGCATATGACATCGGTGGAAAAGACCAGGACTTCAAACTTGTAATTGGACCAGCGTGCTTCCACCACGTAAAGGCGTAGGACTTTCAATGCCCCCCAGGGATAGCAGTTGCTGTGACTTGTATATTGTTCGTATTGCTCACAGTGGCATTCAGTTTGAATCGCATATATAGTCACTGATGCTTTAGTTAGTGAAAGTTTCTCAGTAACTGCGTCAAGTCCTCCCTAGAAATATTAGCAAATTTCCTTTCTCAGCGAGATTACGAATAAAAGTTTGTCCATTTTCAGCTGTTGCTTTCCATTTTTTATTTTCTTTTATGGTGCCTTTATGAGCGTTTTCTATATATTTGTATGCGTATCTTTATAAATAAATAACGCTTTTCTCAAGTAACGAGTGACAAGTATGTTACATTAATAACTGATTTTGTTTGGAAACAAACTTTTATTTTGATCTAATATTATATAGGTTAGAGAACCGATATGGATTCCGTTTGAATCGAACCTTTTAGACTTATTAAAAAATGATAACTTAAAATTTGTAGCAATACAATAAAGCAAATCAGTGTACTCAACTACCTAACAGTTATTACTTCCTCTTTGTCAAATCCCAGCTTTAACACGCGCGTATCTTCCTCACCTTGACCCCTTGTTCATCTCCTTCTTTATTACTTTTAGCTGAAATAAGATTTGGCGCTTCTACGCATTCCCCATTTTTTTCCTTATTTGTTATTTATCTTTTCCGTCACTCTAAACACGGCGTCTTTTTTGATTGCTTCTCTTTTTTCTTAGTTCGTCGCATCTATCCTTTCCAAGCCAACCCACGGTCACCTGTGTTTGCTGTTTTTTTTGTTGTTGTTATTGTTTTGCGAGCACAAAAGTTCTATTACTCTCCCCCCTGGTTTCTGTGCTTCGACAACTTTCGCGTTTGCAATTTTCTTTGTCCACAGAGTTTCTCTTTCTTTTGGTCACTGGGCCGTCCCCGAGTTGTTCTGGGACGAAAATACCCGGCTTTCAACAAAATAGGTTACCGTTAGGCCTTGCTTTGCAACGGCAATAGAGAAAGGACTGGAGCCTTCCGCTCCTCGTGTGAATCAGAGAACTGATTCTAAATGGCGAGAATCAGATGCCGCTTTTGATTCGCCTATTATCTAGTGTGAACAAGTGGAACGGTTCTGAAATGTTACTATTTCTTCCGGTTCTACCTATTCCCAGTCCCTCATCAAAGGCATGAGCCCATAGCGGGCCTCTGCAGGAGCCTGGCCTCTGTCAAAACTGCCTTACCCTACCCCGGGTATTCAAAGCTGGGTTAAGATAACCCAGGGTTGTTAGTGCGAAATTTGCATTCAGATACGAAAGCTTGGAAACTAAATTCGGTTTAATTATTTTTGTCTACAATTTCATGTTTAGATACTCTAAAATGAAAAGAATAGAGAAAATTATCCGAGGAAATACTTTGATAAAAAGAAACCCGGGTTAAATTTAACCTCAGGTTAGCGCTAATCGGCCTTCAAACAACTGGGCCTAAAGGTTTTTCTCGCGCGCAGCGAGGGGCTTCCGTCCACCTGCCAACGACGACACGAGCGCCTAATCCGCGAGAAAAAAAGGGATGGGTCACTAGAAAGACTTGACGCAAACATGATAACCCGACTGCCTCAGCCAGAGACTTTTCATGGACGTTTTCCGCATCAGTCAAGTTTCTCAACTGTCTGCCTGCGGCCTGCAGATTTCTGGTACCCAGGGTACCGCTTCTTGGGTGGAGAATGAGGCTTATGAGATATCAAGTTACAAAATATCTGTCCAATGGAAAAGGGAACAAACTGTTGTCTTGTCTTTTCTTTTTTTGCTTTGTGTGCAAAGTATTTTTTTCATAGATTGACACGCCCTGTTAAGCATATAAACCCCCGAAATAAACATAAGGCATTTTACTATAGTGGTAATTACCGCAACAATACTGCGGGCTCAAAAACGTTACAAATGGCGGGATTGGTAGAGGAACTGTCAGGATTGTCGAGTTGTTAAACTTACTTTGTGAGTTAAAATAATGATATTCTACCATGGCCGCGTCCATTACAGACGAGTGGAATGTCCCGAAAAGTGATGACGAGCAAGATAGCTCTGAAGCCAAGGGAAATAAAGTGGAAGACGAGCTGGATATTCCTTTAAAGGTTTTACTTCTTTACAGAGAAATCGAGAAAAACGGTTTTATTGAACTCAAAGTTAAGGAGTGCAGACGTAGTGTAAAAGAGAATGTTGTACAGCCCTGCGAGGAAGAAAAAGGAGAAGAAGGAAAGGACAAAGTAATCAATTCAACTGCTGAAGAAACAAGCACTGTTCTTGAACCTGATGGGAAACTGAATGCGATCTTTGCTGCTAACGTCGAGAAGGACAAGTAAGTCAGTACAATCATTAATGTCATGGAGAAAACATTGAGAGCTAGAGAATTCCACTGTTTTTGATTCATGAAATCCACCTCTTTTTGCTTTTCTAGTAAATCGAATCATTTCTGTTCTTAGTCTCATTTCTGTACATGTACGTTCGCATACAAACTCCCCACGGGATGTCAAAGCGTTTCCGGTTCCGCTTTTTGACAATCCGGCTGCTCTTTCACTACACTACTGGTACTGACTAAAAACCTGTATTCGGGCAATTAACGTGTGGGATTTCAAAATAGATGTGATACATTTGTGCCACGTAGCCACTGTTTTAGAGGTTATAGCTTTGAAGTGGTTGGGTATTCTGCAGTTAAGCCCAGTATTGATGTGACATCATGTTTGTGATGATCTTATACCACATTGCACCCCAGAATAGGCCACTTGCACTAAGAGGTCACGTGGTCAATGCTTCCTTTAAACAATGAGTTGGAATCTTGCTGATGCCGAAAATTGTTAGAGCACATAAAAATTATCTTACACCCGAAATTTGAGAGGAAATGCATTTAAGGGAGATATTTTATGGCAGTTTGATTTTTCAGGAAAGTAGTATGATTTGTATCGGCCACCATGTAAGAGGGCATGCTTTTGCCCTCCAACATGACAGCCAAAACTACTTCTTGCTTATATCTTGTTCAACGTTTCTTAGTTACGCTCAGATGTGCTGTAAACGTTATCACATCATCTTTTCAACATTTTCCTTGAAGTGTAAGTGCAAAATTTGTGTAATTCATAATTTTAAAAATTACATTTTGGTCACATGACCATTTACGAACTTATTCATTTAAAGAAAATGGTGCGGGTTTGAAAAACCAAATCACCATTATTTTGTTTAAGATATGACCCACTAATCGTTTTTCGCAGGCAAAATCATATAACTTTCATTTTCATAAAAGCGATGTCACATGCCTATTAGTGCACATGGCCTATCCCGGTGTAGTCAATCAAACGTAATCAAACTCCAGTTATTTGATTGACTTCGATTGGGTTCGGAAATCAAACATTAACTCTACCCAAATTTTGACAATCAAACAGTGCTGTCAACTCTCACAGATAATCCGGGAGACCCCAGGCCCCGGTTGTTCAAACGTCGGATAGCGCTATCAACCGGATAAATCACTATCCAGCGGATAGCGTAATTGATTTCCGTAATACTTATCCGGTGGATAGTGATTTATCCCGTGGATAGCACTATCCAATGTTTGAACAACCAGGGTCAGATTTTGGACCGTATCTCCTGGTCTCCAGATTAGAGTACAAAATCTCCTGGATATTCTCCGAAGATTGTCATTCAGTTGTAGACTCGACTTTTTGAGAATAAACTTTTAAATATTCTACGTTGTTTGATCTATTTTACTAGTAACATCGAACATTTCCTCATAAACTTCAGTATGGTATATTATTTCATTGTAATATATGCAATAATTTGAAACATCACAAATTCATGACGATCAGGTCAACAAGTATTTTTTGCACAAATGATGTCATATACTGTGCAATATGATGTCATCTATCATCCATTTCCTATCAATTCTAAATATTTGAAGACATGGGGGGTTGACAGCCCTGATCAAGTGTCGTTGAAGGGGGTGTCTGTAAAACCTACAAAGATCAAGTGAGGACCTGTATGTAAATCGATGTAAAACAACATGTGGATAATGGCTAACTTGCAACACACTTCCCCACAGTCCAACACGCATATTATTGATGGGCTTACAGATCTGCCTTGTCTATGCCAGAGGCCAGTTTTGGTGGACCCCACCCTTAACTGGACAACCAAGAGTTGGTCCCTGCTGTTATTGTCATTTTCCTTGACTCCCTGTACCTGTTAGGCAGATGTCTGTCTTACACAGACACTTGATGACAATTAACCTAGCAGTGTCTGTCCTAAAAACAGTTGTCTGTAGGTAGTTTCGAAAACGAAGCACTCGAAAACGAAGACCGAAGCACGAAGCACCCAAAACTCGAAAACGAAGCACCCAAATCTCGAAAACGAAGCACCCAAATCTCGAAAACGAAGCACCCTATCTCGAAAACGAAGCACCCAAATCTCGAAAACGAAGCACCCTATCTCGAAAACGAAGACCCCAAAATCTCGAAAACGAAGCACTCAAAACTCGAAAACGAAGACCCCTAAATCTCGAAAACGAAAACTCGAAACCACTGTAGGTTTAATAAGTGCAACTTTACGTCTTACATGACGCAATCCGAATCAGGTGGAGGCAGCGGATGCGTCCGCACCTTCAAAGGTCCACAAAATCCATCCCAAGGTTTTATAACCAAACTGTTTCACTGAACGTTTCTAGATAGGATATCCTGTATTAATTTTAATATTAGTCTCGCTATACTTGATATATCTTACCTTAATATGCATTTTTTCGGTACACATACATGTTTATGTAGACTTCAAAACTGTCCGTCAGCAGATTTTGGTATATTCAAGTACGCGTGAGCAGTAACACAAAAGGTCTGAAACGAGGCTGAAAACGGAGTGTGAGGCTCGCCAGACATTTTACGCCCACGTTTACCAACTTCTTTACTGATTTTGAGAAAAAAAAACCGATTGTTTTGCAGTCTAACATATTGGATATCTATGACACTGCGTGATCAGATCAGATCAGATCAAGGCAGAATTTGTTCTAGGATAACAGCCTGGGACCAGGCTCTATGGTGGCGGGAACAGGAGAATTCGTTATCGTGCTTGATTCCTGCTGTATTAGCATTGGACTGGTGTTTATAAAGGACAGACCGGTTTCGAGTTTTTGGGTGCTTCGTTTTCGAGATAGGGTGCTTCGTTTTCGAGATTTGGGTGCTTCGTTTTCGAGATTTGGGTGCTTTGTTTTCGAGTTTAGGGTGCTTCGTTTTCGAGATAGGGTGCTTCGTTTTCGAGATTTGGGTGCTTCGTTTTCGAGATTTGGGTGCTTCGTTTTCGAGTTTTGGGTGCTTCGTGCTTCGGTCTTCGTTTTCGAGTGCTTCGTTTTCGAAACTACCGTTGTCTGTATGCTTCATTTGTAACCAATGCTTATTTTACAGGGCTCCTGAACCATCAGCCTTTGATTACATGGAGGAATCCATCGACGAAACTTCACACATTACAAGAAAAATTCCAAAGACAGGTTTGTTTTGAATTTTTGTGTCTTAATGGCTACAGGGTTGAGCTTTATAAAATAAGCCCTAATTACAACTGCTAATGAATGACATTAGAATAGAATAATAAATAGATATTCGGAGTGAAATCAAATATTATTTTGTTAAACCCTCAAAACGTGTCATGAGGATAAAATCTGGCAGAAAAAATTCTTCTTTTAGTGGAGGAAAAATGATTCCTCATCAAAAAGGTCACTTCCAAAATGTCAAACCTTCAAAAGTCCTTGGGTGCTAATTTCAAACCCATCACTGTAATTATTAACCTGTAGTTAGTAACCTGGACCTGTGCCCACCCTGCCTCCTCAGATTAAAGAGAGAAGAACATTTTAAGATTGCCTTTTAAAGACCACTTTTGTCATGAACTCATCCTGTTCAAAGGTTCTTATTGTTTTTGTTGTTAGTATTTATTAAGTTTTCAGCAAACTGATGTGAGTGAAATCTTTTTTTATTATCCATTAGAACGCCTTCATAGAAAAAGAGTAGGAACACTAGAGAATGTCATTTCAGACTTGAAGCGGTTTAGAGACATGGATACAAAAGAGACAGAGAATACAGATAACAAAAGTGTTCTAGAGACAAAATCTGATACAACTGCTACAAATAAAGACTCAAAAGGACTATGATTATTTAAATTATATAAGGTATAATACTGCTAGCATTCCCTTTTCCTGCTGCATGTGTGACATGAAAAAGTGGCCGCAATGTTACAAATAGGACGATTTTCACTGTACAATATTGTCTGTCTGGATGCAGGATCTAAGTTAATAAAATGATCACCAAACGGCCAATAAGTATTTAAGGAATTAAGATGGAATCCATCAGGAAATTGAGTAATTTAAATTTTCAGTGGACAAAAACCTTGTACCAGAATAATATTTACACAATATCACATTATTTTTCACATCTTTCAAGGGCTATAGATATTATTAGTTATCTGTAATAACACCAAAGACTATTTCTCATGGCAGCCCAAGAAAATAAATGTCAAATTTCACAATAATAATATTGTGAAAACACAGGTAAAATTCTGAAAATTTCATGTGTAAGATGTCATTTTGTGAAATTTGACTTTATTTTCTCGGGCTGTCATAAGAAATATTCTTTGGTGTTATTACAGATAACTAATTACATCTATAGCCCTTGAAAAATGCAAAAAAGAATGTGATACTGTTAAAATTTATCTGGTACAAGAATTTTGTCCACTGAAACTTAAGATTACTCAATTTCCTGATGGATTGAGGAGTTAGTATAGGTAATAGCATGATTTGTAGTGATATTTGGCATAAATACCACGAGTGATATTTCGAAATTGTTTTACGTAATTTCACGAGCCGTTAGGCGAGTGGAATTTGAGACAATTTTGAAATATCACGAGTTAAATTAAGCTGAAAATTAAGCTGAAATACCACTGCTCTAGGCCAATCAAATTGCAGAAATGTCTCATGTAGTGGTATAAAGTCTGAAATGAAATATGGAGTTAAGTCTGAAAGGCTTACGGTACTTTGCGAAACGAAACGAAACGAAACGAAATGGTACTTTGCGAAACGGTACTTTGCGAAATGGTACTTTGTGAAACGGTACTTCGCGAAACGGTTACACAAGCGCCAATGTATTACCAGACGCCATCCTGGATTTAGGTGACTTGGAACGTTGTGTATGAACTATTTCAGTGTCGTCTTTGTAACACGTGTTAATTTTGCGGGCGCATCTTTCACACGCAGACATGTAAAAAGAGCGTTTCAGAGCGTTTTTCTTGTAAATTTATTTTTTAATTACTATGAGTATGATATATGAATTACAATCAAAGCAAATCAAACAAAAACATTAACAGTAACAACAACAACAAATGGAACAATGACAAATTTAGTAAAACCGTAACAATTCTTCTTTCTGTGGCCCATAGACGATTTTTTGTTTGTTTAAAGACAAATTGGCACATAGATTGCATGTTTTAATTTGCTTCAATTATGTTGGATAAGTTAGATCCAAAACTTAACTGTATGTTTTTCGAAATTTGGATTTGGTTTTCTGTAACAAACCTTTGTGCAAAATTTAGGCCAATAAATGTGAACAATTTCATTTTAAATTGCTGACTTGTGTTTCTTAGCCTTTTAAACATTAGTTCGCTTTTAGTTCACAGGGTGTAACATTCCGTGTAGTGCTGAACCGTGTGCTGATATGGGGCCTCCTTACGCCAATCAAACGTTTTTCACACACCCTCGTAAATTATTACTTATCTTGTTGTCACTAGTGACAACAAAAAAACGCATGTTAGTTGCACAGTTTGTAACCTCGTGGCTAGCGACAAGGCTCATAGGCTCATAGCGGTAACCTCATGATGTTTCGCGTCTATGAGAAAATAGCTGCCCCTAGTTGTCAACTTCTCCAGGGTGGTTAGTACACAAAGACATGACTGTATTCAAAGCGTACCCATAGAACCCGCTTACATGATGAAAAAACCCTATGGCCCCCGAGTCTCTTCGTCTTGGAACTCTTGGAAAGACGAAGACTATCAGGCATTGATTGATATTTTTCTTAGGAAACGTTCCAACCTTGAAAACGGCTAAAACTAAAACTTCCCTTCCCTATTTCGTCCTTGTCTGTGACATCGGCCTATCGAAAATTAGGAATATCGTGAAAGTAACCCTTCGTGAGTGATAAGGAATCGAGAAGAGGTATCTTGAAAGTCATGCTGGGCTTCAAAATAAGAAGCGCTGAAGAACACTGTTGTAAATAATGTTTGCTAGCACATGGGCAGACGCCGATCTCACATGCATGACCCCAAAGCGCGGGAAAATTTCTCACGCAATGCCTCGCGTGACGAAAGAAAGACAAACATCATTCGCAAAGTATCATTTAGCAAATTACCAAAATCAATTTTTTTGTTTGATTTGCTTTAATTGTAATTCACATACGGTACTCATAGTAACTAAGAAACAAATTTACGAGAAAAACGCTCTGAAACGCTCTTTTTTCATGTTTGCGTGTGGAAGATGCGCCCGAAAAATTTACGTGTTACACAGAGGACACTAAAATGGTTCATACACAACATTCAAGTCACCTTAATCCAAGATGGCGTCTGGTAATACATGCTGCTCTTAGGAAACAGACTTAACGACGAAATTTGCTCCAGGTTTATCTTTACAAATCTTCAGCTTTCAGTGGAATTCTAGGTACTCTAGATAAGGTGTGATGAAGCATTGTGTTGTAACCGTTTCGCAAAGTACCGTTTCGCAAAGTACCGTTTCGCAAAGTACCGTTTCGCAAAGTACCATTTCGTTTCGTTTCGTTTCGCAAAGTACTGTAAGCCAGTCTGAAATGGTATTGGTATGAAGATGCTAGGACTTTACCATCGGTTGTACATCTAAGCGTGTACATCTGATGAAAAAACATGTTCTTATGTGTGCAAACATGACATGTTTTGCTGCCAAACATTCAAAGTTTGGGATGGCATTAGACGAATGTTAAGGCAAAGTAGACAGCTGTTTGTCTACTTGATTTGTTTTCGTTCAACAAAGTATTCATCAGTGACAAGAATTTTTAGATGCTGAGAAGAATTTCTGGAGTTGTATACTACAGAGAATAATTTTTAAAAGCAAGTGTGCTGTTTCTGAGTGAGAAATATTCCTGAAAGTTGAGAAAAGTAAAAGATGAGAATAACATGCTGCTCAGAAATATATAAACAACTTTAACCTTAGGTGCAACAGTTTGCTTTAACGGCCTTCAAACTTCAAATGTTTGGTGACAAAACATGTCATGTCTGGCATCCAATTAGAGCATGTTTTTTTGTCTTTTGTTCATGCTTAGATGCAACTGACAGTGTAGGGTTAGAAAGAAGTATAGCTCATAGTGAGACTAAGAAAATGGCTGAAGAATGAAAGGGACCAACACAGGGTGTCTACTTGAGGAGGCTTTCACCATTCTACAACAGAGTCCATTGAGGTAGAAATAAAAAGCTCATTAATAATAAATTTATTCATAAGAAAAAAACAAAAGAAATTTAATGTTTAATGAGTGTCTTAATATCTGATGAAGACACAGCTAAACTTTACATCCAATTTTTTAGACCAAATAACCCAAAGTCTAAAATGTTAGTGCAAGAATGAGTCAATCTATATCAGACATTTTGAAGGCGCCTGTTCAAAAAACTTTTAGTCATGTATTATCAGTTTAAAAACTGTCGGCTTTGCCTCAAGTTTCACCATTGTATAAACTGAATAATTGTACCGACTAAGGTGTGAATATATAAGGCACTGAGGTTATCATGTGCACTGAGATGAACTCCCATGGTTCTACTTGTTTTTTCCCTGATGTGATACTTGATTTATCAGCATGTTAAATGTTCATGGATAGAACAGTTCTATAGGAAAAGTAGTCCACCACTGGCAAACAAGATTCTCACTGTCTGGCTCGCACTATTCAGGTTGTTCTTTAGGCATCAGAGATCAGAGAATTCTTCGTTTACCATGAAAAATTCTCCAGCTGACGTTCAGTAGCCTGTGAATATTTTTTACTCAGATGAGGAGCCTCTTTCAAAATGTTCTCCTGTAATGTTACACGTTTCTTCTTCTACTAGAATTCTTAATGACAACCCTGCACTATTGTTAGATGCCTGATCATATCAAAGGGTCATCATGTTTTCTTTTGTATCATAGCTCTGTGTAAAAATTGCAGACATATTTATGTATTACTTAAAAGCCTTTATGATAACTGTAGACTCACTATTGACAAAAATTCATGATACATGCCACTTCAAATGAAAACCTGTATATAGCTTAATATTATTCTTAATTTATGCCTAAAATTGATTCATAACATTAAAAAATAATTTTAGGAAAATGAGGGAAATATTTTCCACAGAAACAATTTTACTTCTCAGGGCCAAGTGAGTAGGAATGCACATGGGTGTGGGCTATTTAGTACAGTAGAATCCTGATTTTTCAAACCACCTCAGGAAAAGAAAATTGGTTCAAATTAATGGGAGGTTTGATGTAAAATTACATCATTTTTTTGACTTGTGAAGGAAAGTATTCCCTGAACTCATGAGCCTGCGTACAGGCTATGTTATAATTTACAATAGGAACATAAACCAAAAATGATGTTTACAGTTTTAAAAAACTGAATAATTCAATTACCTTTCAGTTAATTTAAATATTCCATCAGTCACCTTTGTAAATCATGTCTTTAGGTAGCATCCCACACAGGCGTTTTTCCGGGAGCTCGCTTTTCATCCCTCCCCACAGTTTTGGTTGATCAGACGTTTGTGGGGAGGGATGAAAATCGAGCTCCCCTAAAAATGCCTGCATGGGAGGCTAATCTTAAGGGTATTGAGTTTACAAAATGAACAAAAGTTGGACTTTTTGTGTTGGGTTTGTGCTTATTGTTGTGTCTAGAATATAACAAGTAAATAACTTATAAGTGTATGTAATTTATCTGACAGTTGAACATGTTGCAATTGCAGGCACGGATCCACACCAGTTTCTACCGTTTTACAGAAGTTGTCAGATTTTTCATAACAAATGTATTTTTAATACTAAAAACGCTTTCCAATTTGAAATCTGGCCAATAACCTGTTTGAATGACTTGGAAACCTGTGGAAAGGGACTTTAAGGAGTTAAAATCCAAAAAAATTCATGGGGGAGCCTGCCCCCAAACCCTGTGCACTAGAAGCTTGTGCCTTCAGTGCTCGTTTAGAGGAAATTGGTCAGTATTTATTCATGATCCGTGCCTGGCTTGTGTCTTTGTTGTCCAAGAAGAAAACTTTCAAAACTGATGTACATGGTGTGCTAAGCAAATAAAAATAATTTTTCTTATATATTTTTGCAACCATTTTACAGTTATTCATTTCCACCTAAACTCTCCATTCCACGTTTTTTCCCAGGGGTAAAAAATTTCATCTAATGGTGTCTCCAATGGCTCAGACAGTGGCTGTTTCATCAGATACCCAAATTCACCAATTTCACATAGGCCATAATACACCTTGTTTGCCCCCCCCCCCCAAAAAAAATTGCATAATCTTTGTTTTTCATTTCAATTTTGGGGGGTAAACAAGGTGCATGTGAAAATGGTGAATATTCAAGTTTAAAAAAGAAACAACCGTTGCCAAGGTGATGTCTTACGTTGTTATTGACAGGTACTGGTCAGTGACAAAAAAGACTAGGCGGTGTGTCTAGGGGAGGTACTTAAGTAATGTTTGGGTAGGCATGTGCCCCCGGGAGCCCAGAACCTTTGGCCTCGGAATTTTGTTAGTAAACTAAACTAAACTTCAAAATAGAGCCCCTTTAATGCGTGTAAATTAAGGTTTGTCGATTTTATTTTGTGAGAGTTAATTCTCAGTTTCCTTAATCTAGAGTCAAATATTCAGTTCCTGAAAAAAGATACCCTATTCAAGACCCAAAATCTCTGATTTCCTTACTCTATCCTAGCCTGTTTAGAGACACCCCCTTCTCTAAAAACAAGGGAGAGATTTTTTTTTGGCTACAAATCAATATCTAAAACGTTGACAAAATGACTTCCAAAAGGCTACACAGTAAAAAGAACACAACAAAAACACAAGGCGAGTCATTTTGATTTCAATTTTTGTTATTTTGCCAATATCTGAGCTTCTGAAGGTTCTAACAGAAAGACCGATGGAGAGTTGTTGAGGCCTCAAATGTAATAAATGACCCTAAATGTAATAAAGGTCCTAAGTGTAATAACTTTTGGCCCTAAATGTAATAAAGGTCCTAAGTGTAATAACTTTTGGCCCTAAATGTAATAAAGCGTCTCATAATGTTATATGTGTAATAGGTTTTAGCCCTAGATGTAATGGAAGTCTTAACAGTATACTGCATGTATGTAGTATAACAACCCCAAACTTGATAAAGTCCCTGACTGAAACATGCGACGGTCTGATGCGATATTAATTTTATAGCCACCTGGCGATTCCCAGGGCGATTCACTTTCTTCGCCCTAATGAAGTCTTCATAGATATTCATAAACTTAGAAAGCGGCTAGAGCGCTCAAGAAGTAGGAGAAACACTTATAAATTAACTACTCTCGATCGCGTTTCCTACTACATGATCCCTACATCGTAAAACGCGAGTTATAAACAACTGGAATCTACACAAAAGTTTTCAAAAGACAGTAGTAATTTAGTAATTGAAGGAAGTATTAATGTGCATTAGAAACAGTCGTAGTAAATTAACTACTTTTGCCTATGGGTTTTTTTAATGTTGCGCCAAAAAAAAAAGAAATGTTTTTTTTTTAATCATTTTCCAAAAAGAGTATGTCGGTCGGTCCGTACAGAATGCTGTGAACACGAAGTTATATATAAACAGCAAGATATTGAGGGCAGTATATCTTGATAGTTTTTCGGACTTCCTGACTTTGATTTTAATTTCTACCAGGAGTACTTCTTGAAGTGAATTTTTATGCTAACTTTTTTTTCCAGGATTTCACCACATGAATAATAATAAGTTGTTACTCAAATGGCTATATAGGGGATCTGCCTGGTGTATTTAGTGATTCTTCCCTAGACACATTCATGCGCTCAGTTAACCTGTAATAAGGCTGAAAGCCAACACTATGAAATCTTCTTATGACCATAAGCATAATAAGAGCTGAAAGAATTACACTTAGGACCCGTTATTACATTTACGGCCAAAAGTTATTACATTTAGGACCTTTATTACATTTGGGGCCAAAAGTTATTACAATTAGGACCTTTATTACATTTGGGGCCAAAAGTTATTACAATTAGGACCTTTATTACATTTAGGGTCATTTATTACATTTGAGGCCTCAACAGAGTTAATTAGAAAACATAGGACTTTGGTACTGTACATGGTATTGAAACAAAATCGGTATTGTTATTGTAGGTAAATGACTGAAGGCGTGAGGCGGGAGAGGCGCGAAAAAAATGCGTGTGCACTCCCCTCACTAAATCTGAAGAAAAGAGAGACTGCTCACAATCTCGTCAGTTACAAGGAAAAAGAACGTCTATGTAAGAGGCTGCCATACGCAGTCAGAGGTGGAACAAAGCTACATAATTATTGAGATCTGGAGGCAAACAAATGGGGTCCACAACTTTCAATGATTGCAGTTGTTTATTACCAAAAATATAACTCTCTAAATCAAACAGTTACGATATACATGTACAGTACATCTGAACTATATCAATAAATTCAACTTGATTTTGCAAACTGTATGTTTGTTTTTTCTTCTAAACAACATGATACAAGATACTTTCTTAAGTTAGAGTATTACAATGTTAACTGTTTGCATTTAGCAATATGTTCTGATATTAATATTCTAGGAAATAATCTTGAATATTTGGCATGTTATTGTTTAAGCCCTCTAAGCCAGATCTTAAGGGCCTGTTTACATGGAGGTGGGGGACCCCAGACAGGTGAGGTAACATGTGGCGGGTCACCCCACCTGTCATGTAAACATAATCAACTTAAAATGAGAGATTATATGGACAGGAGGGTTACCCCACCTACCTGGGGTCCCCCACCTCCATGTAAACAGGCCCTACATGTAAGTCAGTGATAGAAATCCTCATTCTACATGCCTTAACCCTCAAGACCCAAGAGTGACCAACATCAGACCAAAAAAGAATACATAATCAAGAGAAATCTTATGAGAACTAATAAAATGATCACTTAAGGAAAAAATGCTTTGATCTTTTATCACACTCTCTCAAGTAATTCTAGGGTGGAGTTCAATCTCCAGAATCTATCTGGATATCAAGGCTTAAAGGGTCAAGACAATATCTTTTAAGAGAATCAATCTACTATTACGACAACTAGGCTTCATTTTTCTAACTTTATGGATCGCCAGACATTAGCTTGAATTGTAGCTCAATACTATTTACTAACTGCAGTGAATCAAATTAATACAGCAGTTATCTATTAGTAAATGATTAAAAATCATTACTAAAAGTAAGTTAACATAACACATTTTTACTGTAAAAAACAATGTATAAACCAACCGGCTTAAAGCCAATAGCCATATCAACTAGATCTTTAGTCAAGGGCTCTTGCGCAGAAATAGCTTTGTTTTCAGAAATGTTTTGAGATGAGATGTAAGCCTGGTCAAGGAAATAAGTTAGCTGCAATCACTAAAACAAGTGCAGGTACTTTATAATACCTTGCTTGCAACACTGAATTTGTAAATAAAAGGTTGCAAATTAAAGACTTGTCACACCAAAGATGATAACAAATTTACGTCCGACACTCTTATACCTGATCGATACATTTATAAATATAATTCTCCGATATTTCTTCTTTTGGGTAGAATAATGAGATGAGTAAGGCAGATGGTAAAGTATATTTAACTTATTACCCATGTGGGCAAAAGAATACAACAGCTGGAAAACAATTACAGTTACCACAACCAAAACTTTATGTTCAACATGGGAAATAACAACAACAACAGCTCACTGCTTTGCTAGACAAAAACACGAGCAATACAACTGTGAGGGGACAAAATTGGGTTGTAATCCACATAGCTGATCTCAGTAGTTGATGATATAGACACAACTGCAGTAGCGGATCCAGAGGAGGGGCCCAGGGGGCCAGCCCCCCCTTATTTTTAGACCAGACTGACTGAGGCCCAGAGGGCCAAAAAAAATTTTTGAGACCAAGCCATCCCCCCGCCCCTTATCTCAGGGTCTGGACGACACCCCCTGCCCCTCCCCCCTTATCTCAAGGTTTGGATCCACCAATGAACTGTAACCTAATACTGATAACTTTAACAGTTTGTTTAACAAAAGGACAATTAAGATCACTATACCCTTGCCTAGTCCTCGTTATTCTGCGCGGCCAATGCGTCTTACGTCACTTCGTCCGAGCAGGGACTAGGCAAACTGTACCATTTATATTTTATCTAAGATGAAGTCAGGACTGCTTAAATCCAATTAAATTCATGGAACATTATGTTACAGTCACTTAACGATGAATAATTACTCTATATCATGCTAAATGCTGACTGTTGACCACATGCAAATTCTTAAATTAAGATGGACATTCAATCAGCTAACAAGTCAATTCACTTTGAGACTTATCACATCGCAAATCAAAACCATGGTTTTTTTGTTAAATTAAATCTACATAATACCAACATGGATGATTAAAAAAAATCACCACCATACTCTTAATTTCAACCATTTGAACTTCTCTGTAAATTATTAAAGCTTTTATAAAAATCTCTTTTAATTTCCAATCCCAAAAGATAATTATTATTATGCTGTATCAGAAATCATTAACTACATGTAGGAAACTTCAGCTCTCTCTGTAACAACATTTACATCATAACTGCAACATTCACCAACGTGGAAGCCAACTTAGAGTCCACTGAAAGAACCTCAGGCACATTTCTGATGCTGAAAAAATATCAAATAACTCGACAAATAAATGTTAACTGTTTGATGCATGTCAAAAATGACAAGAGGGTTTGTACTCTTTTCAGCTTTTTAATTCCCATGACTTTCCATGACTTTTTTGAGGAACTTTCCCAGTTTTACATGGCCTTAGTTTTAGCTGCCATTTTTGAAAACTGCACATTACTTGTTTTTAAGACTATTCTTTTACAGACACAAACTTTGGTGTCACCAAAACGTGTGCTGTTTGCACTGTTTAATTACTTGTCTCTACCTTACAGTACTTTGCCCTTGCTTTGACAACTGCAGTAACTAATCTAACAAGTATAAATTTAATTTTCCATGACTCATAACTAAAATTAATTCAATGACTTCCCAGGCCAGGAAAATGAAATTGTTAAATTTAAAAAATGATTTTCTTGGTTTTCCATGAACTGTATGAACCCTGGCCAAAATGAAAGTTGAGTAGACATACAAGAAAACTAGTCATCAGGAGAAGCCATTAGGTTGTGACAATGTACAGAGTGTAGTGTCAGTTATTAATTTAACATGGACCTTTATAAGGCCTACATTTGTAAAAATTGGTCCATTTATACTTCAAACTGGTACTGCAAAAAATGAAAAAAGAGAATTCCATACTAACAAAATTCATGGATGTTTTTTAAGGCCTAGAAATTGGATAGCCATTTTTACACAAATACAGCAAAAAAATGAAAATGAAGAATTCTATACTAACAAATTTTGGTCCAAAGGAATTCTCCTTTTTCATTTTTTTGTTGTGATATGAAATCAAAATTTCAATGTACCATAATCATATACTTGTGAATTCCACAACTTGTTCTAAGACTGTTTAGACATACCTAGTTTCTCTCTTATTTTCTGTAATGTTGAACTCTTTAAAATCCAGCCTGTTAAAAGATAAATCAAGACTGATCACTCAGTTTATTGTTTTCCTCGCAAGGGAGACTTCAGTTATACTGATAACAACGTTTTATCCTGGTTGAAAAAAAAAATAAAACAAAATTATAAATCTTTTAACAATCTACAAGAATATCTAAGTCATGTTCAGGTTAAAATAATATTGATAGTAGTATGTACAAAACAACGGTACAATGAAGAAAAACAAAAGGAATAATCACCGAAAAATGACTCTAACTGTAAAACAAAATCTCGAGTTTGTTATCACGGTAGCATAAGAACTGCATGTAGAACGGTGTGGACAGTAATAGTGTTTAATATCTGATCTTATAGGTTAATACGATTCTTTTACTTGAGCAGGTTTTTCAATATTATTGGATGAGAATGTGTAATTATGCCATGAGTCACAACAAGTCATTAGTGCAAGCAAAAGTTACTAACTCCCTTGCGAGCTTAAGAGTGAAGGTCAGGAAATATAGAGCATCAACTGGCAGAGGTCGAAAATGAAAAAGAGTTGTTCTGTTGATGGAAAGTGTCCAAATTTCTCCTTGTGGTTTTGTTTGCTAATGCGAGGAGAGTTGACGTCAGCAAATTTCAGGTTAAGAATGCTTTAGGCGGGAACAATCTACATTAGGTTTCTTATTGACCTAAAAGCTATCTATGAACAACTCGACTCGTACTACAAAATTACAGTGCAAATAATATAACCGGGGCCACAGGCCTGGAAAAAGTTGACCAATTGGATGACAGAAAAATAACAATACATTCTGAGAAAGTTAGTTATCAATCATAATATTTTATTACCATGAAACGAAATCAACAACATGGATCAAAATCAGCCAATTACAACCTACAGACGTGACCTTTTAAACCCACTGAAGAGAGGCTGTGTTTCCTGAGAGGTCCATTAGAGTGTCAGCGGAGGGGAAAAATGTAAATGTTAGTCACATTTTTGACTTGAGGTCACTTGTTATTGCAAAATGCGACAATGGAAGCAAAAAGAAATTGCTGGGAGATGACAAAATAACAGCTTGTGTCAAACAAATATCTCTCCTGGGTGTTATACATAAAGTTTTGAATAGAAAAACATTGTCAGGTGAAACATTTTGCTTTCTTGAAAAACGTATGCTATCAATATTTAAATTTCATACTTCAAGTAACTTATTCTTTCCTTACAAGCTGCAGATTGGCCCACAACCAACTTTCTTGGAATGTATTGTTATTTTCCTGAAATCTGATTGGTCAACTTTGTCTAGGTGTCCCTGGTTACAGTAGCGAGTTGTAAGATTTTGCTCAATTTTTCCTGACCGTCACTCTTAAAAGACTTGCAAGTGATCAGATTGTGAGATAGAAACTGTGGCAAACTTGAAGTGCCAATTTTGCCCCTTTTCTGCCAACAATGAAATTATATTATTTGGTTTGCTGATTTTTTTTCTTTTACTTCAGAAGTATAAATAAAATACTTGATGACTGGCCCCACAAGAAATAGTAAGATTTATTTCCCAAAGACAACATTGAGGAGGCCCTGATAGGGTAAAATACCGACTAGCAACATGGCCTTGAAAGAGCGACAAAGGACAGCAGGAATGGCATCAAACGAAACTGTGACAGTGACAAAGAAAAGTGCATAAACAACAGTAAAACACCAATAGCAAAATGGCTCCCTCAGGACTCAATAAGCGAAATGACAGGTTTTGAAATTCAGACTAGGGACATACGTAACCCCCCTATGAGGACCTCATTGAGGGTCTAGGAAAAGCAAAGTTCACTGTTTCCCTTGGGGTCAGTGCTTACATTCTTCCTAGATTACTAGCCTTCTTGGTTTCAAATTTTGTTTCTAGCTGCAAAGTGTTTTTAATCAACACATCAAACTACACAAAATATAATTTTAGCAAAGCGTGAAAAACAAACCTGTATTGAATTTTGATTGATCTCTTTACCACTGCCCAGATATGAATTCTTTAAAGCCAAGGGATCAAACACATGTTCTGAGGGATCTGTGCCATTAACACCAATGGAAAAAGGGTTTCCACCATTGTATGCATTACTGTTCCCTATTTGTAACAACTCTGATAAAAATGAGACAAGACAGTTAGCCAACATACGGTAGCTTAAGAATAGATGCCCTGCTCACAGTGTTGTATGTAATGAACTGTTTCAAGATGGTTGAAAACTAACAAAAATTTAGGCTTGACCACAATAACACCCATCAAAAGCAGAGATTAATGGTAAAAAACATTGAAAACCACACATTGAGAAAGCATGCATGATCTGGCTAGACTGTAAAAGAAAATTTAATTGTTACCATGTGAAGGTGAAGGCAAAGAGGCTGGTGAAGTTGGTGATGCAGGTGATGTTGGCTGCGTTGGAGATGCTACATTTGGAAGAACACCACCACCTTGCTTTGATCTATTTGCTGCTTTTACACTCTGTTTTGTGGGAGGAGGGGGAAGTGCTTGAGGTATTGGACCCTTGGGTGTCGGCCTGGAAACTGGAGCTTCAAATAACATGGGCTGGGGGGAAAATTCATTGAAGTCAGGAGATAAAGGTGCAGATGATTCTGATGGAGTTCTTTTCTGAGCTGGTTGCGGCGAAGGATTCTGAGCAAAAGGGTCAAAGCTCATCTCTTGACTAGTCTCATCCTGTGGTGCTGAATTTTGAGTTGGTGAACCTGATGTGGTTGAAAGGCCTCCAAAACCTCCCAAGAGATCAAACTCATCTGTGATTGACTGGCCACGGCTGACCTATAAAAATAACAGATTAGTAAGAAAAACTTCTGAATTAGGTCTCACACCATCCCTTATGGCACAAATGGCATCAAAACAACCCTTAGTTTGACTTACCTCCAAAATTGAAATAAACTGTAAGAGCAAAATAATATAATGTATTTGTTGTTTGTGACTACTACTGAAAAAAGTTAATTCTTTTCTTCTGAATTGTATGTACACCACTGCTATGCTAATTAATGCATTCATTTTCAAGATCAATAATTAAGTTATTAGCGTTCTTGAAGTAGAAGATTTTCGAAGAATTGAGTTTAAACTGGAGAAATCATTATGAATATTCAAAATGTGCTAATTTAAAAGCAAACGTAATTCAGTAGCTGTACCTACCAATAAAACAAAATATTTAATTTGGCAAATCTATGTCTAGACACAGATTCGAGTGACAGATGCATACTAAATTCTTGCTCTAGGTATTTACTCCCCTTGCCCTGCAAGGGGCTAGACCTTCACATAGCTTGGATGACCACATACAGTTCGAGATGTAAAATAGTGTCCCCAATCGTTAGTACCTTCCTTCTAAATGCTTTGACACTCAAATCAAGTGCATTTTTAACAATAATAATAATAGTAATAATAATAATAATAATAATAATAATAATAATAATAATAATAAATAATTGAAAGGGTGATTAACTATATCTCAGGTAGGAGGGGTTGCCATTTTGGGGGTGGGGGGGGGGGGGAACTTTACAAGACATTGAATCTGGCTGGAAATTCCACAAAAATTTATCGAATATTTGCAAAGTTATGGCACCATGGCTTACCTCAGTGTTGCCATTACTGGTCGGCGTACCTTGACCTGCAGCTAGTTCAAGTTTAGCGATCTTTTGTTTTAATGCTTCTTTCTCCTCTTCTGCTGTCTTGATCCTCTCTTCCATCTCAGAAAGCTTCTTAGTTGTTTCTTGGTTGTTGGATTTCTTTTCAAGAAAACGTCGATAGGCCAGGTCAAATGCTTGCCCTACTGTTAATGTGAGTTCTTCCGCCTTAGAAGAAAATAAAAAGTCGGGTAAGAAAGAATCAATGTTGGACCATGTGCTTACACTGAACTAGCCTAGGTGTTGCAGAGGTTATCTAACCACAGTTAGTGACATCTGCAAAGTATCGCCAATATCCTTGTTCTGGGCACCCAAAGTACTCATAGAATTACTGCAAATGCATTTTGAATTTCCCTTCAACCTGATTGCCAAATCTAAAATTACATTTCAACAGGCCAATCATGGCACATACTATTCTGTCGTAGTACGTTAGTACGCTTAGTACTAAGGTGCTAAGTTCTCTGTATGTTGGCATTATATTCGGTCATACCATGTTACTATGCTTTTAATTGGTTTTTTTAATTTTGCGATGTGTAGCAACAAATTTTACCATTTTGGAAAAATTTGAGATAAACAGCCGGTAAAATGAAGAGTTTCTCAGGGTGTGAATGTATATAATAAACACAATACCACAGGAAAAGTGCTCTGTACGGATTTATGCACTCACTGTTTTTGGACCAGAAATTTCACTCATTCGATGATTCTGATATGTCAGTAACTCATGTGCACTTGCCATGAAGTATTCTATGTGTATCTCACAAGTGTCAACAATTTCCCACTCTCTTACGACACCCCCCCTGTAAATAATATTCAATGTCACACTATCAAACTAAAACTAATAATTTTAAATTTATAATTTTAGTAATTATTAATAAAATTATAATTTCAAAATTGTTAAATGTATATTTTCAAAGATTGTTATTGTCAACTGCACTCACCATTTTCTCACACTCAAATACGTAACATAAATGCTGTGGCATGCCACTGTCCTTTGCAATAAAAGCAAACACCTTTTTGTCACGTTTATCATCAGCACAGTAGGATATGCGATGAAGTGGATAGCAAAATAGCTCCTCCTATAATAAAGAAAAGTTTTAATGTTACTGTTTACAAGATGAAACTCATTTAATTGAAATCCTGTCATCTTATTAAATCATTCATTTGCATAGTAAAGTTTGAAATGAAATTCTTTTAAAAATGACTTTAGCTTTGTTTGCTTCGCAATCCTACCCCGTTTGTTTCTTACTATAACCCGGGCCAAGAAAAGGAGACAAGAGAGATTAAGGACTTAAATGTACTAAAGCCACATTGTGTATTAAACTGTCACTGTACACAATACACTTTCAAGAAATAACTATATTAATTGGGACAATCAAAACTCCTTCACAACATGACAAAATGATGAGGAACCTGGAGCCAAATGAAAATGGCGGAACATTAATTTCACGTTTCACAAAGAAGAAATTATTAGCAGGACTACTGCCTAAGAACAAAGCAAGAACAGCAAGTCAGAATACAATTCGATGCATGACATCTGCTATTTGGAGAATATCTGCAGAGCTAAACATTCCTTTTTATCCTGAAACTGCCGTGAAACAAGCAAATGAAGACGCAAACTTAGCATCAATCGTGGTAATCAGCACTATAAACAAGCATGTGGAAGTTAAAAACAGTACCTTGGTTTTTATGTCTTCAACCTTTATGTTGTCAATAGAAATCTTGATCTCAACTTTTTTCAGCTTACTTCCTTTCACACCCACTTCACTCTTTTTAATATGATTTGCAAACTGCCAAAAAAGGAAAAGATTTAAAACAATGTTGTATAAATGTTCCTGTATAAATGGCGTTGTAATATACCACTAAATGTCGCAATATTGTTGAGTAAACTACCAAAAAAACATGACTAAAACAAACACTGCAATGTTGTTGTATTTTGAATTTTCTCGCAGAATCAAAGTAATTACATCTGCAAAATACTCTGGGAATGACTATGTGATAATATTGCGCTGGTTTGCTCAAAATTTAAAATGTCAGTTTTTGTGTATCAGAAATCTCACTTAGTAGCTGCCCTAGCTTGTTTGATTTCTGATACAATGTATGTGTCAACAACTCATATGTAAAGATAATACTGCACACTTTTGGTAAAGTAATCTATATAATTTTAAATCCAGCTGAATTTTACTCAAAAAAAAGTAAAATAATGATTTCAATCCTTTACCCGAACTTTCTTTATGGCTTCCCTTACAATTTCTGTTCCCTTTGCTTGAGCAACCTCTGTAGACCCAAAGAGCTGTATAACATACAAGAAAAATAAAATTTTAGTTTATTTGCATGTAGCAAGTTAAGGGGAAAAACATAAAAACATAACAGATGAGCAAAAAGTAAAGTTATCTCATGGCTAGTACTTGACACCATGATTAAGCACTTCAAAGGCAAGAGCTTAAGCCACTAGAAAACAGAGACCTAAACACACTCAATGTGGCCCAAAGTACAGTCAACTGCCAATAACTCAAACCCTCGTTAACTCAAACCTTGCGCTAACTAGAACCAAAATCTATTTCCCTTGAATTTCCTTCATACTTAAATTACTGTAATTTTACCCTCAGTAACTCAAACCCTTGACAACTTGAACTTCCTCCTAACTCGAAGTAATTTTATCTCCCTTCATATCATTTCTATACAACTTTACCCTGGAAAACTTGAACTATCTTTTAAGGACGTGACAATTCCAGAATGAGAAACACAGAGAATTTCTCTAAAAACAATCGTGTATTCTTTCTCTGTACACTTCTTTACTTTTTTGTCAGTCCAATTATTCAAATACAATGTTAAGAGCTGTACTGATTAATCAAGCTTTGTTGCTCAATTTCTTTTTCAAAATATCAATATATCTCTTGTTGCCCCTGAATTGAAGCTACTGCTTAATGGGTGCCCGGTCACCAGAGGTGCCTACAATTATCCCGCAGGTGACCAAAATTTCAAACAAGAAGCCCAAACGGGCGCCTAAAGCTCATGATTCTCAGGCTAACTGCCGGTGAACGAATGGCAAAATTCCCTGCTTATTCTGCACTTTTGAAACGAAAACATGCTCACTTTCTTGGAGTAAACTGTGGCATGACAATTTTGGATGTTTAGTGTCATACAGTTTAAAAGATTAAGATCTAGTTAGTCACACAATTCTAGAATGTTTGCTAGTCTCACTAGACCCCATTCCATAAACTGAATAGAGTATAAAACTGTTTTTCCGGAAACACAGCCTTGGACATTCAGTACACCAGTGATGTTACTCTCAGCATGGAAAAACAGCAAACCACAATGGAAAACCGAAAAACCAGCCAAGAAAATGGCCAAAACTGAAAGACCAAATGCCACAGTCATGCTGGACTCATGTTGAAGTCAAGTTAGCTTAGATCGGCGGTAGCAAAATGTTTGAAACAGGCCTTAGTGATTTAATGTTGTGATTTCATCCACAAAATTGAATGTTAAGGCAGGTTTTCACTAGTGAAAGAGTCAGAGTTGGAATCGTCAGCAGAGTGTTAAGAGCACTTATCTTAAATCGGAGTTATAAGAAAAGTCAGAAGCAAAAGCGGTTTAGTTCCTCTACTTCTGCTTGCGACTTCAACAGTTCACTTGATCATGAGCAACAGAGTCATAAGCAGAATCAGAATGCCATTTTCACTAGATTGTTGAATCTTACACTTCTGATTACAACTCCGACTCCGACTCCAACTCAAGATGCTAAGGAAAACCAGCCTTTGGTGACAAATCATCTCGTCACAAATAGTTGGTCCAGAACAAGCAACTGAGTGAATATGGAATGACACGCTATGTAAAATTTTAAGTACATAATCCACAGACAATGATTTTCGAGATATAAATATAGTGAAGGTCAAAGTAAGTGTTTAATATAATTGACGACATTTACGTATGCAAAAGCTAGAACAAAATAAAATACATTTACACGGAATCTGTCAACTGTACATGTTTCTTTGCTTCGTTTTTTGGCTTCATGATACAGATTATCCGTCAAACGTCTTCACGCATTATTAACATTTGCTTGATTTCTTTGGGTATTTGTATGAAGGCAAGATTAATTGAACTTACGTCATTTAAACTATTTTCCCAGGCCACAAAAACTGTGAGAAAATATATTATGCTTGCAAACGATTTAAAGCACGTTGTTTTCATAACTGGAAATTCGATCTACTTTCTGTTGTTAATATTCACAGCTGAAGTTTACCCAAAAAGTAGCTGAAAGTGCGCACATGTTTTTATCATAACCAACGAAGCAAATCATCTGATAAGCGGTGGGCACAAAAGCGAAGCCCTTGAGCACTTACCACGAATAGAAAGATCCATAAAATGACTATGCTATATTGGGTAAAGTTTGTCCACATGTGGTCGCCGACAACAAAACCACAGGATTAACTGAATGGCTGTGGAAATAATGTTCTGAATTGTCTGTATGGGACCATGACAGAATTTCACAAAAACCTAAAGCATACCTTGACAGAATACACCACTGAGCCTTGCTGCAGAGCATCTGGTGAATGAAGCCATTTCTTTTCCGTTGGGTTTTCTATTAAACGGCGTTCAATATAACGTTATATTAAAGTCTACATGGTTATAAGTGTTGTTCAATCAAACATTCACTAGAATTTTAAGTTCGAAACTCGCATGAATCGACTCAGCAATGAACATTACCTTGAGGTTTCCCTTTCTTAGGTCCCCGCTTTAACACAGAAGTCATTCTAACCTCCTTCCCCAAGGAAACAAGCTATAAAATGATCGTTTTGCCCTTTGTGAACGCTGAAATAACCTCACTCGAAGGCAACACGAAACTCGATCCCTTGTCAAGTGACTTTTCCTCCTGTAGTTTGTCAATAGAGACCTTAAGATACCCCGATATCGGTGTACGGGTACGGGTAGTGTACCCGTACACGTAAAATGTTCATGTGCGTGACTATTTCGATTAAGATACCCGAAGAACAAGCACGCAAAATTAACTTCGTACATGCATGTCGCTTAATGCATACAAAATCTCCCTCAAATTCTACACTTCATATCTTAACAACAAGCTGCAACAAATAATTGATTCATACATAAGCTTATTGAAATATCATAGAAAGATTTTAAGAAACTTGGCGGGAAGTCCCTCGACCGAAAGCTTGTTATCGCAAACCCGGGCATTTTGATCGATGCACATCACCAAACAATTCCTTTGATTGTCAACTTCAACAGTGACTCCCATGCTAAATATTTCAATGCTATTTCTTTTGCGAAACTCAAACCTTCGAGCAATTTTCAGAAATCCCCCCAAATACCGCCACAAATTGATATCGTTTCAGAGTTCAACCTGCGCATTTGAGGTCCAAAATCACTATACATTTTGAAGCGCTTTCTTTACAGCTAAAATTCAAATTTGGCAAAAATATTTGAACAGACTTGCAATAACATTGCCAAGGAGTCATACAATTTACATTTGTACTTAAAAAGTCTTAAAAACTTACTCGCTTCTCCATCATGTAGGACTTGCAGCTACTCGTAAATCTTCTACGGGTAAACTGGTGTCTACCCCGGAAAAACGGCTGGTTCTACCGGGTAAGGTCGATGACGTCACCACAAAATGGAAAAAACATGGCGCTACCCGTTACCCGTACACCGATTTCGGGGTATCTTAAGGTCAATCATTGCCAATATTATTTTGATTCCGCGCCAAATTGTCAGCGGCTTTACAATAAAACATTACTACGGTTGTGTAAGCGACTTCCTTTCTCCTACTTCCAGGTCAGGAGCTCTTCCTGTTGCACGTGGAATTGAAATAGGAGACGTCTTCCCGTAGGCTACAATTGTACTTCCTTTCAATTAAACTCTCGTGGCGGGGGTGGAGAATCCCACATAAACGTGATGGTGATGCCCGGGAGTACTCCCAATAATAGCCTAGACGGGGAGGTTCCGCCCGAAAGGGGTACCTTTTTCAGGTTTCGGGTACAACTTGTTTTAGTTTAATACTTATAGAACTTCAACCGCAACTGTGTTGGCGAAACGACTTAGATCGTGTGGGCGAATCGACCTGAGTGTAGGCGAAACGACCGACATTCCATGAAAGGGTAGGGATCAGGGGCTCCTGGTTGAAGTATATGAAAGGGCAGGGAAATCTGTCATTGCAGTCTGTGAAAGGGCCTACGTGACAGGTGCAAGACAATAAAACTTTCAGTGGTATGTGATTGATTCATCCTCTAAAAAAAGACAGTGCTTTTTACAGTAGATGGTATACGAAAGGGGCCCCTTTTCTGGCAAAAATGGTAAATAGAAGGGTGAGGGGTTCGACCTCGGGGCGGGGCCTCCCCGGATAAATATTTCTTGAGTACCTTCCCCACCAGGCGAGGATGTTCGTCGTCTAGCTCGGGGGTAGAAATCTCCGATTCTGATCTCTATTACATGAATGATGTTCAGGGACACAACTAACATTTTTACCCATAAAGGCATCGGCTGGAGCAAGAGAGACTGAGTTGGTCAATCATCTCTTGCATGCTTAGGGTTGTGTGCTTCAAATTGCAGTATGGCATTGTCTCCTTTAGCTTTAGTTTAGGGGTTACGTGCGCGCCAAAATTGGTCACCTTCCCCTAATCCCCTCCCCACCTAGTCCACCTACCGTGATGAAAGATTTCCTTATTTACTTGGAGCTACAATGGATGTTACGAGATGAAGTAAATACTTTACTACACGAGAAAAGAAGCCACTGGTAGTTGCAGCATGCCGTTATATTTATATAGACTACGAGTAGTCCCCCATTTTTCCTCAGGGGTAGTAGAGCGAGCGAAACGCAAGCGCGCGTGAAAATCACCCCACGCGAGAAAAGGCGACTACTCGTAGTCTATATTTATACGTCCTATAGACCTATTATCAGGCAGAATGTTATATATAGAAGTTCTCATACATTTTTTTTTACTAGGAGCCGATTTCCTGTTTGCGTACGTGGTCGCGCTTGCCTACCAGAATTGTGTTTACCAAACAGAACGAAAAAAGAGCCTGATCTCAGGTTATGACGTCCTATTTGAGTACTCACATTTCTTTTGTATCAGTCTGCTATATAGCCTCCCCGCAGACGTCCTTTGGGGTTCGTTTGTCACGCATTCATTTCTCCCCCAAACGAAATAAACGAACCCCAAAGGACGTCTGCGGGGAGGCTATCTGCTATATAGTTTTGATTAACTTATTCCCACTGGGGATTATCAACCCCAATAATCCATCAACTTCGAAACATTTCTATATTTGAAGACATCACAGGCTAATACTAAGTAACTGCGAACTTGACTGTGCTTGTCTCGGCAACATCCGGTCGGAACACTGATCAATCGAGGGGAAAAAAAACACTATTTTGATCAGAATTGGCTATCGTCCCCAAAGTGGATAGTCATAGTTAACCACACAATCGAGTTGTTATACATTACCGTACATTTTCTCGCTTCGATATGGTGTAAATCAGTTTAAAGAGAGTGGCTGGCTTGGGTATAAAGGGACTTATGGTAGCCTCCCACGTAGACAAAGCCCTCTCTAGAACGTCTGCGTGGGAGGTAGCCTCCCCGCAGACGTCCTTTGGGGTTCGTTCGTCACGCATTCATTTCTCCCCCAAAGGACGTCTGAGGGGAGGCTACGTGGGAGGCAATGCAAGGGTCAGGGTGGGGTGACGAAATTTTGCTTGGGATAAATGACTCTAGTTTCCAACACTTGGGAAAGTCAAGAGTAGCCATAGAATGTGGATGAAAAGACATTGCCCCTGTTGTTTTAAAAAAGGCCCGACTCCGGCCTTTTTTACCACGCGAGCATGAAATACGTATGAAATGTCAGGAAAACTCTTAGATCGCTATCTGTTTTTTATTATAGTTGATTTGTATTAAGCGCTTTGTGGGGTTTAATTTGAGAAGTTTATACCGTTTCAATTATGTATTTAGGTTCTCCAAGTTTTCGCCTTGGTCCGCGTGGTGTGGCATTGGCGCTCATTTTTTGGATCAGATTTTCTAAGAATCCGCCACGGCTACCAAAGAGGGACTGAGACCTGTTCCCGGAACTTTTAACCCCGCTGGCTCTGCAGTCAATTGAGTGTCACAGATACGCCTATGTGGCAAAACGGACACTGGTTGTAGTGGCCACGGACGCACAGCAAGGTCCCAGCCCGTTTTCTAGAATACCCTTGGGACCCTGAATATAGCCCACGTTCGATTATTAAAACTTGACTTCGAGACTTTCTGGTCATTTTTCTGTATTTGGTTTGGTTTTCTTTGTGTTCAAGTCTACTTCTGGGATTTGCGAGACAATGGAGTCGTGAAAAATTTCGATCCGATATTGACCCGAAAGCCTCGACGCTATGTTACAATTTTAATATATTGAACGCGGGCTAATGGCCAGCGGAAACTGAGAAAACATATGCGCACAGTAGACCACAGGAGACCCTGGGGTTAAACCCTGGGGACGAGGTTGCATGAGCAAAAATGGCGGAAGATTTGACATAACTTCACGATTAGGATTTTTCATAACCAGCTGACGATATGAAGAGATGCAAATCACATTCTAAGAGAAGAACTATTGTTCCTGACTCTCACGTAATAAATGAAGTACAAAATGTGTTACGGGGTCGAATTTTTCATGGCGATATTCCGCCAGACTTGCATGGTTTAGAAGAGCAAAAGAGGTAAGCAAACTGATTTGGACATACAGTATGTTGTACCCCCCGTTGAATAGAAGTCTCATACCAGTTTTTGCACTCTCAGTTTAATCTCTTATCCTTAAACTGCTTAGCTCTGTACACTGAAGTTCACTAAACTTTGACTGTGAGGAAAAAAACCTGGTACATCGGAAATCGATTTAAGTCGATCATCAAATTTCGTGTGATTGTCGATTTCTATCGAAATTGGTGTTAGAGTTCGATTCTATCCGAAAACTATTGGTAGTTAAAAAAAGCGATCTGAGGCAATAGTTTCAATATCCGTTTGCAAATTTTGAACAAGTCACCTGTTTGAAAAGTGTTGACAACTATTAACAATTATTATTGACAAATATCAAGCACTATCCACTTATCGACTAGCTTTCCGAGGATCAATTTCGATGACATGATGACATGTAATGTCCTGTTTTCTCACGCCTTGTGGTCGTATTTAGATCTGTTCTATTTAATGGTTCATCTGACCTATTTACCAATCATTTCAATACAAGTCGTTTTGATACAAGTTTATTGAGTGGAGGTGTAAATGATTTCACATACTTGGCTTAAAGAACAAAGAGTATTCACCCAAATTATTTTTCTTTTTCACGTGCAAACAACACTTGAAATGAACAAAATTTTTTTGCAATTTCACTGCTTGAGTTTGTATCAAAACGACTTGTATTGAAACAACCGGTTTCCCTATGTAAACTCAAAAATTTTCTCAAGGGAGTTACATAGCACTTCTTTAACACTGTAACTTGTGCGGAAATATGCAAAACACAAACTGTGGATAAATTACATTTTTGGCAACTAGACTATCAGTACAGAATACAGGGCCATATTGTAAGGAGTGTAACAAGCCATAATTATTAACAGAAAAGGTTGTTATAATTCAGTAAGGTGGGAGCAAGTGGCTCTGTATTCTATTGTTTTGACTAAATATTTCCTCATAGTAAGTGTCTCTAAGAGTGAAAAAAAAAATGCACTTTTTATTTGAGTGTCAATGTATTTAGCACGAAAGTACTAATTGGGGACACTATATTTTATGTCTGCAACTGGAGACGGGACCGCCATTTTATGTGGTCATCCGAGCCACGCGAAGGTCTAGCCTGTTGCAGTGCAAAGGGAGCACCTTCATTTCTCGGTTATTTTAAGACCCTAAGTATTGGTCTGGCCCCAGGAATCGAACCCGCGACCTCCCGCTCTGCAGTCAACACGCTCTACCAACTGAGCTAACACTGCCGCGGTTACACTGCCGCGGTGAATATACTGAATAGCTTCATGCATAATTGGTTTCATTTCATTCCTTACTTCTTTGTCACCAGGGAATTGCTAGATCTGATAAAGCGATGTGCACAATACGGTGAAAGTAACTCTGTTTTACTGATTGGTCCAAGAGGAAGTGGAAAGTCACTGGTAAGAACTCTGTCAAAGTTCTGTAATACAGTGAAACTCTTGCTAATTGTCTGTCTTATAAGAGCCATTCCAGCCTTGCTTACAGAAATCGCAGTTTTTTTGTCATAGTAGTTTACACCGATTCTGTGCGGCAGCAACTACTGAACTTTAATTCCTTGGATTCTTTGCTCTACCTATTGGATTGCAGATTAAAGAAATTGAGAATTTCCATTGCTTTATCTTCAGCTTGTCAAGACCATTCTGGAGGATTTATATAAAACAAAAGGGGTGAAACAGAACATGTTGGAAGTTCATTTAAATGGTAAGATCGTGTAGCATGATACATCATATTGCCTTGTGCACTAAAACTCAAAAAAGGAGAAAAAGGAAAAATGAGAGAAAAATTTTCACCTGAATTTAATTTTGTCCTGTAACATACATGTGTATACGTAACTTAGAAATTGCATACAATAAATTCTAAGCCAAAAAGTAGATGTGTTAGGACTTTTTCTTGAAAGAGAGCCCCTGTGGTTTGACTCTCATAAACGACCACCTCCTCCCATAAGCAACCACTAAATCTTTCAATTTTGGGAGGTTCGACTGCATTTCATTTCAGAAACCAGTGGGTTGTGAAACAACATGTATGGATAGACTTGGTATAAACTGGGCCACTCACTGGTTTTAGTAAAATCCAACTAGTGGTCTATTATCAATGCTGCATTCTGAGAGGTTGAGTTACTACTAGGCTATATGTTATAGCCCACTAGTAACGAAAAGTGCCGGCTTTGAAAACCCAAACAATGGCAGCTCAATCACATTTCTGCTAGCTAAAGTTGTTTTTGTCTCGCTATTTTTGACCAACTAGTTGGATTTTACAAAAACAATTCCTCTCGCCCTCATGGCCTCTGAGTCAACAGCCGATGAGGCCAAAGGCTGAATGGGCTATTGACTCTGAACCCATTTGGGCTCAAGGAATAATAATGTTAAATATTCAGCAGCCATACACTGTGCTTGTTTGTTTGAAGGTCATGGCTAAGTAAACAACTTGGGGTTTGAATGACTTGATAATGAGCTGGACAATCGCAGTGGGTGATTGTTATTATTATCATTATTTTATTATTATTTTTATATAATGTACAAAATGTATTAATTTTCCAGCAAAAGTGATTTTCATGCATGGTCATCTGAAATCTTCAGATTCAGGTGTAAAACCTCTGTTGCCCGAGAAAACAGCCAAAATTTGTGATGCCACTAGTTTCTTCACTAATGATGCCTGACAAGATCTTGATAGTGCTTCTGTTTGGTCATACCACTCAGGAATTTTGTTTCAACCAATCAGAAGCCCTACCCTGCTCTTTTGAAGCTTGATGTTTATGAACTATTCCTACCTATGGGGTGGGCAGTTATTCAAGGTGGATGCTAATTTGAGGTTAGGCACTTAATCTAATAAATACGGTGTTGATTGTTAGGCTTAGTGCAAACAGATGACAGATCAGCTTTGTTGCAAATAACAAGACAACTGCAACTAGAAAACACAGTAGGAGACAAAGTATTTGTAAGTATTTTGATAAGAGTATGATATTTGAGAATTTAAGGAAAACTTCAAGAAAACCTGGATTGGATTGGATGGGATCAAACCCTTCAACTTACTAAATGCGTGGTTCATACAAATATCTTGAAAAGGTCTTGAATTTCACTAGTCATCTTGAAAAGTCCTTGAATTCGGTTTAGGTCCTTGAAAAGTACTTGATTTCTTTATTAGGTCTTGAAAAGTCCCTGAAATTTGCAACCTTGTCTACACAAGACAACTTTTTCAGTAAAATTAGATTGAGGAAAATTTGGCTCATCCTTTGTGTATAAGAACCTGTAAAACTCATGGGTAACATGAAAACATTTTTGTGCATGAACAATAGTTTATTTCTGTTTCTTTGTTTCAAATGCTATTCTGTACCTCAGATGCAATTACAAGTCATACCCAGTTATTTTGCAAAGTCTTGTTGCGGAAAGTAGTATGGCCGAAGAAGTAAAAAATCATAAATGACTCCATGACGTGTTTGGGCCAATAGCGTGATCAATGCTTAAGGGGAATTAAAGAATGCCGATTTATTAAGTAAATCTTAGTCCTTGTAAACTGTAATTTGTCCTTGAAAAATCCTTGAAATTTGTTTGTCTCAAGTTGTACAAACCATGTAAATGACAAATATTGAGGGGCAGAGTTGCTACCATTGATCCAGTCTAAATCATTCCATGTTTTTTTACTTGTTTTGCGGTGGTTTTGAATCAAATCCAGGATGGGCTGGAACACAGTTGATGACATGTTGCTGCAACACATTCTGGTAACCAACTACTCCTTCTGAACAGCAACAAATCGCAGCAACATATCACTTCGTGTGTATTGGAAAATATTTTCGAAAAATCTTTGTCCCTGTGATTGATAGATTTAGATATGATAGATAGGTACTTTATTAAGTACATTGCAGCATAAGCTGAATTGCATATTTACATAATGATAATAATTTATACTAACAATTGTAAAAATGGGCAATAATTGTAATAGCTAAAACTAAAAACGTATAATAAGAAACCTAAAAATTATTTACAATTCTGCCTGAGGCCATAAAAAAACTGTTCTTAAATCTATTTGTCTTGCAACGAGGCAAAGTCAAAGTGCGCGCGTGCCTTAGATTATAATTGCTCTTATATGGAGGCAGCAACAGCTTTCTTAGCTTGTGGTTCGGGTCGCTCATTATGCTTTCAAACGTGCGTGTGCAAATGTTGTGGTGATGCTCCGCAACCGTTGGTAAACTCATAAGCGCTAAAGCTTGCTGATATTCTATACCAGGACATGTTGCAATAAATCAAACAAAACCAAATCTTTTTTAATTTGAGTAGCTTGTTGCAGTGACAAAATTATGTTTCAGCTAGTAAACACAAAGCAGTTTGTCGCAATATAGGTGACACCAGGCGACCTGTCAGGTAATGTGTTCCAACCTTTGCATCCTATTATATGACATACAAGAAGACATAACACTTTTGGGCTTGAATTTCAGTTTGTCCTTTGAACAAGTAGCACTCAAATTTTGGCGTAACCATTGCCGTTGAATCCTTGTCTAAATTTATTTTTCTAGTCATCCTTGCTAACTAACGACAGGACTTTTTCGAGCTCTGCCTTTACATCAGTTTTCATTGTCCAAGTTCTCCATCTAATGTCACTGTTTAATCAGACAATAAAACCACAGGAATAAAGGGAAAAAAGCAACTCCATTTTAAACAAATTCTCCCAAATCTTCCCCATGTGAAAAAGGTGTGGAGAATTTCTATGATATCAGGGCCTAAAGGGTTTCATTAAAAAAATATCTTCTTAGTCAGAGGGAAAAGTTCATTTTTTAAATAAGCACAGACTGATGCCAATCAAAATCTGGGGACTGACTCTTCCAGTAGTATCCCATCTCCTCCATAATCAACCCATGCAATTTACCCAGATACACACAAATCAGCCCAATCCCTAAACCATAACATAGGTGTGGCTCAGAAAATTGTATTAAAGTCTTACACTACAGAACGATCAACAGTAGCTTCCATGATTGTAATAACAAAAATAATCTTTGTCCATGATGACAGATATGCAAAGATGTCACTAATAAATTTTTAAAAAACATACAAGGCAATTAAAAATCAAATTTGTTTTGAATTTTGGAGAAATTTGGGGCAAAAGCAAAGAAGAGCTCAAAGGACTTTTTTATCCAGGAGATTTTATTAATAACATGAGAGATTTGTGCCATACTCGGGAAATTCAATCCTGATAATATGAGAGTTGGCTTATATGTTTGTAATGTTGCACATGATTTTAGATAAATTGTGTTTTTTAAAAGGGCATTACTCATGGTTTGAAGCCTCTTAAAAAGGCTATCCTCTTTAAGTTAATATTACCAGTTGCCCAATAAAATTGTTAAATATTGTTTTTCATTAATTTTCAGGGCTCCTTTGCTGAAAACCTTGTCTTCTTACTAGATGCACTGAAAAGTGGTGGGTGTTTATATTCATCTGCTGGAAAAAGGACTTAACGATAAATGACTTTTGATAATAGGGCCATTTATACGAGGAAAAATAAGACGCGTCTTAAATAAGACGCGAACTGTACCATTTATACGAGCATGTCTTATGTAAGACAAGAACAGCTCGTATAAATGGTTAGCGTCTTATTTCTGTCCTTGACTTGTTTTCATGTGAATGTCGCCCGTAGCAACAGCAATCTGAGGTGGCGCGCCAAAAATTAACGCATGCGTACTATGTGTTTGCGTCTCATGTAAGAAGCGAAGGTCATTTATACAAAGTTTTTCTCATCTTAGCTAAGCCGCGTCTTATTTTAGACGAAATGTGCCGTTTATACGGAAAGTTCACGTCTTATTTAAGACGCGTCCTATGTAAGAAGCGTCTTATTTTTCCTCGTATAAGTGGCCCTATTATGTCAAATTGTCTCCAGTCTTAGGAGCAACCATAAGGCAATTTGGAATGAGAATCTAGCAAATGAACTTTCTTTGTGTTTATAGTCCTAACCATCTCACTCCATCCACAAAATAATAGAGTGCATTGCATGTATACCTAAGGAAGTATACTTGTCACCTTATGCAGTTGAACTTCCATGAAGTAGCCACCCTCAGGGTAACAGCAAGTCACTGCTTGATGAAGGGTGGCTTCTCAATAGGGTTCATCAGAAATTAGCATTATATTTAGCAGAAAATCACTTTATTCTGAAACAAACACCTTCAGGGGCTTGTATAACGTTCACCCAAGAGATAGCTCTTATGTTACAAAGACGCAAATTATTCTCAAAATGTTGTGATGAAGTTCTCCCAGCTTAACACAAACCAGACCATAAACTATGGCATAAACTTTATAACCAGAGAAGATGGAAGTGCTTATACAGTAACTAATAAAAACAACAGAATACTGGTCCATAAACATTTGCCAATTTCTATAAATAGCTGTATTTTTCTTCATCACAGTTTCAAAACAAAGCCAAACTACATGCATCATACACTTAGAATTATTCTATTCTGTGTTCTACATTATCCTTTCTTTTGCATTGTAAATAGCTACAATCCTGGACAAAAGTCCTTGGGACAGTACCGCAATATGCATATTTTTCTGTCATTTCTCGGTTTCCTCTTAAAACAGTGCATCATTTTCGAAATTTTCTTGTACTTCTCCCTCCCCCCACCCTATACAAAGTTGAAACTCGGAAACAATTCTGGATACACGTGTCCAACATTGTTTGTGGGGTGAAGGGAGGGGTTGGACCTGTGTGAATTGGAAAACGCCCCAGAAACGCAAAAGTGTCCCAAGACTTTTGTCCATGATTGTAGGTTATAGGTTATATAATTATTATATTTATTAAAAACTGAATCATTGGATAATGTAATTCTAGAGCTCTAGTTGACTTAGCCATCATGACATTTGAGCCATTACATACCATGCTCTCCAAAAATGGTAATTGAACGCGTCTGCTCAAAATTAAAAACAACCTGAAAATCGGTTGTGTTTAAAAATTAATTCGGGAAGAATTCTTGATATCTTGTGGGCATTTGTGGGCATTTTGTGGGCATTTGGCACTTGTTGGATATGTGATGATTATAGCCAACTTGACACTATGCGCCTTGTTGGCTATCTACCATCTCATATCCAATGCGCACTCGTGGAATACACTGTAATTTTTTGTTAAATATACGTTTTTAATTATCTTAATTGAGCAGATTAGGAGCCATTCAATGGATTTGCTGAAATAAAGCTATTATTATTATTAGAATTAGCAGTATTCTATTCTTTTTGGGATTACTAGCCGCTTGAAAGGGCATGGCTGCCAAATGGAGGTTTAAAGTTCACTATAGTTTGTATTTACAGGTGGCCAGGAAAGTCAATCAGTCCTGTTTATTCTGGATGAGTTTGACTTGTTTACAAACCACAAAAATCAGTCATTGCTATACAACCTGTTTGATGTGTCACAGTCTGCCCAGACTCCCATCTGTGTAATTGGGCTCACTTGTAGGCTGGTAAGTCTGTGCTGAAATGTATATTGTTAGTGTATTGTTGTTCCTTCTAAAGCACAGTAATTGACTAGAAGAACATTATGTGCACTCTTTTAGATGTCCCTCTCTAATAAACGCACCGTGACAATTACTCCACAATACTAGCAAATAGCAAAAAGGAGCTAAATCATTCAATTTATTTATGCAGTTTCCTGTTTGTTTAACAATGGGTTGTGCATTACTTCTTGTTCAGTGTCGAGTTCAAAGTAAGGATACAACTGTAGGTTAACTATGACAATACAATGACCCTGAACAAAGATTCTGACTTCAAAGTTGAGATTTGAAAGAGAATATGGCTCTCTAGACGACGTATACGTATTACGGATGGACTGGATATTCTGCTGTTCAAGAACTCTCCTCAAATTTTTGCCGAAAGCATGTTACTTTTGTGGAGCTTGTTACAGCTAATGAGAATTAATGCTTCTCTTTTTTAAATGCCCCCTCTTGGACCCCTAAAATTAAGTAAATGCCCTTGGCATCTACATATAGGTCATATATGATAAGTCCTTTTTTTTTTTTTTGCCTGAAGGATGTCGTAGAACTTCTTGAGAAAAGGGTGAAGTCCAGGTTTTCACACAGACAGATCCATCTTTTTAACTCAGGGACATTTAATGATTATCTTGAAGTTGTTAGGTAAGTATATTATTAAATTATGGAAGTTGTAGTAGATAGTATTTACTGAGTTCATTTCAAACATTTGACAGTCTTTATCCTGAATAACTGATATTTTTAGTGGCAAAAAGTACGATTATCTTCCAAGAAACATAAGGGGTGGATGCAGGTTTTTGTAAGGGTGGCTGGTACCAATCGACCACAAACAAAACGTGAAGTTTAATTTGTCCTGTGGCATCCCTGAAATGTGCCGTTGTGAAAGGATGTTGAATAGGAACCCTTAACACCGCAAATTCTCATCATGCCACAAAATACAATGTAGATTTTCTGGCAGAACGCAACATTATGCATAGCATGAAAATAAAGTGCAAATAAAACTTTAGTAACAAACATGTTTGTTGGCCAAAAGGGGGGGAGGGATGGTTAGCCACCCAATCCACCTTCCCTGGTTCCACCCCTGAACATGGGTTTAAAATTTGGAGTTTTTGCTTCTATTACAATCGACAAAATGAATATACAGTTGTAGTGTTCTAAGGCATAAGTTAACAATTTTTTGTTTACATTATAGGTCTGTTTTAACATTACCATCAAGCTTTAAAGACAGACAATTTGTTCAAGCCTGGAGTACCCATGTTGCAGTAAGAATCTGAAAGTTTGTTTAGTAAAATTGAGAAACCTTATTTTTGTTGACACCTGGAAAAGCTTAAATATTTCATGTTCAAGTACCTTTTTTTTTAAAAAGAGGTGACCTTGAGTCACCAGCAGTGCATGACAAGAAATATCTCAGTGTATATTCTTATGATGTCCTCAGCCTCTACAAGCAGGGGAGGCAACATCTGAATGTGTTTTTTAAACCTTTCACTCTCAAAATAAATGGCCAAAATTCACCAAAGTTTCCACATTTCATTTTGTAAAAATCCTGAAAAAGCAAAATAGTACTATGTGAAAGCAATTTTTAGCCTGTCATTGTGTAGCAAGCATTTCCAGTTGAGTTATTGCACAAAAAATGGAGCAAGAGCAAAAGAAATGGAATATTGAAGGAGGAGGTGGAGGGGGAAAGAGCAAATGCTTGCCCACAAACCCCACGATTCTGGAAAACAACCCTTGATATTTCACATTTCAGTTCATTTGTAAATATTGACAGCTTGTCAACATAGGAGCCAGTAACATGAATAAATGACAGAATAGATTACCAGATTTGTAAAGTTAACTTTGTTCTCATTAAAACCTGCTCCACACAAATTCAGAAAACTATAATTTTATATTAAAAGTAGCTTAATGATACAAAAGGATTGAACTCACAGTTTTTCAGAATCATGGGGTTTGCAGGCAAGCGTTTCCTTCTTTCCCCTCCCCCTCCCCCTCCCCCTTCATTCCTCTTCTTTTCTCCCGTCCCAACTTTCTCAACTAACTCACACGGAGACATTTGTTGCTTTGCAGGCTATTTAAATAACTTGAAATGGTAGTGCCCATAGCTCAACTTATAAAATGTTTTGATTTTTTTCTTCGTTTTGTGTTTAAAGGACCTTTTAGAAGACAGTTCTTCACGGGCAGTTCTCAAGAGACAATTCAGCATTGCAAAGGACATTAGAAGTTTACATCAACTTCTAGTGAGTAACTGAACTCAAACTTTAATCATTCTAAATGCCTATCTTGTACAAAATAGACCCACTCAAATAACCTAGTCAAAAATATGCAACAAAGAAACAGTTTGCTGCGAAACAGAATATGGAGTCATTATATTAGCCAAATTCGTTGTATCGCACTGTGGGTTTTGTAAACCTCAAAGGAATTTAGGGTGTTTCTGTTCCGTCAATCATCTTAGCGAACCTCTTAGGAAACACATGTTTACTTGTGATTGGTGCATTTTGATCCACTTTGTTTGTTTCTGTGTTTCAAGGTTCGCTGCTTGTGATCGCCCTGTTTCACACTGTTTCAGGCAATAATTGACTAGTTTTCTTCGAAGCTTTTTATGATCTTTCTTATCCTTGCCTCTTGCAGGAATAAAGCAACGTCTGCTTCCTGCCCTCGACAAAAATTCCACTCATCATCGTGATTTCCTTCTCTATTCTTGACCACTTTAGAGTCATTCTCAGTTTTGTTTTTGCAGGCCATTAAGCTGGGCGAGTGTGGTGCATTGCAATTTGCATTAACTCCACCCCCACTCACTAATGATTGACAGAACAGAAAAACCCATTCGAAGTTTGCAAACACGCAGCGCGATACAACGAATTTGGCTTAAAAGCTCTTGATCATTTTTCTCTCTGTCAAGGTACAGCAGGATCCTGGGGAATCTAGGGTAAATGTTACAGTGTGTAACTGGGGAAGGAAAGTAATGCCATATTCACACCAACTAAACATGTTTAATTAAACCAGGTGTTAAGAAAAGAAAAACAGACACGGGAAACTGAAACACAGGTTTTTACAAAGGATTCAAATGTAGTTTAGCATATTTTGTAATAATTTTGCACCAAATTTGCAATCAACTTAAGTCAGTAAGCAGCTTTTATGAAGGGAACAATTTTAAACTGTGTTTAAGTAAACAGCTTTTAAACACGTTTTAACTTTGGTGTGAATGAGGCTTAAGTTTTAGTTTGAATTATTAAGAGGCTCAGGAAACTAAGGGTTAGAGAAATTAGGATTCTATTGTCAGTATTCCATTTTAAAATAATATAGAATTGCTAGTAACAGTAAGTTAAGTGAGGTTCATAATACTAGTTTTGAATTGTTTTTCAATCACTGTTTTTCTTACGGGGTATTAATATTATTTTGTAAATTGCTTTGATCTATTGCTTACTAATAACCTTTTACTTCCAATAACTATAATTTATTACAAACTCTTAATACAATAAAAGGACTGGCTATGTTGTATGTTCTTTGCCTCTGACTAAAATCAATAAACGCTTGTTTTTTTAGGCCTTTCCAGTTTGCAGCCTTTCTCCAGATCACCCATTTATTGACCCCAAGGATCTAGTTGATGCACAGCTCAAGATGGGAGTGGATTGCAAGACAGCAATGTTGTGTGGTGGGTTCTTTATGTTCATGTTTTACTATACAACAAATAAAAGAACTTGAAAAAATTCAAGCTTGACCGGAAATTGAACCCTGACCTTTGTGATGACCAGAAGCAACACTCTATCCACTCTATCTATATATGAGTTCATTGTAATATACTGTACCTGATAGTGGAAATGACATAAATTGAAATATCTTTAATGAATGATATTATTTTGAACTACGGATAAAGATATGAAATTGAACATGATCTCCACAGTAGACTGAACAACCTAAGTGGTTGAAAAATAATTATTTTGTTATAATTATAATTAACATTGAATTAGTGCTGGTCAGTTGGTTTAAGACCCTTTAAGCCCCAGTATCCACATACAAATTCTCCAAACTGATCTCTATACATTTCCTTAATTGGTTAAAGAATAAGTTGAAAGAATTTGGAAGAGAAGATCAAAGTATTTTCTCTTAGGTGATTATTTCATCAATTCTCACAACCTTTTCTCTTGACTATGTATGGATATTGTTAGGAGAAAATAGATGTTTGTCACTTTGGAACTTAAAGGGTTCAAGGAGATTAGGTTGAGATGTTGTTAGTGGAAAGGGGGTGGTGGTGAAAATTATAAGCTACAGTCAATCCTCTTTACAATGGTCAATTTGGGGACTGTGGTAAGGAACCATTGTTGAGAGATCGCCATTATGGGGAGGGAAGGAGTAACACAACACCACTTTGGGACAAGCGCTGACATGTAAATATTTTCAAGAAGCTTATTTTATTCTATTAACATTACCAAAATATAAAAGAAAAATCAAAAGCATAGGACCAACATAATAGACAGAGGGATCGATCAATAGATAGATAGACAGACATGCGGAAAGACAGATGGATGAATGGACAGACAGACAGACAGAAAGACTGACAGACAGATAGACAGAGCGACAGACAGGCTGGCAGACAGACAAACATGCAAATGGTCAAACAGACAGATAGACACACCTGCAGACAGACAGGCAAATGGTCATACAGACTGACAGATGGACAGAATGAATGAATAGCGAAATGAATCACCTTCATTTCAAAATAAGGCAATTGGGCATTGCTTAAATTTTTTAAATAATTGCAGTTGAGCTTCCCTAAAATGATAATTCTTTTGATTACCAGTAAACATCAAAAATGCGGACAAGATTTTCTAGGCTCTTAGAGAAACCCTTTTTACAATTTGGAGGTCTATAAGCTGCTACAGCATTAACAGCCGTACTGTTTAGCTTGATAATTTCAACTCTCAGCATAATGCAGACAGAGAGAGAGACCTGCAAACAGACAGACAAATGGTCATAGGGACATACAGCCAGACAGATAGACAGACAAAGTCAAAGGGTTGTAGTGAGTACATAGTAATGTACATCATTTTCTTTTAACCCTTTAAGCCCTAAGATCAAAATTTGAATTCTCATTTGTTGCCCGTATTCATTTCCTACAGAAGTAAAGGGGAGAAGTTGATAAAATATCAAGCAAATTCATCTTATGTGATCATGTCCATAATTCTCATGACCACTCTGTGTTACAAAGCATTGATATTACAAGGAGAAATTTGATGCTGATCACTCTTGGGGCTTAAGGGGTTAAATTATGCACCTATCAATGTAAATCCCGGGGGGGGTGCGGGCAAGGGGAGGGGATTTGATGCCTGAGACTATCCCCATGTCGGGCTTTTGATCGTGCGGAGCGACCCCGGGGTCGGGACATTTGACTTTGACCAATAGAAGCCTGGTATCAATTCAGAAGCAGTTACCAAGTCCCTCGGTTACCAAGTCCCTCAAGGCTTTCTAAAAGTCACGCTGTTGGAGAAAGGTATGAAGTTTTCATTTGTGTTAATTGCCATAATCTGATACTTTACACTGTCATCTAAACAGATAATGTCTATTTTGAGAAAGTTTTTATCTTCAAGTTCCCATCTGATTGTAAACCTCGATTGAAATCGAATTTTGCCATGAAAGTCAGAGGATTTTTTACGGGTCACTGATCTGACCTGTTCCGACATGTTGAGCAGATATAATAGCACGGTCAATCTTCCTGGAGCGATTATGTTGTTCAAAATAAGAGATGCTAGTGGAGAGAGAAAATACTTAATTACAGCAAGTAATTTAACGGAACTTACATTAACCTTACATAAAAGTAGTAAGAACGTACTTTTGAAATGTTCTTTTATTCGTTTTATATAGTATTATAGTATTGTTTGTTTAGATTTTTCCCCTGGAGTGGGGGCTTTTTTGACACTTTTGATTGACCTTTCGTTTCCCACCAGGGGGAATTTGATCAAAAAATTTTAAAATTTGTCAAATCCCCACCCCTTGCCCGCACTCCCCCCCACGGGGTTTACGTTGATAGGTGCATTACCTTTGGCAAACAACTTAGTGCCTGTTGCTGTTTCAGAGAGTGGAACAGCCATTATAGAGAGGTTAAAACAAAAGCAAATATATGGGGCTGTCCACTGGGACAAAATAATGTTATCGTGAGGCAAAGAGACAGCCAATCAGACATGAGGCAACTCAACTGCAAACAGCAATGGCAATTTGTTTGTTGTTTTGAAGTTTGCTTGTATGCCCTGAATTTTATAGTGATTGGTTAGTTACACACAACTGACTGGTCTGAATCAAATCAAAGTGTTCATGGTTCAGTACCATAGTGGCTAGGATGCTTTGAGTCAAGACATGTTGCTTAACTATGTACTGTCTCGTTGCTTCTTGCAGGTGTTTCAGTGCTGGAGCTGTGCCTCATCATTGCCATGAAGCATCTGACAACATTGCATGAAGGAGAGCCTTTCAATTTTGAGATGGTCTACAAAGGTATATAAAATATTTGGCTCTCCATAGCAACAGTGAAAAACAGTGCAAAGGCCATGAAAAACTGGTTTTATCAACTGGGTTCGAAGACAAGAAAATGACTCACTATTTTCTTTGTTCAGAATGAAAGAATATGGGTGCCATAATAGAGAGGTCATAGGACAGGGGGTATCATGCTAGGATAAACTTGACCACTCTAGGAAATGTAAAATAATAATTTTCTCAATATGTCTTTAGTGCACGTTTATTATGTATTTCCGCAGTCATAATATAGCGGCGGTTAGCTCGAAAGCTAAGCTTCTCTGACCACTGTATACTTCTACCCAAGCCATTAATTTTCTTTTCTTCCCCTTCTTCTTCTACTTTATCAGTGTATTCTTACCTTACTATATATAATGTTAATATTTTATAAAGTGTGAATAATAAATTGAATTGAATTAAATTGAGTGTCAAAATTCATTAGGGCTCTGTCCTCTTTTTCTACGGTGTAAATTATCTTGCCTGAACTGGAAACAAAATTTACAGCCAATTTTTGAACAGCATTGCCTCAGAGAGATGGGGTGGAATGCAGGCTCAAAAAATGACAGGGTTGGTAATTGTAGTCTGGCTGCATAGCAAACAAAAGTTGCTGATCATGAATAGGTCATGCAGCTTAAAAATAGGAAATCGTCTCTAACTCGTTACCACTGTAAATCTGTATAGATGTGTGCAAGAAAGACACCGTGAGCTCTATTAAGTGATAGTCTGTGTTTAAAAAATATTTTTAGCTAAGTTATTAAAATGTGTAATAATATTTTTATGTTAGTAACTTTAATGTACTTATCCCTTTTTCCTTTTTTCTTCTGTTAATTCATTTTGATATTTTTAGGTATTTAATGTCATACCATTAAAAGTTAAATATTCAGTTGTCTTATTTCTCTTCAACAGCACTGTTTATTCTAATGAAATTAAGCAATTTTTAATTTTCTTCAGAATATCAGAAATTTTCCCAGAAGAAAGGACATGCTGTTCAGTCATTTGAAAAACCTGTTGTTTTGAAGGTAATTCTTGTAGATTGTATAAAGCCATAAAAACCTTATTTTAGAACAAGGGAAGGGGTGTGTTAGGTAAGGGTACTGAATTCCTAATTCCTATACTATCCTGTTTCCTACCTCCTTGTCCAATACTATCCTGGTTTCTACCCCCTGATCCCATAAAATCCTGGTTCCTACCCCCTGATCCCATACCATCTTGCTTTCTACCCCCTGATCCGATACCATCCTGGTTCTTACCACCTGATCCCGTACTATCCTAGTTTCTACCCCCTGATCCCATACCAGCCTGGTTTTTACCTCCTGATTCCATAACATCCTGGTTTCTACCCCCTGATCCCATAACAGCCTGGTTTCTACCTCCTGATTCCACAACATCCTGGCTGCTGCCCCCTGATCCCATTGTATCCTGGGTCCTACCCCCTGATCCCATATCATCCTGATTCCTAGCCCCTTGTCTTATATCAACCTGTTTTCTAACTCCTGGCCTCATACCATCCTGTTTCCTATCCCTTGCTCCTGTAACATCCTGGTTCCCATCCCCTGGTCCTATGCCCTCCTGGTTTCTACCACCTGATCCCATACCACCCTTGATCCCATACCATCCAGGTTCCTATCCTCTGGTCCCATACCATCCTGGTTTGTACCCCTGCTCCCATACCAATCTGGTTCTTATCCCCCGATCCCACACCATCCTTGTCCTTACCCCCTGCACCCATACCATTCTTGTTGTTACCCCTGCTCCCATACCATCTTGGTTCCAACCTCTTTCTCCCATATCACCCTGGTTCCAGCTCCTTGCTTTCATACCTCCCCTATCCTTACCAGGACCCCCTTGCTCTCCCTGCTCTCTTACCATCCTAGTGTCTACCCCTTGGATAGTAGTCCCAGCTGGCTTTTAACCCTGCCATTAATGCACTGGAAAAAGTAGACATTGTACTTAACAGTTTCCATCCACCCACTATGGCTCTTACTCAGTATTTGAGAAAAGAGAAAACCAATAACTGATTTTATTCTTGGACCCCAATTTTTGTTTTTCACCTCTTGTACCATGGGAATCCGTCTTCCTGCCTTCAGCCTTCGTTATCTCCTATAGTCTTCCCTGATCCACAAACTCCCAGTCTTTGACTTCTCATTTCTCCAGCCTTACTGAATTGCATTCTTTACTTACATGCATGTAAGTCACCTGCAGGCTTTCAAAGCAATCATGAAACATTGATTTGTTTTGTATTTTCTTAAAGTTGATGAATAATTCAAATAAATGCAGTTTTTAAAAAAGATGTTTATAGGAAAACGTCGGAAAAAATAATTCACAATATTAATAAATACATTAATTCATTTAAGTGTTACATTATTTTATTGGTAAATAATTATTATGTTCTTCTCCCCAGGCATTTGAACACTTGACAGCTTTAGAATTTGTGAAGTCATTAGACAGCTTGGCCAAAAATACTCCTAAAGAATACAGACTTGTTACCTTATTAGTAGATCCAATGCAAATAAATGATGCTCTTCAAAGATACCCAGACTGCCCAACTGAAGTGAAGCAGTGGGCAATGACTGCTGTTGTATAAATTATTTTTTCGAAACTTCTTTGTGACATAGGGAATCATTGTATATCTGATAAATATAAGTGATTTACAATAAAAATCATTATTTCCTTAAAATTGAATTGAATGTCAATATTGTTCCTTTCCTTGACAGTGAAGACAAGCCTTGAACTATTTCATTACTAGGCTATTTCATTACTAGTTTATTTTTGGGGTGGGGTAGAAGAGGGGCAGACTCCCACTCTTTAGGAGGTAGCAGTTTGATTGCCCATCTCACTTCCTTCTCCCTAGAGTTACCAATTACAAACCTGTCCTCTCTGTGGGGCCAATAGTGCTAAGAGTTGGTCGCAACAACTTAAACAGAGTAGCAGTTCCACTACCACCAGTCATTGGACAAGACAACACTGCTGAATCCCCGAACCTGAACACCCATTAGTTCTTTAAATCCTAATACCAGTGTAATAACAACTTCATTTGAATCACAGAATCTTCTAGCTGGGGACTAGTGCCCTTGTTAAAATGACCATTAAATTATTCTGTGTACTGTTTATGGTATAAATGGCAATGTATTTTAGGTGATGACACATTTTCTTGCTTTTGATGGTCTCATTTTCGATCATTAAGTGATAAGCAAAGTTCTCCGATCTGCTGACTGTTGGAACTTGCAGGATTAACCTAGCAAAAAAGCCCATTAAAGAGAATGACAAAAGTGTAAGCTTATATTCTGCAAACTTTCTTATGTTGTACCAGTTATACATGTATTTCTATTTAAAAAACGTCCCACAACTCTTTGATTGAAATGACTGTAGTTTCCATATTTTTCCTTTAATGTTATCCCTGATTTTCTACCGGCGCAGCGCAGATCGGCATTGCTGTGATCACTTTTTATAACGTGCTCTTAGCTTTTTATATATGAAATGGAAACATATGCGAGATCATAAAAACCCTTGAAATGTCCTTTTCTGAATACTATCGAAAGAGCATGATTTTGAAAAAACAATTATTGTACAGGCTCTGAGAGCTCAGTTGACTACATGCAAATAAGAATTAAGGAGCGAAAATTAATTTTGCAAATACCGGTATGTCATTCTGGCCTACAGGTGGGTAGGGCGAAATCAATGCGGAATGCGGAATGCGGAGCCTTTTTAATGGCATCCATTTTGTGCACAGGAGAGTGACAATAAGGAACGAACTTTACTTTTTCTTACAATCAAAGCCCCCGTATAAAAAAGCGACCACCCAAAATTTATTTGGTTACCCAATACGCCCGTGCCGGAGGTAGCTTACGATCGAAGTTCAAGTGCTTGTGACCGGCAATTTAGTACAGTTTAGGATATCTTATCTGAAATGGTCACTTAAGAGTCGTGGTTTCACTAACAGTTTTAACTGTATGTCAGTCCGAAAAAATATAAAACGAATCTTTGAAGGCACATCTACAAAATTTTTCAATTTCGCTTATCTGCTTTCGGCGTCCGCCATCTTCATTGTGATGGGGGACGGTCACTGACCGAAAAAACAGTGTTTTAGGGCTCAATTGAGGAATAAGCCAATCAGAAGAGAAAAGAAGCACCGTGTGAACCAATCAGATTATAGCGCGCGAAACACCAACCAATCACCAGTGCACCAAACTAGCGGGAACTTCGCGGGACTGTTTGCTGTATGAAGGAAAATACAGTATAAGGAGTTTTACGAAGAGGTTTCTCCGAAACCTCGCTATTTTCTTTCGTTCCTAAATGGAAGCTTTCCAAAAGCTCGAGAAAATTGGAGAAGGAACGTATGGAGTTGTTTATAAAGCAATGGACAAAGAGACCGGTAGAACGGTTGCCCTGAAAAAGATTCGGCTTGATACGTGAGTAATATGCGTAATAAACTGCGCAATTAACCGAGTTTGCTTTATTAAGATTTTCTTGTTCCTATAGCTTGAAATATTTTAGCGAGAAATAAATTTATACCTGATATTTAAAGAGCAGTATAAAAGTCATTCTGGCCCTTAGCGGCGCAGAATATAAAGTTTAGAATGAACTGAAATTTGCTCTTTCAAAACTTGCTTTGTTTGCTCGTTAACTACGCTGAAAGTTCTTTTTATTTTTTCAGCGAATCTGACGGTGTTCCGAGTACAGCAATAAGAGAAATATCTTTACTGAAAGAGCTAAACCACCCTAACGTTGTAAGGTATGTTGCGCATAAATATTTGGTGCTCACTGCTGTAGAATGGCTTCCTACTACGCCGACGATCAATTAAGCTTATTTACGACATAAATCATATATTAGAGTAAGTTTGTACCGTTTTCTCTTCACCACTCGTGTATTTAAGACGAAATGTGTAGAGATAATTCTCTCTAAAGCGCCGACTAAGCATATATCGTAGTTGTTTATATCAAGTCGACCTTGACATGCATGCAAGCAAGGTAGGATTTCGATGAAAATACCATGCAGATACTTATTCAAGTCATACTCAGGGGGACGGACTTCACTGGACACGAAATAAACCTTCACGATAAAAAAATAGTCATTCCATCTTCGTTTTAGTTTGTTTCAAACAAAAGGCCTCTTTTTTAAATACCAGCATTTTACTATAAGCTACATCCGAGTGGTCGTGACTTGCTCTCCGGAGGTTAATAAAGTGATTGCGTGTGCGTTCATTCTTTAGCTCTTTTGAATGGCTTTTAAAAGCAAATTTATTTTAAATCAAATCATAAATTCTTATTTAGCACACCCAACATCCTAAAACTTAGAGCGCAGATGTCTAAAGACTGTTGTTCATTTTCTGACCGTCGGTAATCACGAGATAAGCGAACCGTATGAAGGCGACAAAATCATTAATTCATTGTCACCTATCAGACCCACGTGTTGAGTGAAAGAGCTGGTACCTTTCGTTCCATCTTTGAGAGTTTTTTGAACTGAGAAACTAACAATGAATGAAACCAGTTCTTGCATCATATTTTTGCAGAATTACTGAACACTTACAATGTAAGGTTTGTTTTTTACAATGTTTTTCTTATTATTTTGTTGCCTGGTATCTGCTTCCACATCAATCCTAACAAACACTATTCTACAAATTCCCTTCATTTTCAACTTCCCAGAATAGCCCTTTTTTAAACAAATCTTCTTTTTTTAAACAGCTTTGGTAAGATTTCCACACCGCCCCATACTTACATGTTTTGACCCTGTTATGTTCATATTAACTATTTGATGAAATACGATAATACTAAATAAGGGCCTGTTTATTTGGAGGTTGGAGACCGCAGATAGGTGAGGTAACCTGCTTAGGTGGGGTAACCCGCCTGTCCATATAATTTCTCATTTTAATTTGATCACATTTACATGATAGGTGGGGTGATCCGCTACAGGTTACCTCACCTACCTTGGGTCCCCACCTCTATGGAAACAGACCCTAAAACAGGGAATAGGAAAATGGAGACAAAACCTACCTTGAACCCTAATTCTCTGCTTTGTTCCCACTTTTCAATTTCTCGTTCCCCGCAATCGTTCCCCACTCCATGTTCCCCTTGGTAACATCTGTGTAAAGTAATATTAAATTGCTGCTTGTATGATAAATGTATGGAGTTGTACAAAAAATCTTACCCATAAATGCTGTTGCTTATGAACTTGTGATTAATTTACTTTGACTTTGACAGATTGCTAGATGTCGTTCACAATGACAAAAAGCTGTTCCTTGTCTTTGAGTTCCTTGATAGGGACCTTAAAAAGTACATGGACACTTTGCCTGCGAGTGGAATTTCATTGGCTCTAGTAAAGGTGAACCTAACTGCTCCTTCAACCTGTTGAAAAATGTTCTCATGTAGTCTTAACTACTACAAATTTGTACTATAGGTGAAGCAGCATTTAGAAGATTCCCTTGAGGAATTGTCTACTGCCTGCTTAATGTAGGGTGTCTACTTAATGCAGGTTTTGATGCATAATGTCACATTAGGTTGAAATACTATTCCAAAGAATGGGAGAAACATATGGGTTAAGGCTGGTTCTTTTATGCCGCCAAAGTAATGGTTTCATTTTCTTGAAAAAAAGGGAAATAAATTTTGAATCTGCCAGCTTTTTGGAGAGTGTCCCTATTTTTTGTGTTGACTTCCCATCATGAAGGAAGTAGACTGACATTACCCTTGTGAAAATAAGTCGCTTCTCATGAGACCTCTAACATGAGGCCAGTTCCTTTTAACATATTTACATTAAGTACCAGCTAATACTTACACCTTTTATTTTTATTTTCAGAGCTACCTTTACCAGTTGTTAAGTGGCATAGCATTCTGTCACTCACACCGAATCCTACACAGAGATTTAAAACCCCAAAATCTCCTAATTGACTCTCAGGGATCCATAAAACTAGCTGATTTTGGGTTGGCTAGGGCAATTGGGCTTCCTGTTAGGTCATACACCCATGAGGTGGTTACTCTCTGGTACAGGGCCCCAGAAATTCTTTTAGGATGCCGCTATTACTCAACACCAGTGGATGTCTGGAGTATTGGCTGCATATTTGCAGAAATGGTTTGTAGCTCATTTTTTATATACCTCAGGAATGGATCCACACCGGTTTCCACTGTTTTACAAAAATTGGTCAGAATTTCATCAACAAATTTATTTTTACTGAGAAAAACTTTCCAAGTTGAAATCTGGCCAATATCCTGTCTGATTGACTCGGAAACCCAGGAAAGCTTTCTTTAGAGAGTTAAAACCCCAAAAAATTTCACAGGGGTTCATGCCTCCCAACCCCCACTAGAAGCTTGCGCCTCCAGTACTTGTTTGGGAAATCAGTCAGTATTTTTCTAGATCAGCAGCTGTACATGTAGCTCTTTCCATCTATAAGTTTGAACAAGGACAAGTTACTTTAAAAATGAAATTCACCAGCAGAAATGGTTTGCGGGTCATTTTTTGTATTAATTTTTTTTATCTACTTGAGATTACATTTATACTTGAATTCGCTTAGCTATCAGTTTTAAAAAGCTAGGACATTTACTTTTGAGAAATGTTCACCACTCTTAATGGATGTGGTCCACAAAAGGAGTTGCCATATGACAGATCTTGTTTTTTACAGATTACAAGAAGAGCACTATTTCCAGGGGACTCGGAAATTGACCAGCTATTTCGAATATTCAGGTACTGAAGAAATGATGCCATTTTGGTAAAAGATGTGAAGGTTTATTATGGAATGAGGAATTAAGAATTAAATGAAATGAAGCATCTTCCAAGGAGATTAAGAAATCTGTGAAAAATGAAAAAGGTGATAAAAATCATTCTCCATTATTTCCAACAATAGGAAAACAACCTGTGAAGGAGCACAAAATGAGGAATAATGACGTTTCAGTTCCCTTACCATGCCTTTCCTCCTGTCCCCGAAAGAAATTTGGGTTAACCTCCTTGGATTGTCTTAGAAGTTAAATTCACATTCCTGTTCTTTAAAAAGCATTACTTATAGCCAGTACATCAGTTTATAATACAAATGTGCCAGTCCCATTGATGTGTTTCAGCTGTTAAAAGTGCTTTATTTTTTAATCAATATGATAGAACATTAGGCACTCCTGATGAAAGGTTATGGCCTGGTGTATCAGATTTTCCTGATTACAAAACATCTTTTCCAAAGTGGCCAGTACAAAATCTTTTACAAGTCATCCCTGCACTAAGTCAACCAGGTGCTGAGTTATTACAGGTAATTATAAATGAAATTATTTTTTTTGCAGATCAAAATAATAAAATTGCCCATTTTCTCACCAGCATTTGACACCAGACACTTCGCTGCACCACTGTAAAGTGCTCATTTTGATACATTACATCTACAGTTAAAAATTATTTATAATTTACACACTGATTAGCCTCCAAGGTCTTGTTGTCTTCCAGGACAAGAAAACATCTTTGAATTATTTTTGTCTTGTTTTGTTTTGTTTTTGCCATTGATAGTGAATTGAGTTTTATGAAAAATGTAAATATTACATTTACCCTTGGGCTAATTATAGTGCAGCATTTCTCGAAAGGTATGGCAATGCTGCAGTCTCATAAGAACATTGGGTTCAAATGAAAATGCTGTTATTACTTGTTGTCACAGCATTAAGTTTCAGTTTGAAAGTTTAAAAGCAATCTTTCCAGAGTTAAACAGTGAGGAAAAGGAACATTTTCTGTACTCCTCTGATCCTTCCAACCGACATCATAATTTTTCTTGTCTTCATAATACAGTGCAAACTTGAGTTACTATGCTTTTTTCCTTGCAGCAAATGCTCATATACGAACCAACCAACAGAATATCAGCAAGGAATGCCTTACATCATCAGTTCTTCAGTGATGTTAAAAGAAGTATACCCAAATGCTAACTATTTAAGTGCAATAACATATACATTCTGCACAATGGTTACTTTGTGGACTAGAGTCATCTCCATCATCTCTACATAATTGTATTCTACTGTTTAGCAGAACATGTATGGTGTTCAAAACACATTGATCTTTTGCATACGTCATCCATCCATAACATAATATTGTATCAAGAGCACTCTGGTTTGGCCAAGCGTGCTGGACTCGTGCAAGATTTACTAGCATAAAGAGTACAGCATACAAAAATAAATATTAGAAAAATTATTTTAAATAAAGTTATCAAATATCACATTCTTTTTTTCTGTCAGAGTGATTTTATGTCAATAAAGAATGCACATTTTGGAGGCTGCTCAATATTTTTCACAAATTGAAGAACAAACTTGGATAATAATGTACATACAGGATAGTGTATCCAGTGTTTCATTGTATTGTAGATACATGTATTTTCTTACTGAAATCAATTAAAAACCTTCACATTACTTAATTTAATGGAAAGTATTTTGGAAAGCCATTACTACTTTAAACATGAGGTACAGAAAGAAAATAAACAATTAAAAATTTCAGAATCAATGTGTTATGTACTTTGTTTTTGAATGATGCTGTAAGTTAGGCTGTCCCTGTTTAAACCTGTATCATAGAGGATACAGATTTCAATAGAGTTGCAACAGAACACCACTGCAGAGTGATTCCCAATATGTTTTTTCCCACACAATGAATATTGCTATAATAAGATGCCACGGCACTTTTCCCTTCTTAATCAATTTATGTTTGAAACAAAATGAAAAAGTAGACTATCCTTGCTTTGCGCACTTCTCTCCAAATTAAAGTCTTTCTCAAGACTACAAACTAACGAATGTGTAGTTATTTGTCATTAATTTTGTCAGCTGTACTGGCAGTGTTGTGTGCTTATGCACAAGAAAAAAACATCGGCACAGATTTGCATACTTGTTGTTAACTAGTCCTATAGTGCACAGCTATGTACTGTGCATCATATCACAGCCTTGGTATAGCAAAACAATAATGCATGTGCACTCATTTGTCATGTCTCAAGTGTTCAGCTTGTACACCCACAAGCGAAACACACATTGTCAGCACAGCTTTGCAGTCGCCTTGCCCAGCTATGTATTATGTATCATGGTCTTTTTAGTGTTATTTGTAGTTTGTACCATATTGTGGGAAAATGAATCACTGCAGCTCTACAATTTCATGGCTTTTTAAAAAAGGAAGCTCTAATCAAAACAAAGTATCAGAAACTTTGTCTTGTGCCAACATTTTCCTCAAAAAGGGTTAATGTTGTTCCTTGACTGACAAGAAATTTAATTCAGAACTCCTCCTCTCTCCTGTTATTGAGTCTAAAACATAAGTAACATGACAAGAAAATAATGCAAATCTCTCTTTATTGTTTTTTGTACATTTGGAATACAGCAGTAGTTTCTCTTTCCTATGCTAGTTAAAAATAAAAAACTGAGTTTCCTGCTCCAATACAATATGGAGACTGTAGGAGCATTCAGGGACCCTGGAAGAAAACTTTACAACAGTAGAATCTTTCTAGAAGTAGTCTTAAAACCTCATCTGCATACATATATTCACTAGATTTATGTATCCAATGCATAACTGCCATCATACTCTACGTTCGATAGATGATGCCTTACACTACTTTTCCAGTAATTATTTTTGGCAGTCTTAGGTTAGATCTATCTAATTCATATAATACAAAAAAAAATATCTCAAAAGTACCCACCTACTTTTTTAATGTCAACTAACATAGTAACAACTATGGATGCAATTGGTTTCGTTTGAAAATTATCAAAACCTTGATCCTCTTCTTTCACACTATTTTGACTTCAAATTTAAAAAGAAAAAGTACCATAGGTACTCGTCCAAAGGTTTTTTGTTAGCGGCAGGCTAATTATTAGCTGTGAGAAAAATGAGGCTTTTCAAGTAGGTCACTGGAGACTGCAGAGGGAAGGTACGCTTTTCCTTTTTTGGTCATTTCTGAGACTGCCTGTCGCAAGGTAGGTTAGGAAAAAATGCCACAGTTGCATTTTAGCTATGACAAAAACTGTCGCTGTCAGTTTGGCATTAATTTTTGTGATAATCAATTTGGAATTTACCACAGGTATAGTGCCAGGAAAGAATTGTTCTTCATCTTTCTCCCTCGCAGAACCGTTCGTGAAAAAATTATAACACTACAAGAAAACGTTCCAAAGATAATAGCAAAAACTGTGGAAATAATGGAGGGGAAATTTTTTGCTGCCGAAAAAGCCAAAATGCATAACTAATGAATTGTTGCTCATCACAATTCTCTCCTCCTCTTCTGTTGATTGTCAGTGCTTTCTGAGAAGATTTTGGCCAGTTTTTTGGGACCATGTTGCCTGTTGTTTCTACCCTTTCAGAAGGTCTCATACATGTACGGTAACAAAGGGCCATAGAAATTAACTATGGCATCGACTTTGACCTGTGTGTCAGGTTGGTTAATAACTTTACAAAATGAATAACACAAAAGAACCTTTACTAGATTATTCACATGGCAAGGTTAAAATGAGGACAAATAATAAAAAATTCCCACATTTTGTCACTTTCTCTACTGGTCATAAAAATATTAACAGGAAATACCGTTTCTCTCTTGCACAGCTTTAAGTGTTTCTAATTTCCTTCACATGGCTTGTCTGTCGCCTAGGAGGTTTGTTTAAGCTCACGAGGCATAAGCAAACCAACAGGACAGACAAGCCTAGCCAACAACTTCGTCAATGCTAAAAGCTATGCAAAAAAGAGAAACCTTTGCTCACAGGGGTAATGGGAAATAAATTGCACGATTTATAAAACAGAAAGCGCAATTCTTCCGAGCAACTTCTACTAAAAGTACAGCATTAAAATTACATTATAATTATACACTTTCAATTTGAGCGTTTGGTTATCTTAAACATATTGTGATAATGATCTTTACCTTGACATTAATAATATAATAGTTGAGCACAACAATAATAAACAAGCAAGTCATTCTTAGCAGATTGATTTACCATGAATTACTTTAACAGCATAATAAATCATCATTCATTCAAAGTATTTCTCCATAATTTTCTGATTGGTTCAAACCTCATTGTTGATTGTTCCAGCTAGCATTGACCAAATTTGGAAGACAATTGTGATATCCGTAAAATGACATCAATAGAGTTCTAAAGTGATGACGTAATAAACATTAAATTTTTCAAATTATGGGATTTGTTTTGATATTTTGAAAGAACAACATCTGCAATGCCTACTAGCCCAAAACTAGCATTGTGGGGCAAATTGTCTCAGAGATACTAAATTTGACTTGGTTCCTAATGTTTTGAACTGAGTCAAATTTAGAGGGATTTGTATGAATCATCAGATCATAACTGGGCTAATATCTCAAAGACAATTTGCCCTGGTAAGCTAATTTTTGGCAAGAAGGCCTTTTCGATGTTGTTCTTTCATAATACCCTGAAAAATACCACACCTTCACAAATTTAATTTTTTTATGACGTCACACTTAGGGACTCTATAGAACAGAGTAATTGCCAGAAAAAGGGACAGAAACCAATAGGCGCTGGAGACATGTTTTGGTAGTGTGGTGCTGTTGAAAATGGTGGAACATTTCACATCTCACAAAGAAAAAACAGCCAAACTGTACTGTCTTAAAATATAGCCAGAACAGCGAGAATACAACTCGATGGATGACATCTGCTATTTGAACAATCTCTGCTAGACTAAACATCCATTTATATCCTTAACTTGCTAAGAAATAGGCAAGGTAAGCAAGTTTTAGCTTGTTATCAAGCAACAAAACATTTTGAATGAATAATAAATCATAACTGTATTCGGCTTTTGTATGATCTGAAGAATTTTGCAGATCTTGGAGGCGAACAACAACCTCTTTGATCTCCATAATAAAAATTAATATTCCTCAGATCATAGGAAAGCTGAATTCAATAATATACCTGCCAACGTTTTTCAATTTACAGACTTGACAGTGCCAGTATTATTCATAGGGGTCCGATAATTTCCGAAGATGTCCGAAGACGTTCTGAAGACTTTCCAAAGAGTTTTGTCTAACACGAACACAAAGGAAAACAACCTCCTCTCCATTGAATTTCCGTAGCTAAATTAAGAGTATTCAGAGTAAGGCGATCATTCACATGGACTTTTCTTTTCTCTCACTGTTTCCAGTTTCTTTAAATGACTAATATATTTTTCAAAATGTGTCAGTTGACGCTGTAATGGCCCAAACTTTTCTCCCAGGCTTGAGAAACTGGAACACAGGCATGAGTAGGCGTGAGATCAAAGTTTATGATCCACAGACATGACACTTGGCAGGTATACAATAATAAATCATTGCTAATAATAATATATTAAGGAATAACTTGCTTGATCTATCTTGCTCTCAACTTGAGGTATGTATAGACTTAAAGGAGGCACTTGTCTGGAGATTGTTACACTAATCTAAATATATTGCTGATGTGTGATGTTCAGCCCACTCAAACTCTGCCTGATGTTGTCCATGATGTCTGATGTCTACTTTTCTTGAGCAGGAGTAAGCTCATGCATACAGTGATTTTTTAAAACTATTTTAATATCTATTTATATTATAGTAATGGAGCAAGGTGTTTTCAATAAAGTACATTGTTTTCTGCTGATCAATACTGCTTGCTATCAAACAGTTGTTGTATTATGGCTTTGACTAGAAAATTTATCAGACCTGCCTTGAATAACAAGCGGAGGTACACTTGGCACAGGGTTACCAAAACCCATTGATGGATTTGATGTGGGATAGTTCTGGACGATTTTCTGCACAGGGTTGTTTGATGGGGTGGTGCATAGGCCATCAGGGTAGTCCTTGAGTAACTCAGAGAAACGTTCTTGGACACAAAGTGCTGATAAACGAGCATCACCATCTTGGTCCCAGCAATCCTCAATGGTCTCCTTCAGTGTCCTTAGTCCCTTTAATGAAATATCATATTTGTTACTTTAAGGTGAGGATTAAATCTGTACAGTAATTAAAAAGGACTCCTCAAGAGGCCCAGTTTATTTCCACTTCAGTAAACAACGAGAATTGAGAGAAAACAAGACCCTCATAAGGGGGCTACATTGGTCTGCCGCACATGACATTTTTTTTAGTCAGGGGTGTATAGTAAATTACTTCTACCAGTGAACAAAAATAGGCAACTTAGCCTTTGGAAAAAAGAAATGATTGGCATTCCCTCGACGCTGCCACCAAAATATAGCATGACAGTATAACGTGACTAGTTTGATCTAACTGGAATTCCACAAATTATTGTTGTTCTATGCTTACAAACTGTGACAGGGTGAACTTTTGGTCTAGCAAATTAAATTTAAGTTTTGTTTGGTCTGATTGCATTAAAAGCCAATTTCTGACTATCCAGGTGAATGTGTTTCTATTTGACATGACGATCTACAAATGACAAGTCCTTCCTTGTATGGAGTGACTTTTGAGAAAAAGCATTTATTAAGTAGACCATTTTGAAAAAGGCATTGAAAAGAGGGCCATAAGATAGCTCCAGAGACATTCAAGATTTTTTGTTTTGAAATGACCCACCCTCCCCTCATTAATTAAAAAAGGTGCTCCATTGTAAGGGGGGGCGGGAAACATGATCCTTCAGCCATTTTGTCTTTTTGCTGCACAGATGATGCCGCACATTTTTAGACTGGGTGCCACAGGCAGCCCAATAAAAATAACTTAATTTCAGAGAGACTAGTGATTATTACTTGCGCTCTACAAATTAATGCAAAAGAAACAGCTGAAAGCAATGACCCCAAGATAATGTTAATAGCGTGAAAAATTGATACAAGCTTTTAGATCTCCAAAGTAATGACCCTCCAAAAGTAACAAAACCCCAGAATTGATTCTTGGGGCAAAATTTCACATACCAATTAAATGAAAATGTTAACCAGAATTATGACTTGATTTGCATTCCAAAAATACCTCCCAAAGTTATTGATACAAAATTAATACAATGTGCATAAATCATGTACAGTTAAATGCAAGTGTTATAAAGTTTTCTCACTTCAAGAATAATAATATTATATTAAGCATATTACAAAGAACCAGTTGTATCTTAATTTTTCAACTCCTAGAACACATTATGGCAAGATCTAACTCTGAAGTCTGAGGATAAAAGAAAGGAACCCTTTCAGTGGAATTTTTGCATAGTAGTATTCAATTCATAGGACTTAACAAGAAATTTGATTTTTTTGTGAAATTTTTCTTTGGCCAATATTTAACAATTGGATGAGGTTGAGCAAAATATTGTGATTTGTTGACGAAGCCAAAGTCTTAGACAAAATATTAATTGATCTGCAAGACACTGACAAATCACAATATTTTGCGATAACCAAATTAATGATAAATTATTGTTTTTATCATTCGATCATGAGTTTGTTTTTTTAATGAATATCTTCGGATAAATGAAGTGATTTGCCACTTTCATGCAAGAGCAATCGCATTTACGCATCATCAGCACAATATTATTTGCAGCCAAACACAGTTGGGTGACACTGAGCATGAGCAGACCACTATTTGTAGGCAGTTATTTGCTGGTCACGTGGTGGCCTTTCGGCCAATGAAAAGGAAAAAAATTGCATCAAATGATAATTAACAATATAATTATTCCACGAGTGCATTGGATATGAGTTGGCTATAATTATGTCATATCCAACAAGTGCGAGTGGAATTGTTTTATTAAAAATGCCCACAAAATATCGAGAATTCTTCCCGAGTTTATTTGTAAAAACAACCGATTTTCATATCCACGATGGCTAAGCCAATCAGAGCTCTAGAATTACATTATCCAAGGATTCAGTTTTTAATAATAGGAGTTACTGGTTTAATTGAACGAAAATGCAAAAAAACTCACAGGGTGATTATTCTTCCACACATCTGGGAAGCCTGGCCTTTGTTTCTGCCGTGCTACAAACTCTCTTATGTGCTCACTAGTGATTGATGCTCCAAGTTCAGCCTCATATGGTGGCTTGTAGTCTGGCACTGGTTCCCCTAAACAAGGGAATCAAAACAGCAAACTGTTAACAGCCATCACAAGTTTGTAAGGCAGCGATAACTGCCGCAACCAAAAAAGAGCAACTAATGATGCAGGTTTGTCAGAAAGTTTTGGAGTAGACGGCTCAGTTGCCAAAGCAAGCAGCCAGTGCTGGAGGTGCTGCCAAGCACCTAAGGCACAAACCTCTGGGGGCATGCTCCACCAGAAAATTTTTATATTTAGCTCTGAAATGCTATTTTCTGTAATCTCCAGGCTATTTTCTCTCCAAAATTACTGAAAATCTAAAGTGAGTTATAAGGTAAATTACTGAGTGTAGGCATTAAATTTAACTGTGAGTGGCACATAAACACTTGCTATAGTTTTCAGAAGATGGATATTTTATTTAAATAACGCCATCTGCAAAGAAATGCCAAGCAGAGTAGCAAGCCGATACTAACCAAGTAGGCGGCAATTTTCGCTGGCAGCCGACTACTTTTGACAACCCTGTGATGCACATTATTGTCTTTTTGACATGGTGTCAAGTGATAAAGGCTGCTTTCACAAATAATGCTTTGGTCATACGTGCATATACAGTGGAACCTTGGTGTCACAAACCCTCATTATAGCAAACACAGTTTCCAGTTCCTTAGCCATTCATTATATTGAGGTTCTACCAACATACAAACAGAGACTTTTAACTAACTTGAATTACCAATGTGCATAGATCTATTGAGGTAATATCTTTGAGAACAATATTTAACTTAACTAAGAAATATGATGACTTGAAATTATCCGATCTTGTAAAACGTGCAGAAAAAAATTTGACATTAACTCATTACATCTCTTTGGCTCTTAATGTGGAATTTCAAGTCATGCACATTTAAATAATACAACTTCCACCATCTTTAAGATTTTATATTCTTTGTGTAGTTATAACGAATAAAAACCACTTAAAAAAGGGTGATCACCGTTCTTGTTTCATCAAAGGAACAGCAAAGGGACAATTTTGGGCTCAAACAATAGTTTGCACAAAGAGTTGGCACAAGTTGTAAAAAGACTAACATCTTCTAGCTGGAAAGACCATTATGTCAAAATCCAATTTGTGCTTGTACATTATTTACTCACGTCCATAAATATCAGAGCATCTCATAGCTATCTCCCAGAGAACAATGGACATGGCATAAACATCAATTTCTTTCAATGAAGCCTCACATTCCCGCAAATTCAAAGCACCATCCAACACTTCTGGAGCCATGTAGCGAAGGGTTCCAACCTGGGAAAAAAAACTGAATTACTATACAATTGTGACCTTCTCCAGGAAAACGTACACTAACGGTTTACCGTTTAACGGCTTAAAGCGTTAACAACCCGTTAACTAAGCGTTACAATGGCTTGGGAAAGCGTTCAAGCCGTTAGTAAAACCGTTAGAAAAATTTGCCTTGCCGTTAGAAGCGTTAGAGAAACCGTTAAAGGCGTTAGTCAAGGTCGTTCAAAACGTTAGAAAAAGTCGTTCGAAATTTCGTTCCAGGACGTTCAAGTCGTTCGGCAAAGTCGTTAGATTTGCATTCCAGAACGTTTAATGAGTGAAGTTCTTTTGATTATTCTGTTTTATGTCCTTTGAAATTATAATCGTTGGGTTATCGCTCTACATTCGTTTGATTATCGCCCAATCTGTACTCGGTTAAAACCTGCAACACATACGTTTTCTCACACTTTCATGCGTTTGTCGTTCAGGCTACATTCGCGCACTTGAACACACGAGCATTTACATACGTACGTAACAAACTATTAATAGCAACATGTAAGCGAATAGGTTTTCTGATTATTTACCTGGAGGCGCCAGTAAACCATTTCTTCTGTTGGACACTTCACACGATCTCAGTTTACACATTTTCACAAAGATAACTATCATGTCGAATAAATTGTAGTTGAGCGTACGAATCTTCAAGTTATAGGATGAAAGCCGTTTTCCATTAGATTTTCTCTCAGACTTGTAATGTTAGGTATCGTAGCAATAAATAAAATAAGTGGATAATTTTTGTCTGTGTTTTTTAAGTTCCGTGGGACAAACGTGGGAAATACATTTTAATGAGAATACCTGTATGACATCAAAGGACTGGGACTGAGCAAGTGGTTGCTATGACAATGCTGCACTTGAACGGCGACATCGTCAGGATCGATCGAACTAAAACGCAGCAATCAACCAAGAAGCGGTAAAAATTCGCTTTTTTGGTCAAGATATGATCAAGAACAGGGAAAATGTATCAATTTTTATAATTTACTTTCTAGAAAAGCTCTTGCTTATTTTCAAAACGCCACAGCGAGACAGGAGCGCGAAAACTTGAACTCATGCACGTGAATGTTTGCGTACTACATGTAGTATTCGAGAAACAGAAGTAACATTGCGACTTTTGGTCCATCACTTGGACGAACGTTGGTGAGTAATAAACAATTTTTAAAGATTGGGTTTTTAACTGAATTTTATGTCTTGTCTGTCTCCCGAGTTTTATTGACGACTCAGATGATTTGAAATGTCAGACAGGTACAACTGATTTCATCGCCAAGCATAATGTTTTATAGTCTTTGAGCTGTTATCACTCGAAACGTTTGATTTTTATCAAACGTTCTCTTAGACCGTTAGATGATTGTTTCTTGAAGCCGTTAGTCAGCCCGTTAGAAACGTTCAAAAAAGTCGTTAGGAAAATCAAAGCAAATCCGTTCGAACGCTTTTGTAGGTCGTTAGATTTTTTCGCCTACACGTTCAAACCGTTAGCCAACCCGTTAAGGGCGTTAGAAAAGCCGTTAACAAGCCGTTCGTTAGCCGTTAGTTTTTACCTGTTAAACGGAAGACCGTTAGTGTACGTTTTCCTGGAGAAGGTCACAATTTTCAAATTCCTCAAGTCATAAAAGCTTGTTAATTGATTTCAGAGACAGCGTTCAAAGAAAGTCATGTCCAATAGCCCAGGCTAGTGGATTTTGCTGTCGGGCTAGTAGTTTTTGTTCTTAACTTGCTCAATGGGCAGGTGCTATTTTTGGGAAAATTCAAATTACAGAAGGATTGCAATCAATCCTGCTAATCAAAAGGGTTTGGGGGCTAGTTGAAAGTTAATGACTTGTGGGCAAGTACATGCTAACTAAAGCTTGCCTAAATGGCAGGCTGTAAAACTGACTTTCTTTGCACCCTAAGAGAGTTGCCAAACTCTTGAAGCTTACTCCAGAGAACATGTTATTCTCCCAGTGAGAAATAACAAAGCTGACAATGACCCTTCTCTGAGCTTTAAAGTCCATCTGAACCTAACAAAATTCTCCAGAGATTTTGAGATTGTAAAAATTACAGTATTGTGTTATAAGAGAATAAGAGAACTGACTGTACAGGAAAAAATGCTGCTTGCTGTAAAGCAAAGCTTTTCTCAAGAAAGGACCCACCCCTTGAAAAGAACATTCAACAATAATGTAATACCTCAGTAATTATGTCTTCACTGGATCTGGCTGATCCAGCTTCTGGTAGCTTCATGGCAAACCCAAAATCTGACAACACACAAGTGAGGCCTAAGCTGACCAAAACATTCTTGCTGCTCACATCACGATGAACAAAACAAGGCTTTGTCTGGTGGTCATCTGACAAAAAGCAAAAAGATAGTTATTAAAGGAAACTTTCAATTTTATTGGACACTAATGAAATACAGTGACATTTTAGGACAGGAACCCCAGAAAAATTCAGGATAAGATTCAAAATCTCAGATCCATTGTGGGTACTCTTTTGAAATTGTACCCACAGAAATTCTTAACCACAATAGCATTATTTGTGTAAATGGAGGGGAAAGGCATCAAATGACAGGCTTCTCAGGTGTTTTTAATCGTTTTTACCCAAAGATTATGGGGATCACAACATCTAGTCTGACAAGTAGTTTTATACTTGAGTTGGTACTTTTTTCACAGATTTCACTTTGTCAGATGAGCTTGAAAAAGGGCTTTTGGTATCCATATATTTATTAGGAATTTTGGATTCTTAAATTGTTTTAAGTGTAATCTGCATTCCCCAGAAAACTTTACTTGCCTGTTACGGTAAAATCCACCACCCCCAGCCTACTGGACACGACGATCTCTGCAGACTGTATAATTTATTAAATAACTTTGATTATTATACACTGAGCCTGGGCACTATCCGTCTTCTCAGATAACCTACAGACTAGAACTAGTTATTTGCTAGCAGATAACTGACTATTCTGTAGGTTTGGCTTGCAATGCATGACATCCAAGGGCAATGTCACACTCTGTCAGACTCTGTTTCCTGCACAGGTGAGTTTGGAGTTATTTTCTTCAAAATAATGTACAACAAAACAACTTTTTATCGTTTGATTAGGTTTTTGCGATATCCCAAATAATCAAGCTCTCAGTAAGTGTTATCAGCCTCGACCTTTCGGCTTGGTTTATAACACTTTCCTCAACCTCTATTATTCTGGATTTTGCAAAAACTTCATCTGCTAATTGTTTATAACTTACCGTCATTATGTAAGTAAGCCAGTCCCCCAGCCAGTGAACGACCCAGAACACACAATTCCTGCCATGTCACAGTGTTACACTTCAGAAACTTCAACAGCGAGCCTTTACTGTGATACTCAGTAACAAGCAGATATTCAAGCCCGTAGCTCTTCTGACTTTCAGCAGCAAAATAGAACTGCAAGAAAGGTTTATTATACAAGTTATTTATCCACTACATGTGTGGTCAGTTTAACAACAAAGCCGCATGTAGCCTTCGTTTTTTAGAGTGTTGTTGTCAATTTTTAAACCTGGCACTTATATCAGCACTCTGGGAGTGGGATACGTTTGCCACTCTAAGTACTAATAAGAATTAAAAATATCATTATAAAAAAAGAAGTTATTTCTATCACTTTTTTGGCACCAAAGCACTTGATAAATTATACATGCCAACTTTTTCTGGGTCAAAAGTAGGGCTGTCAGAAAGTTTTTAAACATAGCAGACTGATAATGAATAGTAGCTGGCTTTGGAACTCGCACCAAAAAGCGCAAATTCTTGAGGGCTGAAGCATCTAGGGACATTTTAAATTTAGAGTCCAGAAAATGCCACTTCTAAGGGTTTTCAAGAGGTATTTTCCACCATGTACGCCACGTTGTTTCATCAGAATACACACAAGACTGAGACAATCTCTGAGAAATACAACCGCCTCATCCCTATTTTCTTTTTTCGGAACACGGCTCCGCCGCCAAAACTTTAATCTCGCACCCACACAATACCGCCAGCTACGCAGGCCAGCGCGCGTACGACTCTTACGCCACGCTTTGACAAATATGACAAATATGACTGTGTACATTTTACAACTAACCACCACTTCAGATTGATGTCATGCTCTGTCTAAGGGCTAGCAAATTTTACCTTCAAAATACTTGGATGTGACATATGAGTCTCAAAGACTTCTTTTTCACTCTTCCAAGTTTGCCTGTGTTCTGGAGGAAAGGTTTTCACAGCAACAACCTCCCCTTTATAATAGCCACGCCACACAGAGCCATACCGTCCTTGACCAACCAGCTCCTCGAGATTGAGCCCAGTGAGGTCATGCTGTACATTGGGAACTTCTTTTTCTTCCAACCCCGCAGCTTGGTATTTAAGACTATCACGATTCCTGCATTTGTAGAGGTAGACTAACACTGATGTCATGATAACAGCTGCAAGAACTATAACCACTATTGCAACCACAATGGTCTCTGCACTGCTTGATTTTGGGGTATAACCTAAAAAATAAATATATTATCTTTTTTAAAGAAAACTTCCACGTCAGACATGCACACAAACACAGTTCAAAAGGCAAATGTCTTCTCATGCAATAATAATATTAATGACACCATTTGATTTCACTTAATGTCAGGGCATTGAACAATACCATTAAGTAATGCTCCAGATAAGAAAAAAAAGAACCAAATGCAATGAACACGTCAGAATGCAAATAGGTTCTAACTGTACTACTGCCTCTACTACACTAGCTTGCGAAAACATCCGTTTCTCCGTGCTCTTCGCCGCTGGGACGTTTCACGTGGAGGAACGTCTGCCACTCAGCGACAGAAATTCCATGCTGATGACGCAACTCAATGTTTACATAATAAATCCGGTAGTCATGGGGTTCCAAATATAAATTTGTCCCATTTTACGAGTGTTATGGTCGATTTTGGTAAATTGTTGTGTTTATCTGCCAATAAGCTCCAGCAAAACTCAAATGCTTCTTCTAGAAAAGACTATATTCCACAAATATTGACTGTTTTGTTAGAGATTCTTCACGTTTACATTTGACCTTTGTGGCCTTTTGTATTTTGTCTGTCATTTGTAAACAATAGCTAAAACAATGTAACTACTCCGTCGACCAATCAGCACTTCTGACCGGATTCTGGACAGATTTTACGTCATCAGTATGAAATTTCTGTCGCTGAGTCGCAGACATTCCTCCACGCGAAACATCCCCAGCAGCGAAGAGCGAGGAGAAACAGATGTTTTCACAGGCTACTAATACACTTCTGATCAGATCAAATTTTACAAAATCTTTGCAAAGCAGCAAGTATATTAAGCAAAATCCACCAGGACATTGAGTAATTTTGATTTTCAGTGGACAAAAATCTTGAACCAGAACAATTATTTCACGCATATTGCATTCTTTCTTACATTTTTCAAGGGCTAAAGATGTAATAAATCATCTGTAGCAACACCAAAAAAAATTTATCATGGGAGCCCGAAAAAATGAATGTCAAATTTATACATGTATTTTTACAGGCTGCTCAAATCAGGGGTTCATTAAGGTTTGGAGCAGAAGGGTATCTGGATTTGGCATCCAGAAAATTGTTATATTTTTTCTTTTCATTGAGATTTTCACAGGCAGCAGGCAAAATTGTCTATGCAGCTGGTCACTTTGCCTGGTGCCTAGCCCTTATTGAAACCCCTGTAAATTTGCTAAAAGTCAAGCTCAGACTTGATGCACTTTGTAATACTGTTGGGACATGTATGAAATTTAAGTCCCTATGTAAGGAATTCAGAGGAATAACTAGCCCATGATGCAGACAAAACTAAACCTCTGGTTAAGTCCATCTGCAAACCAGCACTTAAAACCTTATTCTGGGCCTCATCTGTGAACCAGGAATTGAGTACACACCACAATTGGCCTGTTTAAAATGCCACTGTCGATTTGCCAATCAGGTTGGAAGGAAATTCAAAACAAACTTCTGGTGATTTGTCGACTCTGTTGGGCTCCCAGACCAAGGATCTCGGCAGTGCTTTGCATACACAACTACATGTAGCAGAGGTTAGATTACTTCTGCAAAGCACAGTAGGGACTACCCCTCAGAATAAACATACCATGAGTTGTTGTAGGAGCTGTAGTTGTCTCATTCATTACATAGGGAACAGAAGTAAAGTTTACGTTGCACATATCAATATTGCAGCAGCAAATGCCTGACACATTCTCGTGCTTGAATGCCAATTCATGATTCTGAATGCAATCATCTTGGCAATGATCCAGTGGATTAGCAGGCGAGACCAGAAAACAACCTTTCTTTATAATTATATGTAGCGTCTCATTTCTTTCATTCTTCAAATCACGCCACAAAACAAAACACCTTTCCCCCGGACTTTCACATGTTTCATTCCCTTCTCTTATGATTCCTTTACCATGGTGGTAGGAGTCACAGACCAACCCTGTTCCATCCTGGCAAAACCCTGAAAAAAGAAAGACACTTGCAAATCATCATTACATTTATATTTTCAAATTGACTGAACTGTCCATAACATGTACATTAACAACTACATCACTAAAATGGAGGTTGGTAGCCAGCCCCTAGATTGGCTGACACCCCCATGGCTAGAACGCCGGCACTACCCAGCATGAGCCACCACGCGAAACAGGAACATACAGGCACCCATCACACGGTGAAGAAAAAACCACAGGGAGGGGAAGGAGGAAGAGAATTGGCTGAAGAAACCTTGAGGCATGAACAATACAGCATGAAGGAAAACTCAACAAGCCACTGAATCATGTGAACATTGTAACACACTACCAGGAAAGCACATGTTCACCAACCGCTGACTACTAGTACTGAAAATGCTCAAAAATAATACCTTTTTTTCATCACTTTGAGAATAATTATCATTCTCAAAATCAGACAAAGTGTAATTGAAAATAATTAAGACGACATCCAGTAGGAAATTGAGTAATTTTAATTTTCAGTGGACAAAAACCTTGTAACAGAATAATATTATTTCAATCATATTTTATCCTGTGTTTACACTTTTCAAGGGCTCTGAATGTGGGGAGATTTTAACCTGGACTTTTTCGCGTCATCTGACCGGCTGTCCAGATTGCGAGAGTTTAGCCTTGTCCCAGACGACGATCGAATAGTATCCCATGATGCACCTCGATTCATGTTATATTATCACTGCGTACATGACACATCATGATCAGTAATCTTCTGCACGCGCGAAGTGAACATCGATCGCAGTGCTCGATGTGGATGGTTTCCAAACATGTTTCGGTTCAGCAGCTTCTGCTTTTGACATTATCGAGTTGGCTAATATTCACTGTGCTTTAAAGGAGAATTTCAGCGTTGCTTTGACTGAGAAGGGTTTTACATGTATTTCACTGATCTGTCGAGAACTACTTGTGCCAAGGCCGGGTCGCACTGTAAACACAAATTATAAGACTACAGAATTGATAAGCTTCGCTAGGTTCACTAGGAGAACCCCAGGCCAGAGGAGAACCAAAACTATGACTGATCTATAAAGTGGTTCCAACAAAACATCCGCAACGCTGTGAAGCTAATTACCAAAGGATTATTTATTACAGCATCGCTCAAAGGAGCTGAAGTTTACAATGGCAGTTACAAATAAAATTTAACCTATCGATGCGACAAACAATTCTCTGAAGCACAGTCTACCCGGTACTGACTCAAGCAATCTTCAAGGAAATTTCCTGGCCAGAATACTGATCTGTTCTTTTGAATAAATAAAGTTTCTGCATGATGTTTTTTTTTCAAATTCTGAGCAGGCTTCAGTTTACGTTGTGCCGGCTTGCATGCTGCGTGGTTCCTTTCTTTGGGTTCTTTTCACACTGAAACACACCGTTATACACCGCTCCTTCTTCGAATTAAAATAATTATAGTCAAATTCCTTTTAAAAATAACCTCTTTGAAAATACAAAATGATTGCTTCGGCATAAAGGGCTCTCAAAAGCGCCCAACAGATTGTAGCCTTCATCAGGCTTTACACATATATTATGACACATGGCGTTGAAATGTGATAAAAGATTCGAAATTTCAGCCACCTTTGGTCGACAAAAAAGTCTTCAAAATGTGGGTACTTCTGGGTACTTCTTGGCCTGTACAATATTCAGGACTTCATTTTGCTGGCGTGAGGTCCACATTTGTAAGATTTCAACATATATTCCAAAAAACCTTGAATATTCATGACCTGGTTGTGGGTCACTGAACACTTTGTGATGGGACGACTAATTGAAACCGTGAAAATAAATGTTTCTAATTGGAAACTTCGCTCTTAAGCCATTGCAAATCGGAGAAATCATGTCAAATAACGAAATAATGTAATTTTTTTACTTTTACTGGAAATCGAATGAGAAAAAAGCCGACGAAAAAACGACCTTATTTCACGATGGAATCTGCTATGACTGCGATATTGCGTGATGCTTCTGGAAAAATGCATCATGGGATACTATTCGATCCTCCTCTGGCCTTGTCCTTTCTTTAGTAGTGGAAACTACGGGGTACAGGAAATTGCTTAAGTTGCAGCGGATTGGGAAAATAACCACACAGCAAGCAACAACAAACCAAGAAATAAGGTAGAGTGTATATTGAAAATCCCAGCAAGTATTATCTTCTTTATATCTTTCACCTGAATTCCAATACAAATTTATGCCCACAGCCAGTTTGAGGATTACCCAATATGAGACCACCCGTATTAATAATAATTAAAAACAAATTGCCGCTGAAAAATGCTCCAAAGTTTGGTGGTGTTCATTTAATTTTTGATTATTTCAGTGAAATGGTAATTATCTGCTTAGTATTATCCATTTGTTAGTTAATTCTAAGTGTCTTTAAAACAGTGTTATACATTTTAAAATGTCAATTGCAGGGCCATCTGAACATGATGCAGCAAAACAACTTGCCGAGAAATGACTTTGCAGCGAATTGACTTCATTTTTCAGTGAAACCACTTTGTAGTGAAATGACCTGTAAGTGTACCAGGATCTTCCTAGCAAAGGCAGTTTACGTGATGCTAAGATCTTCCTACTATTCAGCTAGGAAGATCCTAGCACTAAGGACAAATGTAAACTGAATACAGAAAACATATGGCCCAAGAATGATTCACATTCTAGGATCTTCCTGGTGCTTGGACCTTCCTCCCAGTCCCTCCATGCAAACAGCCCCTTAAGGCTGGTTTTCACTAGCGACGGAGTCAGAGTCATAATCAGAAGCGTAGAAGACAACGTTCTGATTCCGCTTATGACTCAGTCGCTTACGTTCCGCTTATGATCTAGTGAAAACCAGATTGTCGGAGTTGGAAGCAGAAGCAGAAGAACAAAACCAATCACAAAGCATGGGAATGTGCATTGTGATTGATTTATCCCTCTGCTTCTGCTTCCGACTCCGACAATCTGGTTTTCACTAGATCATAAGCGGAACGTAAGCGACGGAGTCATAAGCGGAGTCGGAAGAAAATGGAAACGTACTGATTCCTCTGACTACGATTCCGTCGCGCATATGACTCTGCTTACAACTCCGCTTACGAATCCAATTTTTGATTTTCACTAGGTCATAAGCGCTCTTATGACTCCGCTTACGACTCCGACTCCGACTTCATCACTAGTGAAAACCAGCCTTTAGTCAGACATAAGTCTAACCTATAGAGAGTACGATGTTGTGCCATGTATTAGAATGCAAAAAAAACTTACAAAATGTACAGAAAAGGGTCATTAAATATAAAGATTGTAGCTGCATTTTAAGGCCATTGTAAAGACAACGCAAAAGTTTTAATATTTGCATTTGTCAATGACAATTTTTCATTCTTCTATGATAATCGATTGATTTTCCACAATAGATTCTCGTGTCACCAAGGTTTGCGATTAATGAACCGTGATAATCAGTGATCGGCACACAGGCTGGTGTATTGATGGCAAAAGGGATATCCAGTACCAAAATGTTCCAGAATTAACACAAATCCTGAAAAATCTCCTTTACTTTGAAGGTAGCCCCGTTTTCCGACACCATTCTTTGAAGCATTTCCGTTTGTCAAACACCCAGCGACTTATTGCCTGTAATAAAATTAAATCTCTCTGATCTGAACAACTGCATAAAGACAGTCTACCATTCACTGAGGTACGCCTGCTCAATACGCTATTGTCATAAAGCTACAACTTGAAATAATTTCAAAATTTACCTTGCCTCGGGATCAAGAACAAAGTCGTTAAAACCAAAGCCACTAGACTTGCGGAATCCTCCATTTCGGGAAACAGGCTTTATTTATCTGCAAAGATTTTAAACGCCATGACAATAAACTCTGGTATTATGCTTTAAAGAAGACGCAAATCAATATCGAATCGGATTATTAAATAATTTTGTCCGGAAAACTCATTGAAGGATGGTTTACATTCCGGAAACGCGCGCGATTTCGAGTGATAAACCAAAACGGGGAAAGACTCAAAATAACCTCAAGAGAACATCAAGAGAAAGCAAGAAAGCAAGTCAGGAGTTTTAAAAGGCAGGATTGGTACAGCAAGTGAGTAGTTTTCAAAGGCAAGATTGATACTAGCTAGCTAAAGATCGTTTTAAGCCGGCTGGCGCCAGCGAATTACTCCAGAAAGAAAAGGCATGAAGAAAAGATAGTCTAGCGACGGAGCACGCAACGTTAACAGTGGAGGCCCCGGTTGTAACCTATATCTCGCTTCATGAGGCTTGAAAGCGTTTCAATTCACGATATAATTTAATAATTTATCAATCACGCTCCACAGAATAATCTCTAAGCGGGAATTTTGTTAAAAAACGCGAGAAGAAATCACAAAAGCGGTGGTGAGACTTTGCGGAGCCAGGGTGTCTCGATGAAAATACAACACAACAATTGCCACTGATAACAGCTTTCAAACAAGCATGGACGTATAAGACACACACTTACCTTCTTTCAGACATTGATTGGACTTGGTATCGACAATCAGAGCGGAAATCCCATGCGCAACAAACGACTTCTTAGCAAATTTCCCTCGTTCACACGAAGACTAGAGTGCTTTGCTTTGTATGACAAAATTCTCCGACGGATGATATACATTAATCCGCGACAGCCAATCAGAAGCGGAGAGCCGGCGGATGTCACTCAACACAGAACTTTCGGTGGAAGGCTGGACTCTCCATTCTAAATATTTCCACTTTTGTTTACATGTTTAGTCTAGTGGTCTTCACAGATAAGTAAAAACCAGAGGAAAGCACTATATTTCCAGCTGTTTTCTGAACTTAGCGCTTCTTGACTAACAAAAATTTTTACAAACATTTTTTTTTATCCTTTTGCAAAACTACCGGTAATATTTAGGGCTCTATGTCTATTTCAATTCAGAATTATCAACACTATTGGAAAAGTATTTAGAAATAACCACACGAAGACTTTTTGTGAAATTAAAAAAAACATAATATTTAGAGAAAATGAGCAAGTCACCCGCAGAGACCATCCACTCCATTCAGCATGCAAACATTTTGAATTTAACTGAAGAACAAAAGAACTAGGAGATGTTTCTTTTATAAAAAGCCATTATAGGTTATGTTCTTGATATTTTTTGCCTCCTCTCGGTCTAAAATTGGAATTTGAGGTCTATTTTGAAACAGCCCTCTTGTGCGATGGGCTCCTGCCGATCGAGCCTTCATATACCCGGTATAAGGATCGCAACCGTATTTCCTCGAGTAATAGCGTATTAGCCGTCCCTCGATTAATCGTCTCCCTCGAATAATCGCCCCCTTGAGACAGAAATATTGATCATAATCGCCCCCGGCTATTTTTCGAGGAAATACGGTATTCGTAGAAGGGATCGGAAAAGTGGCTTCTTAAAAAGAAAGTTTTACACTCTTCCGTGCTAAGAAACCTAGTATTTTACGGTCCTCATGACTGTGTGCCGGACAAGAAAAGACGAGGAATGCCCTGGGTTGGCAATGACACTGCAATGAGGCAGTCAGAACCGCGGATCTTAACTTTTTTTCCTCGTTTTCTTGCACACTGACGTCTGCGTGAGCTAAAAAAGGCTGGAAACCGCCTGGGCGTTCGACAGGCGTTATGATGTCTATGATAAAGATTTTTATCATTCCAGTAGAAAACAACCATTTTGTTTTGTTTTGTTTTGTTTTTTCTTCTGTTTTTTTTAATGTTTGCCGTCTATATGTATCAGTTCTACCCAGCTGTCTGAGCTGTCAACCCAGCCCGACTAGCAGACCCTCCAGAAAAATACTGGTCGGTTTTGTTCAGCATCAGCATCCATTTATCTTTCAAAAAATATCGGCTCTTGAACGATCATATGAAGATGATATGAACTGCGGAAATACAAACTTTTTAATGAAGATATGATCCTGGCAGTGGTAATTGCAATTTGAGCAATGGCAAATTAACCCGAAAACAATTTCGGGCTGCAGCGCTAACGCAGAGGCCATTGGTTCGAATCCAGTTGAAGTCCCGAAATTTTTTTTAAATTTGAAATTGCTCAAAATGCAATTACCACTGCGACGATCATGTCTTCATTTAAAAAACACTTGAACGATCGTTACTTTAGAATGCTTTTCAGAGGCGGATTCAGATCTTTAACAGTAATGGGGGCCTCCCTAAGATCGAAAATATTTTCGTACCCAGATCTCACTCTGTCTTACGAAATTAAAATCCTCCGTTTGACCGGTAGTGTGGCCATTAGACTGTGAACAGGCCTCTGGTCGAGCGGGGTGGGGAGAGGGAAAAGCGAAAATAGGGTCACCTCGTTATTAAGGACAGTTTGCGTTATCCCTGGGGGAAGAAAGCAATTACATTTTCTCTAAATTCGACCCGCTTAATACGGACACCCCGTTACTACAGACACCTTCAATGGGCCCCTCAGTGACCGCCTCTTGGTTATCTCAGCTTGGAAGTAGTGGAGGCAAGAAAGAACGGGCGCGAGAGAGGGAGACATGCGAGGAACTGGTGGTGTAATAAAAGACCTTCGCTACGTTGTCCACGTACTATGGATTAACAGTTTTCTCGCCCAGCGAGGTCACTTTTTCTCTTGGGGGCCTCTCGACCAATTGGAAATATCCGCACTCACAGAATGCGAGTGGAAACGATTTTCGTGGGCCTTCCGGGCAGGCGCTTCCTCTCCCCTCGCATGTCTCCCTCTCGGGCACCCATTCTTTCTTTCGCCCATAATTCCAAGCGCCTCCTACGCAGGCTGAGTTGGGACAGCGCCGGTCTGCTGAGCGGGAGGTCGCGGGTTCGAACCCCGGCAGGTCCAATACTCAGGGTCTTAAAATAATTTAGAAGAAAGTGCTGCTTGATCTGCAAACGGTTAGACTTTCTAGTCTTCTCGGATAAGGACGAAAAACCGTAGGTCCCGTCTCACATCACATACACTTATTTGGATCTTGTGGGACGTAAAAGAACCCACACAACTTTTCGAAAAGAGTAGGGGACGTAGACCCCGGTGTTGTGGCCAACCTTCGCACATCAGTCAAATCATGGGTTGGGCGGGAACAGTATGACTGAGAGCGGCTTCTAGTGGCGCCTTTGTATGTTGACGTCCGAACTTAAGCACTATTCACTTGTTTATACTACTACATGAGAAATTTCTGCAATTTGGTTGGCTTGGAGCAGTGAAATACCTACATGTGAAAATGACAAACTTTTTGCGGATAGTAGTATACAGTAAACAAATAATAGCATGATTTGTACGTGATATTTGGCATAAATACCACTCGTGAAATTTCAAAGTTGTCTCAAATTTCACTGGCCTAACGGCTCGTAAAATCGTGGTATTTATGCCAAATATCATTACTAATGATGCTATTACATGTACTAATATATATTGTAAAGAGGGCACGTTTGTTGTCCTCTCATCCATGACTCCTTCCTTCCTTCCTTGACTGTATATTGTTGCTGTTCCTGACCCGCTAGCCAGATTTGTTCTCGGCAGTTCCGAGTTCAATTCCACGACCACGCTTGTAAATAAATAGCCAACTGGTTCGCCTCCGGCCAGCTGGGATTCTTAACTCGTTTATGTTTGATTTAGTTTATTTGTTTCAGGAATTTGCTCGGCCTCCCTAGCATCATGCTATGAATACTGCCGAGGGTAAATAACGCATGTAGACCGCGCGTTGCTCGGGTATACCCCCGGGGGTATACACTTTGCCCATTTTAGTCTGGAATCGGGTATGGGTTTCGAGGGAACTGCCCGGTGTGTGAACGTATTTATCGTTTCAATCCAAATGAGTAAGAAAGAAAGAGAACTATGCGAATTCGAAATGGATTAGAATAATTTGTTTTTGTTTGCGCTCTAATCTAAGTAATGATAACATAATTTCTGCCTAAAGGCCAGGTCTGAAAACGAGTATGGATTTTAGAGTTCTAGTCTGAAAACGGATGTGGAAAATAAAATAATTTGGTCCGAAATCGGGTCAGGATTTGAAGAACCGGGTAGGCTAAAATCTCCTCTCCCCTAGCCCCTTAGGAAGGCCTGATACTCAGGCTAAGAACCGGGCGGCACACCCCCACCAAGAATTCCCAGGAGTACCCCGCCCCCCGGGTATTTAAGGCTGCGGATCCGAAAAGACAACCTGTTGTTCAAGACGCAAAATAGTGAAATTGTATAAAAGGGACATTAACTGCAGGATTAACTGCAAAGGACAGCAAAGAAATTTGCCGCAGCGTCGTAGGATCTAAAGAAGACCTTAATATATATATCAAGTAGACCAGGAGCCGATTAGTCAGATTAGTAGACGCACTGAGTTTCATTGAATGTTTTTTTCATATTTCTATGTAAAATTGTATACCGCTGAAAATTATTCAGCGGCAAATACCCGCCTAGGACAATAAGGACTTGCCTCCCACGGGGCAACTGACGCTAAAGCAGACACTTTTGTGAATTTATTGTTTATGTACGATATTTAGGAATATAGAAATGTACCGAAAGAGAATCATCCCTCTCTTGAATGTATGTATGAATTGAAGGGGCGTGAAATATCGAGGAAACACCTAAAATAACAGCTTATTTATGCATTTAACTCGTTGGACAGGATGATCTCAGTCCTGATGACCCTAAAACAAAAGAGGTGCTTATGACACATAGGAGTCCAATTGAATTAGAGGTTTTAAAAGGGTGCGAGTCTACTGGATGATCCTAAAAGTCTTTCTAAACAGGGGCGCACCTGACGGAGACACGCGTGTCTTCCTCATGAAGGACAATCAAAAAAGTGAACGAAGGCGCGTCCAACACTTTAACATTATCGCGCGGAGGAGGTTCAAGCGTTACTAATGATCTTGCAACATGGTCAAACAAATTAAGGCTAAGAGAAGTCAGTGCTGCCTTGTTTCGAGGAAGTTGCAACAACGTACGTGTAAATCTACCCAACATCGCCCAGCAGATAGCCTACTCGTTTTTTCTTCAGGAGTTATCTGTCTCAACCCCAGAGTTGGGTTTAGCAGTGTTTGCTCGAGAGGTATACGCTGTAGTTACTGAGCGAGAGGAGATCTGATCTTCATTTCTGGTACTCTCCTCGCCAGACGTTGTCGACGCAACAACATTTTTCAACTCTTCAGGATTAATAAAATAAATCAGTTCATCCTCTTGAGAGTAGAAGTCATCCATATCAATGTCTCCAAATATCGCCTCTCTACCATATGATGGGATTGCCGGAAGTTTCTTCTTTTTAATTTCTTGTGAGCTGCTTTCCTCGCCGTCCTTTTCCAAAACTTTTTCGTCTCTTGGAAGGCCAGGAAAATACGAAAATGTATGCATATCGCTAATTTTTCGGGACAAAAAAGAGTGGCTGAATGGGAGGGATCTAAATCTTGCAAGTGTTAGAGCTCTGTCGTAGGCGATTTTATGTCGAGCCATGCACAGGTGGTTCGCTTCTTTCCCGATTTTCTCTAATTTAGATCGAGTTTTTAACGGAAGCTTAGCCTTAAGTTCGGACGTTTTTAACAACTTGGGGAGTTTGCTGTAGTAGTCTTGAGTTTTTTGCTTCAGGAAATGTTGGCAGTGTTTATTTCGATGCTTCTTCCTTTCAGCTGAGGGTGATGATAGCGACTCTCCGTCAATCTCGTACAACCCGCGCTTTTCCTTGTCTCCAGTCATATGGCCATCGGAATCACTTTCGGAATCAAAATCACTGCTATACTCATTGTCAAGCGAGGTTTCTTGCAAAAGGGACAATAGATCAGGACTGGATAAACCTTTGCGAGAATTCTTGAAACCTCTCTTTTTCGAATTTCCTTTCTTGGGATTGTCAGACTTATTGTCTAACGAAATATTCCCTTCATCCGGGCTTTCATCTCCAAAATCAAAATTCAGCTCAATCTCACTAGGGTCCAGTCCCTTATTTTTGTTCGCTCTAGCGTTTTTATGTGACCGCTCGAGGGACTTGGCATCAATGGCGTCGGTGTCCGATTCGGTTACATGGTCACTGAAAACCACCTTTCTTTTAAGTCTGTGGTGTCTTTTTCTTTCCTCGTTGCCTTCTTCCTGGGCGTTCTCGGCATTTGTTTGCTCTTGAAGTATCTTTCTCTCTTCATCCTCAAACTCATATGTATAATCTTTATATGCAGTATCAAAACTCATCTCCTTGATGTCTTTGGAAGTTTTATTGATGAATTTCTGCAACTCCATGAGATCATCCGTCTGTCCGTCTGTGTTGGCAAAATCAAAGTTCAAAGGACTGTCGCCTGCGTCCGCTCTCATTTTCATCA